AATACACATACTTCTTACTATTTTATATTATAGCACCGTCGTGGTCAGAGAAATCGGCCACAGTCTCCACCAGTAAGAGTTTTCAAAATAGAATATACATTCTTCTCACTATTATATTATTATAGACTGGTGTGGGTGCTAGAGATGAATTATCGTCGACAGAGGTAAAAGCTCCAAAATAAAATACACATGCTTGTGGTTTTTTTTAATTATAGGCTGGCGTAAGTGCTAGAGATGAATCGTCATCAACAAAGGTAAAAATCTTCAAAATAAAATACACATATTTCTCAATATTTTTTAATGATAGGCTGGTGTGAGTGCTAGAGATGAATCATCATCAACCAGTGTAAAAGCTTCCAAAATAAAATACTCATATTTCTCAATATTTTTTATTTATAGATTGGTTGGAGAGTTGTGATGCATGATCGTCGACACTGGTAAAATTTAAGAAATATAATACATATATTTCTCCCTATTTTATAATTATAGAGTGGTGTGAGTGTTGGAGATTCGTCACGATCTGTATCATGAATAAGTTCATAACTTCGAAATCCATAAATCAGCAAATATTTTCCAAACATCCATTCTATGCTATTACTACTATAATATAATAATCAAGAATTTTTTTATAGCTATCAAATATTTCAGAAAGAATAAAAATCATTATCTATTATATTAAATGGTGTATGAAAGAAAAAATTTATGCTACATGTATCAATATTTTTTCAGAAAGAAACTTAAATCATCAAATATTTAAATTTATCTTTTCTTACCGATTTGATTTATGTATAGAAATATTTTCATGTCGAAAATCGTAAGACTTAATCCTCTCTCGATCACTTTTATCAAGAATTCATTTTTTTTTCTCGTCATATTCAAGATGGTTTTGTGCAGTGTGCATGGCTACTTAATTTTTCAGTACAACAAGTAAAAGACAAAATTTTTAACTTCTTCGTTTTAAACGAATATATTTCGTATATATATTCAAATACATAACACTCAAGAAAAAGCCAGATACGTTCATAACTATTCATTATCATCCTCGTCATCAATCGTTTCATTCGCATTATAATTTAAGTACATCATATTGTAGACATTAATCAATGTATTAATATCATAGTAAGTGTATAGTTAAAATATGATCATTCTAGGGGTCATGACAAGCATGATAGATAATTTTTTTTTATTTTGAGTTCTATGAATCATTTTTCTTTTTTTTTCAATTCTGTTTCTTCTGTATCAATATGATACAAGATGTCAGTAGAAATCGATGAAAACAAATAAATTTGTAAATAAAAAGTATTTTTATATGATTTATATAAATTAAAGAAAATAATAAATGAATTAATTTTGATTTTAATATAAATAAATTTCTCTAAAAATTTCATTGGTTATCCGTTATTTATATTTCAAATAAATGGATAGGATCATATGCTTGTATATGCTTCTTCATTTTTTTTTCTTTCTGTCATTTGTCTTTCTATTCTTTCTTTTTACCTACAAACAATTGTCAATGATTGATTTTATCGAAATATGTTTTTAGATCGGTAGAAATAAAATATACAAAATGACCGATCGTGATGATATTAGTGAGGTCTGTTATTTATCTTAATATATATACATAATTTATTATTAAATTGAAATAATTTTGTAAATAGATTGTTGAAATTGATTTCGAAGTTGGACATACATCAACAATTCGACCAGAACCAACAACTAATCATAATCCACCACGTACTCATGATTGGAAAGTTTATTTACGTTCAGCTGATGTTCATGGTGATTTAAGTTGTTTAATACAACGTTGTGTGTTTTATCTTCATCCAGAATTTCCAAATAATAAGCGAGGTTAAAAGAACACGGCTTATTTGAAGGAAAAAACTAACAACAATAAATAATTTTTATTTTCAATTTAGAATTAAAAGCAACACCATTTGCAATACAAGAATCAGGTTATGCTGGTTTTCATTTGGTATAATTTTTTGTAATATTTTTTTGACTTGATGATTTGTCTTTGTTTTTTATTCTAGCCAATTGAAGTATTTTTTAAAACAAAAAAAGATCCGAAAAAATTTCGTATTGAATATGATCTTGATTTACATACCAATGCTGAAGGCCATCCAAATCGACAAAAAGAAAGTTATGTACGAAAATATCGTTGTACATTTCATGATCCTGATCCAGATTTTCGACAAAAAATCTTAGCTGCTGGCGGGGTAAGAAAGAAAAACACACACACACAGATAGATTTTTCCTCTTTTTTTTGACTCTTTCCTAATCATATTGATGATTAACCTATTCAAGGTATCAGTCTTTACTAATAAACCGTAACGAATATTATTTTTCTACATAGAAATAAAAACAAATTTGTTAGTTTTAACTCAAGGACATTGAGTTATTCTCATCGAGAATGTATTTCTAATATAGATTGAAATTTTAATAGAGTCTGTCTATTTTTATATTAATATTATACAAAAAATATTTTTCATTTGTAAATTCTAAATATCCTATTTTGATATGTTCATTATGAATTAAAAAGAAACGATAAAATCGTCTACTTAGCTATTTAAAAATACCTCATCTGTGTGCTCATCTCTCGTTGATTTGCTTTTTTTATCTTGACATATGACATATACATTTTCATAAGTCGAATGATTCTTCTCCTACACATTATGACATATATACAATCTATATTTATACGCATCATATAATTTTATCATGAAGTTAAAACAAACGATTTCTTTTTTCTTCTTTTGAAGTATTATGAATAAACCTTGATGAACGTATTTATTAAACAAAAGGGAATATCGAACAATAAACGATTCATTTTTAACGATAAAAATATATCATAGGATGAATTATTATTATTTCTTTTTTTTTGTATATATATATAGAAAATAAAAGATACTGGGACAGTATCCACGAATAATAATGATAGTGATGAAAGTGATGCTGACGAAGAATCAATTCCACCACCAGCACCAGCACCACCACCGCCACCATTACCTGAACCAATTGTTCGTCATTCTCCACCACAAAAACGACCATTTTCACCGATACCAACAGTAAATCCAACTAATAATAAAAAAGTTAAACTTGAACAATCAGTAATTAATCCAAAGAAAAAGCAACCACAACAGTCGATAATTAAGAATGAAAATTCGGTTAAATTAACAGTGAATCATATTACGAAAAAAACTTCATTAACATCATCCAATAAACAGTCATCATCACTTGTAGAAGATAAATTAACTAAAAATTTGCCAATAAAAGATTCCAATTTAATAGTCAATACTAATGCATCTTCTGAAGGTAAATTTTAAAAGAAAAAAATAATTTTCAAATTTATTTCTTTTCTTTTATTAGATTCATCTATAACTAAATCCCGTCCATCAACAAAACTAAAACCTGATCATGATATAAAACCTTCAATTAATCAAATAACTAAAAAAAAAGAGCCAGCACCGTCGCCATCAAAAACTAATACACAAATTCCATTAAAAAAACCATTACAAATGTTAACAACTAAACCTACTCAAAAAATTCCTATTAAAATCGAACAAACAACATCTACAGTTAATAAATCACCATCAAATGTTAATATTAAACGAGAATCATCCCCAAGCATACCGTCTTCGAACAGTACAACTTCAACAAATTTAATCAGTACATTGAAAAAAATTCCGAAAAAAGTTGCACCACCCTTACCGCCACCACCACCTCCGCCAATAACTGAAAAACGTGCACGTTCACCCATGACTCCGCCACCATCAAATAGAAATTCAGATCGAGTAAGGTTTTATTTCTCGTATTTTTTCTATAATTTCATTTTAATCAAAGGATTTTCATCGACATCAGTCATCATCATCTAAAAGTCATTCAAATTCCAAACGAGATCGTTCTTCAACGATAACATCCACAACAGCAACAACATCAACAACAATAACAACAACTCCACCATCATCATCTATCAATAATTCTAGTAGTAGTCGAAGCAGCAGTAGTAGCAATCGATCAGGAAAACATAGTGGAAGTAGTAGAGGTAAATTATAGCTGAATTTTTTATGATTAATTAGCGATAAAAGTCGATGATATGTTATGCACTCTATAACTGTCAAATGACATGAGATGCGAAATGTTTAAATTTTAACTAAATATAAAATATGTGAAATTTTGTAATTAGGTCGTTCTCGTTCACGAAGTCGATCTCGATCACGTTCACGTAATCGTTCCAGTCATCAAACACATCATAATAATCGATCACATCATTCATCTAATTCATCTCGACATTCATCACAACAAAAAGATCGATCAAATCGTCATATATCACCTCATGTACATCAATCATCTTCATCAAAATCTTCCTCATCACATCATAATAATAATCGTCGTACACCAACGCCATCAAAATCAACTCGAAGTCCTTCACGATTAATTCAATCTCATACAGAACCACCGACATCTTTAAATGAATTATCCGTACCATTGTTAACATCATCTATAAATACACCACAATCTCGTCCTGAAAGTGTTGAACCACCTGTTGTTGCTTCAACAGTTTGTTCACCTACACATATATTTCATAGTGAAGATGATCATACTCAAACACCCATGGATATTGATGGACAAAGTGATGATGATACAAATATTCATCGTCATATACAACATTCAGATGATCACGATCAAATTTCACCATCATCATTAACATTTATACCAAATGATTCAACAAAAATTTTAACAAATAGAAATTTTCAATCGGATCATTCATATTCATCATTAGATACAAATGAAAGTAATGATGATAGTAATATATCATTAAATAATGATGATGATGATGATGATTTACCAAGTGTATTAACTGATGATGATTTAAGATCAAAATTAATTTATATTTATAATCGTTTTCAATTAAATACAACTAATGATTTAACAATATTTGTAACATTTTTTAAACGACATAATTTAGTAGATTCATCATCAAAATCAACTAATGGAATGTTTACATACGATCTTTTTTCATTAAATCCATTATTAATCGATGAATTAGCAAACGATCTTGGATATTTAACAAATTCTATTATTAATCGAACAGAACAGTGATTTCTTAGAAAATAAAAAATATCTATATATTATATATATATATACTCGTTTAATTGTATGCAAATCTTTTTCTTTGTCTTCTTCTTCTTCTTTTCTTTATTTATGAGAATATATCTGTTGGAATATGATATGTCTTTTCATTCTTTTTTTCTCTTACTTGTATAATTTTGTTTTTGTTCGTTTTATTTACTCTTTACTATTTTCTCTCTTGTTGGTTGATTGCGTTGTTTATTATGATTAAGTCTTTCACGCATGTGCACTATTTTATAGATATATATATATATATATACATATATGTGTGTGTTTAATAATGGTGCCTGACAGAGAGTTGTTTTTTTTTCTTTTTTTTTGTTAATTTGGATTATATTTGTTCAGTATAACAAAAGAATAAAGGATAGTTGATGCTAAATCTATATGATATTTATTTATGAGATAAAAAAAATCAATTTTTATTCATACTTAAATATATCTTTTATTGTCTTTTGATGTATAAAGATAAAATTTCTAATAAAATACAAATGAATTGTAATCATAAGATTTAGTTACATATTTATTAATTCATTTTGTTTTCATTTAATGCACAAAAAAGAACATGTTAAGTACATTTATATTCATCGAAATAAATCTAGTTACTACTGTGCAAAAATTTATTCAAATAAATAATAACAGGCAGAAAGTAAAACTCCTCTATAATGACATTTTACAACTGTCGATTAAAGAGAGTAGATCTACTTTTGAATATCTGACGGTTGAATGAATAAGATAACGAACTAAACCATATCATTATTGTCTCTTTTATTTGTTTTTCTAATTTTGAAAAGAAGTAAAAAAATAATCTCTGATAGAACTCTGTTTAGCCATTTTGAAATCAAGACAAAATGTCAGTTAGTTACAATTCCAGAGCAGATAGGATCGATATTGATTTGAAAATACCTAAATCTTGACCATTTCAATGCGACATGATACTCTTTCTGTCTTAAAATACGATAAATGTACCGGTGCAGTATTTAATCTAGCGAGTGGGCGCCGCCCACCCAAAAAAGGAAACCTGGATAAAACACTGCACCGGTATCATTCTCGATTATTTTTTCGTTGGTTTAATAAATTGCATGTCTCTTTTTATAATTAACGCAAAAAAAAACGGAATTATATTTTCATCTATTATTGATATAACAAAAGTGAAAGAAAGAAAACGTTTTTATTCGGTTGGCAATGAGAGATGATATCATCTAGGTATAATTTTTCTTTGTTACGACTCGTTTTTCTTTTTTTTGCAAGCGATTATTGTGCGCTCGCAGACATTCACACACAACAATTATTTTTGAGGTGAGCTTGAGTAACTTTTCTATACTTATAAAAAACGATAAGAGGAGAGCAGAACAAGAAAAAAGGGAAAAAGAAACAACAAAGAACATATATAAGGCACACGTATAGATTGTGTTGACAGATGTTATTTTTAAAGAGGTTTGTAGAGAATGTTGTTTTTTTTTAATTTATTAGTTGTGATGTCAAAATAATAGTAGAAAAAAATGTTTATAATACAATTGAAAATAGGTGATTTGCTTCTTTTTTTTGTTATAACAAAAAAAAACACAACCTTCATTTGACTTAAAGCATCAGATCAAAATACATAATGTACTTTTATTGACTAACTTAATGATCAAGTGACGTAAGTAATCATATTCTTTAAGCAAGGTTATTTGTTCGAATTAGGAAAATATGAAAGATGATTGATTTCTCTTTTTTCTTATTGTTCATTTTAAAGTATAGGTAACTTCCTTTTTTTCTTGTTTAGAAAAAAAACACGTAAAACTTTCTTGAATCTTATAATTGAAATTAAGGTTATAATAATAGAAATTATTTATTTAGCCTATATATTTTATTTAGTTAATACAAGTAAAAATTCTCGGTAATGTCTGCTTTAAAATAAATATTGATTATACAGTTCATTGAGTTATTCTTAGTGATGAACTTGTCTTATTTTATATCATTTCAAAGTTGAAATAAATAGCAAAAGACAAATAAGTCTATACATACATGCTATAAACTTTCAAGGTAGAGAAAAAGAAAAGAAAAAGAGAACGAGAATGAGAAAAGAAGAAAGAAAAAAGTGAAAATCCTATTAGCTTCCTTTTTCAAAACTATTCCGTATAGAAAAATAGTCGAACGACATTGTGAAAAAAGAAGAAAAATCTTTATTATGACATATGCAAGCATCATGAGCATCATTTAAAGAAAAACATACTTTTTTCTATATTTAATTTAATGCTTGCATAATGTATATTTATTTGATATGGTTTTCTTAATATATTCTATTGAAAAATATGTTTTATTACTATATTATTCAAGTGAGTTACTATGAATTTTGATGAAAACCACCTGTTACAGGTAAATTTTTTGATTAAAACTAAATGAAATAGATAAATTCATAGATTAGAGATTGATTCAAGCGAAAAACTTTTTTTTATCTAGTTAAAAGGAAAAAGATAATTAAATCAAAATTCTGTTGTCAAGGACAGATATATGTTAATTTAGTTTCATACTTAAAAATATTTTTTTTTGTTTCAAATATTCTTAATAATTATTGTTCATTTCATTCATTCTCATCATCTTCAAATTAAATATTTTTATTCGCATGACTACTCGAATGAGACCTATTTTCATTAATAATAATCAAAAAAGTCTTATATGACGTTAATATCTCATTAGAAATAATTATCATGTATATATATATATATATTTATGTAGTTGTAATTGAGCATGATCTATTTTCTTTTCGATTTTTTTTTGTTTTTCTCAAAGAAGATGAAAAAATAAATTATGAAATCCATATAGTTGTTATAGAGGGTGGATATTTGTTGTCATCAATGTTGTTATATTGTTTTCTTTCTTTTCTCTTGACAACAGTCAGCCGCTAAATTATGTCATACACCTTCTATAGAATTGCGCTCTTAAGATGTCCTTTCTATCGGTCGTACAAGATGCTATTATATTTTCGCGAGCGCACGCGCGCACGTAATTATCGGAACAATATATATGCAGTGTTGCTATGCAACTGAGCCTATATGTTATGTTATTTAGAAAGAAAAAAAAGACAACTTATATTATAGATTGTTGAAAGATGACACATTTTTAGATTTTGACACAAAAGTCAAGAAATAAGAAAGGAAAAGAACACGTTAAAAATGAGTCTATAATGCGCGATTGCTATACAAACAAATCGGTTTATAAAGTGAAGGTTGTAATGATTCAAACTTCAATTATGAGTGCAAGAGTCGAATATCTTTCTTCAAAAATTAATCATCTATTTTTGTAACTTTCTATTTGAAATTAATTGAATTCTTTATTTTCTTTTAATACATTTAATACTTCAAAAATAATAGATATTTATTATTTTTATGTATGTTCTCATTCGTTTTCTTTTTTATACTACATATATATGCAATCATCACTATCGAATCGATAATATTGGTTGCTACATTTATTTAGTAACCTTACTAATGCTGTTTTATTAAACTATCTTGCAAATAAAATTATCTGATTAGAAATTGTTTTTTTTATTTTTCAAGTTGTCATAGCGTAGGAGTATATATAAAAGATAATAATAATCATATGGATTGAATTAAGTTTGTTAGAAGTATCGAAACTATTCCAATTTCGTTTTCTTTCAGATATAAATGTTTTGCAATGATAATAATGACAATAAATCTTATCATAAATTCAATATTTAAGCATACGATTACTTGTAATTCCTGATTATATTCATTTCTATAATATAAAATGACGACTGAATATGATCAACATCATGTTCAACGTGGAGGATATCAACAATATGATCAACAAAGATATCAACAACATGAACAACATGGATATCAACAGCATGAACAACGTGCATATCCTCAATATGATCAACGTGATCAATATCAACAGCAACAACAACAATATCCATCAGTCCCTGAACGTGGTCGAGCTATTCGATTAATGAGAAATGGAGATCCATATTTTACTGGTCGTACATTTGTTATTAATCAAAGAAAATATCCAATGTTTGATGGTTTCTTAGATGATGCATCTCAATCCTTACGAGCTAATTTTGGAGCTGTTAGATGTATTTACACACCCAAACATGGTACACGATTAAAAGATATGTCTGAATTTGAAGATCATCGTACTTATGTCGCAGCAGGTGGAGAAAGATTCAAAAAACTTCAGTAAATATCGTTTACAAAAAAAAATAAAATTTATATTATCTATTTTACAGTTATTTGGATATAGCAGATGGCAAACGCATTGCAACGAAAGGACAAATTCCACCAAAAGTAAATTTATAGAAATTTTTTTCTGAAGTCAGATTTGTCTTATATAAATCTGATTAAGATAAAACCTAATCTAGTTTTTAATATATATTCATATCTATTTATGAAATAGTATATAAAAGTTGACAACAAAATACTCCTGTACTATATTAAATATTTCTGAATTGTCTTTTTTTTCTAGTTTCAACTTCCACCAGTTCGACGTATAGATGTGGAGGGACGCGCAATGAAATTATCTCGATCAGAAAATGTTATCATTTAGTAAATAAATTTTTTTTGTTATCTATTAGATTAAATCAATCTTCTTCTTTTTCCAGTGTATATCGAAATGGTGATCCATTAACATTACCTGCTAAGATTCTTTTAGTTAAACCAACATTACAAAATTGGGAATCAGTTCTAGATGAAATTACAAAAAAAGTATCTCTAGCTTCTACTGCAGTATTAAAGTATATTCAATTCTATAGATAATATATACATGTTTAATTATTAAATATTTTAAGATTATATTCAATGAATGGAGATTTATTAACATCAGGACAACAACTTGAATATAATGGAATGTATGTTGCAGCTGGAAAAGAACGTTTCAAACGTTTAGAATATCCAGATGCAAAATCATTTAGTGCAAATTCTTCACCAAAAATGTCAAGAAAATCGTAAGTAAAATATATTTAATGAATCAATTAATCTATAATGAGTATAATAATACAAATGATATATATTCATTTGTTTAAATTAGATCAAAACATCAACTTTTTCCGTAAGTACGAGAAAGAGAGAGAGAGAAAAAAATCGATGTTAATTGAACGCAGCAAAACATAAAAGTAGCGTGTTTATTTACATCGATAAATATCTAACAATTATTATTGTTTCAATGTATTTTCTAACCAAAAAAATTGTGTATCGATCGTTAAAAAAAAACAAAATAAATTCTCTCCTCATTATTTTCTAGTGTTCGTCCTCAAATAAAATTACCTTCATTACAAAGGAGGATAGATGATTCTAATATGCAACCAAGGTATTCTTCTTCAATACTACTATCTAATCTAATCAAATATAAAATTACTTAACAAGATCCATAACTTCTCTCAATAATACATAATCGTTATTTTATTCTTCTTCTTTTTTTTCAATTATATATTCAATTCTTATCACAATTGCTTTTTTTTCTCATTTAGATATATGAAATCTGATGGAACAAATACACATACAACTAATACAGCAACTTCGTATGGAAGTACCGAGACTACTGGCCAGTATGTTTTTTTAGAGAGGAAATTTATATTGAAAAGAATGATGTTCCTTTTTTAAAGTCGACGTCCTGTTCGAGAAGAATATGATTTTTTTAATAACAAACCACAACAACATCGACGTGGTCCAATTAAAGAAATTGATCTTGATCGAGGTTATATTGCAGAAATAAACAAATAGAGTAAAATTATTATTTTTAGATGATGGTGGTATTTACAAAGGTCGATTGAATCATCGAGAACGTATTCGTGAAATTGATGATACACGTGATACAAAAGTTGATTTACCAGTTGATCATAGACAAGTTGAAACTGTTAAAGACGAACAAATTTTTGGAAATAATGAAGTATGTTAAGAAACTAATTAATAAAAAAATTCTATCGTTTCTTTTTTTTACCAATTAAGAAAATGCCTCGCCGTCATCCACAAACGATGAATCAATCATTTTCTGATACTCGTCACAAACCAATCAAAGTATACACTAATTCTTGTTTTTTTGAAAATGAAATTTTCTAAATATTTATTTTATTTTTTTAAGAGTCCATTAAAGAATTATAATAATGACGATAATCGATATCCATCTAATAATAATTATAATCATCATACTGCTATACCAATTGATGATAATCATTTTGATCAACATTCACCAAGTTTCGAACGTCGACAATCATTTGTAACATCAAATACAGTGGTATGTTTCATTTCGAATAGAATATTTTCTTTTTTCTAATATCTACTAACTGAATATTAACATGTGTGCATGCTTATTCGCATTAATAGGCTAATAAAATCAATGAAGATCAAGCTGCTACAATCATTCAGTCACATGTTCGTGGTTATCTAACACGTAAACAGTCTCAACAAAGTCAAATTCATGGTAAGGAACGTAATGGATATCAATATTGTCAACCATCACAAGTAATTGAGTTGAATGCTTAGCTTATAAATTAACCCCTGCTTAGTGTGATGAAATACTTTAAAAATAAAATCTAATATTTTGTTTAAATAAAAAATTTCATCTCTTCTAATCAATAAATTATTCTAGACTTCTTCGGAATCATCGATCTATAATCGAAAATTCTTATGAAAAAAATAAAAACATCTAGTATGGAAGTATGAATCTTTATGTGCACATTTATTTTTTCTTAGAATTTTTATAACGCTTTTGCAGAGAAACGAGGGGCACATATTAATTTAATATAAATACGATAATTATTTATAATATTTTTCTATTTTTAGAGTGACTATAACAATAATAATGATTATGCATAATATTTTTATTTTGACAAATTTTTTTGGCTAAAATAAATTTTTCAATAGATGTTGTATATACATCGAATGACTTATTTTATTGTTTTTTTTATATAATCAGAAGAAGAAATATATCTTATTGTATTTGTTCTTCTTTATAATTTTCCTTTTATTTTATTCATATCTTTTTTGTCTGTTAATTGAACATTGTCTTTGCTGTAGCCATTATACAAATGCTTTGAAACAGTAAATAATGGCACTGGCAGCTTTTAAAAAATAATAATCATTGTCATTTTATTTATATATTCATATGTTTACTTGCATAGAAAGTAGAGTGTTTTTCTTATAAGTTTTATATCGAAAACTCAAAAAAATAGGAAAGAGTGATATTTGGATGAAATTCAATTAGTGGTACTTATATTTTTGAGTACATTCATGTTATTCCAATTAAGATTGAACTTTATCGTTTTATAAACATGTACTTAGCGGGATACATGATTTGTTGTTTTTATTGAGTAATACAATACGGATGAAATGATCATTTCTAGTTGATATAATTCAAATAGTTGGAAACAATAATATTTACCAATTAGTCACGAATCCTAATGCATTAATAATATTTTCGGTATTAGTTCAGGGACATAGGCAGAGAGGATGTACCCTCCAAGGCCAAAAAATATTTAGAGGTGAATACTCGTAAATAACCTTGTACCGAGATAAAAAAAAAGTATTTTAGCGTTGGTGTGCAATCCCTCTCCCCCTCATGTAAAATTCTTGGTTAGGCCTCTGTATCTACTCTCGCCTACCGAACCTCAATTTAATACAGACTTTAGTTTAGTCAACTCCTCTTTCAAACTAAACTAAATGGGTATATTATTACAATAAAAATATTTGTATGTATTACTAGATAAATTATATCGATAGTAAATTTTGGACTTGTTTAATTATCTTTGCATACCATTAACTCGAATAATGTTTGAAAATTCTAAAATTTGTTATTTGTCTGTAACTTATATTTTACTAAGACTATTTAATTGACTAAATATTCTTTTAACAAATTAAAAACATACTTGTTCTTATGCATTTTGACACGCTCTATTCATCCGTTATGAAAAAGTAAACTAACTTTAATTGAAATTTTGTATTATCGTTACTTCAAACATTCGAATAACTGACTCATTCATTTAACGACAGGTATTTTGGTCTAACATAAAATCTATCCTACTTTCTTTAGATATAAAACACACTATAATTTATTGATGAATATACTTCATTGATTTATTTAACACCTTTGAGTATTGAATTATTCATATGTGAGAACTTTTCTTTAAATAATCAGTAGGACATTAATTTTTTTTCTATAAAACAGAAATTAATATTAGAAGATTTACTCAATTTTTTCTTAACATATGCTTATCTTATTTATCAACAAACGGAATTATATTGTTATGTTTATGTTGATAAATAATATGATGACAAAACAGTCGCATATGTTGTTAAGAGAAAACTATATGTCATGTTATTGTTTCATCCTTCCAAAGTGCAAGCATAATAATCGCGTTAATCGTATTTACTTTTTTTTTCTCTTTTCGACAAAAAAACAAAGTTATGAATATGTGTGCGAAGCATGATAGCGTGATGTGAGTGGGAAAAAAATGTGACAGAACACAACAAAATCGATGTCTGCTGGGGAAAAACCAACAGTTAAAAAAATGTACAGAAACGAAAAAGTAAATAAGTTAAGGCAACTTTTAAGCTAAAGTATGAGAACAAAAGAAGAATTGAAATTAATGATGATATTCAAAAAGAATGAAGATGATAAATAGAGACATGACAACTATGTATAAATATATAAGGAGGGAAAGAAGAACATACGAGAGTATAGGTGATGTTTAGTAATGTTACGGGGGGGCATGCACATTTACATGCACCCCCAACCGTTGCATTTTAACAGCGTATGTAAAGCTGTTCTTTTTTTTTATACGTCAACTATTGATTGCGAGACGTCTACAATTGGTCGTGAAGTTTTCTTTTCTTCTCGCATTCTTTTTTTTCTTCCTATTTTTTAAATTTGAAATATAAACTTTGTGTGTCACATTTCAAAACATTGATATCCAATTCAATTTCAATGGGCGCAAGTGAAAGTGCAGAAATTCGAGTTTCGTTTGATCGTTCAACTTTATTCTATTACACTGGTGAAAATATACTAGGCAATATTTTATTTCATAATACACATGAAAAATTAGCATTAGACGAAATTTTTCTTGAATTTATTGGTGAACTTGGATATACAACAAGAGAGACAAGGCGTCGACATGACAGTAATGGACGATCTCATACAGAACACTTCACCGAATATCATCGAATACCATTTACAAGTCATCGTATTCCAGTTGTTCGACCTCAATATGGACAAGTATATATATATATTCAATAATTATTCAATATTTCTTAACTATTTTCTTTCTAGCGTGAAGTAACTCTCTATCGTGGTGATTATTCATGGCCATTTGAATTTACTCTCCCTCAATGTTTACCGCCAACATCAATTCCAATGTCAGTCGCATATCCTTATGTAAAATATTATATGCGTATTGTTCTTGATAAACCATGGTATAAACCAAATGCTAAACAAATCTATGCATTGACAATATTTCCACGTGTTAATATTCATCAACTAATGAATGCTCAATTACCTGTACCTCTTTCACAAACAAATAGAAAAAAAGTTCATTTACAAGGACGTCTTCTTCAAACTGGTGTTACACCTGGTGAAAAATTATCATTAGAAATTAATCTTGACAATCCAAAATGTGCCGAAATCAAACGAATTGAAGCAACACTTATTCAACATCGACAAATTGCTCATAGTCAACAATCAGAAGTTATATTTCGAATGAATCTACCTGATTTTTCTGAATTTAATGGAACTAATTTTCGTAGAACTTTTGAATTACATTTACCTACTGAGTATTTATCGCCTACGTATACATATTCATCACAGTGTCCTGGTGCATTATTTACTGTTGCTTTTCATTATGAACTTAAATTAGATGTTAAAGTACGAGGATTATTTACTGATTTTAAAGTAAGTGTACCAGTTATTGTTGGTACAGAAACAATGTCTGATGATCCACCACTAGTAAATAGGTTTGTTGAAACAATAATGCCAAGTGCTCCAGCATATGATTATGATGAACCACCACCAAGTTACGATTCAATAATTGCAAAAATTAAACAATAAAAGCTAGACATTATTCTAGTTGTATGCCTCCGTCGTGATCCACTTTTTATTCATTGTATTTATTATGATGACACGAAACTGTAAAAAAGATAAGATTGTGATAATTTGAGATATATAGTAATAAATAAAATGCATTTATTCGCAAAGAATAATTTTCATATTTCAAAGATGAAACTCTTAAGATCAAAGTTGTTTTATATGTAAAAGGATTGTTACAGTCATACATGATCGATAATTAAGATAAAAAGTACATTCAACAAGATGCCTCTCAGATGCCTGATAAAATACCATTCCGATTAAAATAGAGGATTTTTATAAACTAATTTTGATGTTTAAAATGTATATAAAATAATATAGAATTTGAAGGTAATGTCAGCATTTCGCAATACTTATTTGTTTGTTTTTTAATGACTCATCGTTTTTTCTCACACAATCATATGTGAAAAATGACATTATATAAACATATTTTATGCCTATTCAAATATATTAATAAAAACATTTTGAGTCATAGCTTCAAACGACTAGCTGTCTACTTGTTAGAACGATTGAAGAGTTATCAAAATATATTTTATTATGTTAAAAATAAAGTATAAACAAAGAATGTGTGAATATCATTAGAACATATTTTTCTAATTCGTCATATATATAACTTATACAGTAATTATTCATTAAAATATCAATCCGATGTTTATTATTTTATGTTTTTTCAAGAATTTCTATTCAAACTAACAGAACAACATATCATTTATTCCTGTTCTACATACATTATCGACTCGCTAATTTTTTTGTAAAAAAAGACACGATTTACAAAAATATAACGGATGTTGCATAAAGAATGGTGCTGTTAGTATTTTTGAGATTTCTCCTATATTATCTATTTGACTGAAATACTTTCTTATCAAAAGATAGTGCTTGGAACTCTTCACTATGTAAGATATATTGAAAAAGATGAAATGTAACGAGTTGAGCGTTATGAATGATCACGCTTTCCTTCCTATCACCTTATTAAATAAACTAAAACATACCAAACGATGTAGCGTGAAAAGCTTCACAATTTGAAAAAAAAGTTATAAAAAGACGCACTAGGAAAATACCAATTCACCATGAATTAAAAATAAGTATCATTTTTACACGGTCGAAATCCAATCCCTCAAACTTTTGTCTATTTCGAAAAAAAAGTGTAGCTTTAAATTAATCTTTTGATAAGAAACGTGTTTTCATCAAACGGGTAGGATAGAAGAAATTTTTTATGTGACAGTCTCTATATTTTTAACTAAATTAATTGAATAAACAAAATACTAAGATTTACTATTTTCTTGGTTATGCTAACACTAATAATATTTTCATATATTAGTCTTTTGTATTTACAAGATATATAAGAAGCAAGATAAATGTTTAATTGTAAAATAATCTTTTAAAGAAAAATGTTCCTACTGAAATTCAATGTTCTATCATAACATTCATTTAATTCGTACAAATGTGACTAATCATCAAGGATCTAATGAAAAAGAATTATCAGAAGTTTCTGATTTATTCATTTCACATTTTCTATCATGGGTATATATAAATACGATATAATTTGTGATCTATTACATGTTACTATTGTCGATTATACACCGAAATTTAACATGAAACTTCGAGGAACATGTATTAATATCACTGTTGAGTCCGAAATGATTTTGACAAAAATTTAAATTTATCAGAAATTGTAAAAATTTAAAATGTTTATAAACCGGATCGAAGTTGGTAATTTGACAAGTCTAGAAATTCAAAACTATCTAAATGCCCACTACGAATTCGAGATAATAGTGCTTTTAAATTTGGTAATATCATATTTCACCATGAGGATGTTGTATACTCATATTGACATTTGAAATGATAAAGATAAGTTAATCACTTTGGTTTATCAATCAGTTCAAAATTCGTAAACTGATTTGATGCTTATACAATATACTCTCATTTATTTATCCAATATTCGTTTAGAAACAAGCTAGATTTATAAATGGAGTAGATGTTTATAAATCAGATTTATAAATAGGCCCGATTTATAAACACCAGAATATTTATAACTATTTTAAATTTTCGGTTGAAAAATTTATGATTTATAAACCAATATAAATAAATCGATTTATAAATAGCCTACTTTCGGACTCAATAGTGATTAATATAGTTGTAAATATATCGAACATTTTTAATCCTTTAGCAGCGGATGCAGTATCTAAACTACTTCGAATATTATAGTACTCTAGACGATCAGATATAATCTCCTTCAATATGTGTGATACGAACTATGATGTTCGACGGTACGAAACAGAACAGAACTAGTTTCACGCTTCATCACGCTCTGCAGTATCTAGTTTTTTTAGAGAAACTTGAAGTAGTATATATGACACGCCCATCTACAGAACAGTAAGAAATTATTACCATTGAACTATTATAAATCAATGATTACAAATAGAATCTAGAATTTAAATAAAATAGTTAACTTTCTATTATTATCTTAATATATATGTGATTATATTTTGTAAATAAAACTCTATTTAATACTAAACTATTATTTTAATAATTATATTCGATGGAGTATTGCTCTCTTACAACAACAGATAATAAATACTAAACTTATATTCTTTGATCGATTTTATATAATAACATTGGAATATTATAATATATATTCATGCAAATATTGTTGTTTATTTTTAAAATCTTTTATATCAATAAAATTATTTCTATATGTTCTAGCTATGTACGAAACAAAAAAAAAGTAGCCAAAAAATATTTTATTTAATTATCCAAGTTATGAAAAATAATTATTTTTTATTAATGATTTCTATCGATTTTACCTAGCTTCATTTCATATTATATATGCAATAGAAACGCGTGATTGAAGGCGTGGTTAAAAATATGATGTATTCTGTGATTTATTAGCCATATTTTGATTTGCTTTAACGATATGCTTCATAAAGTTAATAACGTTATATCTGCTTACCTGTTGACGTTATTCTCTTCTAGCCTATTCTTGATGTTGATGTTTAAATAAAGTGTATTGAGTAATGTAGAATAAGCATCATCGTCATCTGTATAACATATCAACTGTCATCATGTATATAGATGCACTAAAAAATACCTATAATTTTTAAATAGTTGCTGATGCATAGCTTTTCTCCTACGCAATATAAGCATTTTTTTTTCTATTGTTTAAGACCGACTACATAGTTTATATTTTTCATAATCATATACAAAAGCAAACACAATGGGTGTAGGCAAAAGCACTACAGTTAATGTAAGTTTTAATCATTCCGATTCATTTTATTATGCTGGTGAAGAAGTAACTGGTATTGTTTCATATCATAATACTCATAAAACATTACATGTTAAATCTATATTTATTGATTTTATTGGTGAATTTTGTTATACAACACCATATACACATCAATATCCGAATGAAGCTGATTATTCAAATATAGAACAACGTCCAGTACATCATCGAATACCATTTATAAATAATCGTTTTCCTGTAATTCATCCAGAAGCAAATCAAGTAAAAATCTATATATATATAAATATCATATTAAATTATTCTTGATCATTTTTTTTTCAGGATGAAGTAATTCTTGAACGTGGTGAATATTCATGGCCATTTCAATTTACTCTTCCTCAATCTTTACCACCATCATCAAGTCCATCGACAACTTCATATCCTTATGTAAGATATTATGCACGTATTGTTGTTGGCAAATCACGATATCAACGAACTATGAAACCAATTTATCCATTAACAGTTTTTCCAAATGTTAATCTTTTTTATACAAATGATGGACGACAACCTGTTTTACTTTCTAGTCGCAATCGTAAAAATTTAAAAGTTAAACTTTATTTAGATCAACGTGGTATTTTACCCGGTCAAAATATATCTCTTCATATTGATCTTCAAAATCCGAAACGTTTAAAAATACAAAGAATCGAAGCAACATTAATTCAACATAGACAAGTTGCACTCGATCATCATGCAGAAACTATTTTTCAAAAAAATCTACCTAATATAGCCAATTTCGATAAGGCAGAATTACACCAAACTTTTGATTTACAAGTACCATCGAATCATTTACCGCCAACATATACTTGTAAAGTTAAATGTCATAGTGCATCTATACGTACTAATATTTATTATGAATTAAAATTGGAAATAAAAGTGGATGATGTACTTTGTAATATGAAATTCAATATTCCAATTATTATTGCAACAGAATCATTACCAGATCGATATCAAATAGGAAATAACAATTCTACTGATATGCCTATTCCATATTCAGCTGTTTTAGAAGAAACAGATATACTACCTAGTTATGAATTTGCAATAAAAAATTGTAAATTAGAATGATTTCAAATTATTCAACAAATTATTATTTGTATTTCATAGGAAGTATTTTATTGTTAACAATAAATATAAATTATTGTAATAAAACTAACTAATTTATTTAAATGTACATTGACTATTAATTTTGTTTATAAAAAATAAAGATATACTATTGTGTGTATCAATTTTGTGAACTTATAACAGATATTTCAGAATAGAAAAGCAGTACTTTGTCGAGTGAGTGGGCGAAGCTTGTTCGAACAATGAAATGTAGACAACGCAATGGTGGGCGATTCACACCCATCATTATGACTAGCACACCTGTAAAACAAAACATGACTAAGATACTATAGGGAAATCATACATAACGATTATATATATATCTACATTGGATTTTATTTTATATCTATAATTAGGAAACTAAATAGTTAAGATAATATTATTCTTGTTTATTTTATCGTATTGATTATTTTCTTACATATTGAAATGAAATATGATATGATTTTTTGTTAATGTTATATAAATATAAAAGAATTAATGTTTCATATTACCATTACAAAAATAATAAAACATTGATATTGATGCATTGAATGTAGTTAAATAAATTATAAATCAGTCATGTAACGATTGTCGTCGAAGGATGAGAATTGAGGTGGGTGTCTTCAGTCACTATTATATTATATTTGATGTATTATTTTGCAGTTCTTCTCACATGTATATTCATATTTATGTTTGTGTTATTATTGTGTAAGGGCAATGAGTATAATCGCCAGCTTATTTAGAATGGAGGATAGCTGAAGAATCTATATAAACTATTTACCTCGTGTTTTTCATTACTTACGAATATAATTTTTTGAAGTTAATTGCATGATTATTTCTAGTAAAACTAATGTTACTTTTTATTCTATTTACATGATTATTGAGTCTTTGTTAGACTCATATATCCATAAATAAAATTTAATTAGATATGTGACAAATTCATCAATGTATACAGAACTATAATTAAAATATTATTAAGTAATGCTTCATTCAAACTTGTCTGTCGAGTTTGACTAGAATTAATAAATAATATAGAACATCTTCGTCAAATATGTGTCAAATTATCTCATGAAATATTCTAGGTAACACGAGATTGAATTATACGAACAAGCAATGTATAATAATGATACTGAATTCTATAAAACATAACGAGATTTCACATGAATTTGAAACATACGTTCTTGATTTAGATTAATAAAGTTTAGTTCTTTGGAATGAATCTATCTGAAATAGAACTAATCTTGATTAATATCTCCGAAATCGTAAATAATAAAAGTATTTATTTGTAATCTGACGCATGTAATCAGACTCTTTTTTTTCAATACTGAATAAACTATTTAAAGAATATTAATCCCTATATCAATTGATTCATATTACATTTATTATTGTAAGAAAATATTTAAAATCACTTTTGAAAATAATGCTGTTTCTATTAGTTCTATCTGTATTGTTGTATAATTCATTTATACAAGCTATACCATCAGTATCTTTTTATTATCCAAAAAATTTAACTGAGTCAACTTGTACAAATGATCATTCATGGACAAAATGGTTTAATTCAGCTAAACCAAATAGTACTACAGATTTCGATCAAGAAATTCTCTCAATAATTCAAGCACAAAATGGTCGTAATATATGCGCAATACCTCAAGGTATTCAGGCAAGAACAGTAACTGCGTTAAACACTAATGTTAGTTATGAAGTAGCATGGAAAACAGCAAATGGTATAATTACAGCGTTTGTTTCACGAACTGCTGGCGTTGATTTTCAGGTACGATTTTGCTGTGCTAATAATAATTTTATCACAACTACACCGCCACCGCCAAGACCTGTTACTAATGAATTATGTGGTCGAGCTAAAATAAAACCATTGATTCAATTCATACGTATTTTTGGTGGATCACGTGCTATTCCACATTCATGGCCATGGGTAAGTTATATTAAAATTAATATTATCTTATTATTTTTTTTCTCTTTTTTCAAAACTAGCAAGTTTTATATGAAGAAGAAAAATTATGTGAAACAAACAAAATATGTATAGATACTTGTGGTGGTACTCTAATTGATTCTTATCATGTACTTACAGCGGCACATTGTATTAAAAGACATGATTTACAACATATTTTTATTACAGCTGGTGTTCATAATAGACAAAGTGATGAATTAGATACAAGACAAGAAAGAAATGTCAATTCTATTGTTATACATCCTGATTGGAATCGTGAATCATTAGTAAATGATTTAGCTATACTTCGATTAGATAAACCTGTAAAATTCAATGATTATGTTCAACCAGCATGTTTACCAGGTCCTGATCCACTATCGAAATCTAATGTAATATTAATTGGATGGGGTGCTGAACAAATGGGTGGAAATACATACAATGAATTAAAACAAGCTCAAGTTAAAGTTATTGGTGAATGTCAACAATATTGGAATCAATATGATGAAGATAATCAAATCTGTGTTGGACAAACAATTTCTGGTGATTCAGCATGTCAAGGTGATAGTGGTGGTCCTCTATTACAACAATATAAAGATCAATGGGTTTTACAAGGTGTAGCTAGTTTCATAGATGATTGTAAAACAAATGGAAATTCTCTTCCTAATGTTTATGTAAAAGTATCAGCTTATTTAACTTGGATTAACAGTATTATTAATTAAATAATAAGAAATATATAATTAAACTTTCAAATTCAGTAAAAAATAGATCATTTTTATCTTGAGTTAAATAATATCTCGTTCGAATGTAGATACATATACTCATTATTTTATACCTTGAATTTTTACATATCTTCTTCACCTATTGCTATTAATGAAAACTAATACATCAGTCATGTTCAGATAAAATATTTACCGATAAGTTGTTAACCTATAAGTTTAAATATCCTCATAGAATATAGTTTTTTTAATTTCGAATCAAATTACTATTTTGTGTACAATTTATCGAAGTCAAAAAGTACTGACTGCTCTACATCTTATGAGATAAAATCATTGACAAATTTTGAAATAGTATCATCATACGAAATATTTCATAGTATTTTACAGTCCTATGATAAGACTGAGACTTATCATAAAGGAACAAAAATAAAACATTGTTGTTGAAAACAAACTGTCCAATACTATATTTTATTTATTTACAATCTGATAAATAACAAACAAAAGAAAATTAATAATTTGAATTTTTTTTTAATTATTGTCCGATTATACATGTCAAGACAATTGTTGTATATATTTTATTCATCTAGAAATTAAAAAAAAACAATTTACATTTCAATGAAGATTAAATATTTTATTTACCTTTTTTTGGTATTGAATGAATTTTACTTATTCTACGTGTTGGAAGACGAAATGATGGCGTACGATTTTCTTTATTTACTGAAGATGTCTAGAAAAGAAAAGATATATATATGGTTTTAATTGAAGAAAAAACAAATCAATTATTACTTTAGCTGTTGGAAAAGCAATTGATTCATTTGCTGGTGATATAGGTGTAAGTTCTTGATGATTTAAGAACTTTTCAAAACGTAATCGCCATGGACTTTTAACTTTTTCATTCGATGCTGTTGGTGTTATTTGATTATTCTAAAAAATAAAAAAACTATTTTATATAAATATTTAAGTCTTTTTTATACGAACACATAAAGAAATATTTGTTTGCTTAGGTTTTGTTGGTGTACCATGTTTTTCAAGACCTTTAAATGTATGTGGTATTGTTAATGTTGCCGATGGTAAATGACATTTAATACCAGCAAATTTTTCAACATGACGTAATGATCGACGTTGAATATTTGATCGAGATAGATCTAAATTTGATTCAGTTAATGTATCATGATGAGAATTTGATGTTTTAACAAATGAATTTGAAAGATTCTGTCGATTAGTTATATGTAATGATGATGTTCGACGAATTGTTGCAGCTAGTTGTGATGGTTTATCAGGTGTTAATAATTTTTCTGATCGTTTGACGATAGTTGATAAATTACTAAAGAATAAATAAAGTTTAATTTAAAAGAAAACCACGCGTATCATCATAGTATTTACTTAACAATAACATTCAGATCATCCTGATTAGGAATCGCCGATAATTGAACTTTTACATCTGATTTCGATGTATTCGAAGAAACAGTTGAACTATTTATATTAGAGAAAAAAATTAGAAATTTTTGTATTAAATATAATATACTGTTTTGATTGTAGACGCGATGGTAGTTTAGGTAGAGTTGGTAATGGTGGTCTTTCATTTTTAATACCATTGTTTTTTAAAGGTACTGATCGTGCGAAACTCATGCTTAAGAAGAAAATAATACTGACTAGATTTTTTTTTGTCTTTCACGGTCTTACAAAATCAGAATAGTACTATGTCTTTGTTCGCGGATGACGGATTGATTTGAATAAATTTTATTCAAACACTTAGCAAAATAATAGAAAAATACATAAAAGTAATATAAAAACATGAAATTTATTTCAAAATTAATATTAGAAATATTTCAATAGAGAGGGCGCTAATTATCAATCAATATTTGACTTAAAAGAACATATCTATATCATTTATATACAGACAAATGAAGCTTTCCCTTTTGAAATGCATGTATCTTATAATCTTGAATTAATTTGTATCTTTTTTTGACATACAATATAATTAGTTTGTTAGAGGGTGCATATCTTTTAACAATAAGTATAGTACTTTATGAAAGTTTCTTCTTTCAGAACACTTCAATTATTAAATTATTGTTACTCAATGTCAATTATTTTTAATAATAAGTTATTCAATTTTGATCAGGTTTACAATTCTACCAGATGAACAAATAGGAGGAAAAAAATGATGATGTTAAGTAAAAATCAAACATCCCTCGTTTTAGTTTGATTAGTTGTTTGTTCAAAGAAGAAAAAAAAACGTTGCCTTTAGTTATCTCTGATAAATCTATCATCATTCATCTTTGATATGTCAAATAAAGATGCTTTAAGCAATATCGAATTAAGAGAAAGAGGTTTTGCAATCAGATGAAATAGATGGAAAATCAGTAAAAGGTGTAAATTATAAAGTATAATCGTTTTGTTTTTGATTGATCATATAACAAGTATGTAAATATTTATTTGAATCAATATGAAGTAATTCATTTGCTTGAATAATTTTTGCCAATAGTAACTATAATCTCTGTTGAAATTAGTTAAGAACATAGAAGGTAGGATCAAATTACTCTGTTTACTAGAACAACAAAAGAAAATAGTCAAGATGGAAAGAAAAAAAAGGAAAATCAGACTTAGAGTTATATAAATGCATGCAAGTCATATATCTTTATTTTTGTCAGAGATTAATCTTCTTTAAAATCCATTTTTTGTTTATATAGGTGCTTTTCTTTACTATAGTGATTAACAACGAGAACGAGCAGAGATGACAAATATATGCATTCGTAATTGAAAGAACTTAGATTTATTAATCTTGTTTTACTCGTCTATTATCGATAATTCAATTTTATTCCTAAGCTGTTGTATTATTACAACGACAGAATAATATGGTTTGTTTCTAGTTCAGTCACGTATTTGTAAATTCTATTAAATATAATAATCGAATCATGTCGAAGTATTTTTTATTCATACACATAACATGAGTATGTATCTAGTTCCAAATGTATCATTCGTTTTCTAAAGAAATCAAGATTTTTCTTATGATCTTACCAATAGTATTTCTTGTTCTATTGAATATCATTTTGTTTTCTTTTGACAATAATATAAAAAGTGAAGAATAATAGCTGATGATGCCTTTAGTTATTAGTTGAAAGAATGAAATTATCGATTTGTTTTTCAAAAAATAAATAGACGATTAGTATCAATTTCTTTGCTAGAAAACACACAAAAAATTTCAATTGTTCAATTATACTTAAAATATTCTGAGATTTGTTTGTATACTATTTATATTCATGTATAGAAAGGAGAAATTATTTGTTAATGGATCAGAGAAAAGGAAACAAGTCCATTAACTCGACAGTCTTTAACTATGCATAATTTGCAATTAGATCAAATCTAAAATCATTGCTAGGTAATTATCATAATGATTCACTGCTTGTTATATATCATAATAAAAAAACAAATTCTATGTTAATTCTATAGTATAAAGATCAATACTGAATATTCATTATAATTTAGTAATTCTTTCTATAAATGAATTATTTGTTTGTTTTTTTTTCTATAGTTCATAACTAAATATATAATGTGTTTCTTTTTTTCTAATTTATTTAATAAATAAAATCGAATATTAATCTTTTACAAAACTAAATTCAATATAACAAAAAATAACAATCAACTCGTTAATCAATTACAATAATAGATTTGTTTGAATTTCTAACTTCATTTGCTTTTATTTATTTATTTTTCTATTTTTATTATCAAAGAAAGGGTATTTTAATCAGAAAGTTACTTTTTTTTTTTAATAATAACACGAACGTAGTTCATTTCCTTTTTCTGTATTTGACAGCTTCATTCAACATGCAATGGCTTTCTCTCTCTATCCTATAAACATGAGTTTTTTTTTCTTCTTGTCATTAGATATTTCTTAATCTTCAATTAAGCATAGATGACTAGTAGGCATTTTTTTCATAAACTATAGATTTGTATTATTAGATCGGTCATATAAATATAAAGCAAGGTTATCGTGATAATCAATCAAGAAAGTAATCTTTAGGGATGTTCTTGCTATCTTTTTACTCTTTTTCTTCTGTCGTATGTTATTTCCTTAGTGAATGTGATGTGTAACTTTAGAGAAAAATAAAAGAATATATATATATATCCAAATGAAAAAAAAAACGTAAGTAGAAACATCCAACATATATATTCCTATAGTTGTCGATCAGATCAATTCGATTAAACCGCTTTTCTATTTCCGCCATAGTCCTATTGCATTTATCGGCAATGTTCACACATTTTGTTCTGATACAAACGCAAGCTTTCAATTCAATTACAGCCGTAATACACATAAACAGTGTCATCATTACCATCCTCGTCGTTCTCTACGAGAACAAAACTACTAAGACACCCAAACCATTTTTCATCCGTCCGCTTCAAAACATGTCTCAACATAACGGAAAGAAGAAAAAAAACTAGAGATAGAAGAAGAAGAAGAAGAAGAAAACTGAGCGCACATCTCATTTATCTCGTGTTTACTTCCTCGTTCGCCAATAGTTAGACCGACAATGCTTGTCTGTTTTAAAAATCTATTAACAGATTTGTAGATGTAATAGTAGAAGTTCTAGTGGTAGAATAGAACAGAAAAGAAAATCAAACACAATAACGAAAGAAAAATGCGGATAATTATGATGATGATGGTGATGGAGAATAAGACGAGAACGAAGGAGATAACTATTTTTTTTTTTGTACTCTCGATGGAAAAAAAGATGATGACCTTGGAATTCATGCTCGTCTAGCTAGTTCAGCGAAAGCGAGCGAGTTCCTCATGCCACTTTTCTTTTTTCTTCTTCTTCTTCTTCTTTTTTCACGCGATTCTCTCTCGGTTTTTTATTGTAGTGAAAAACGCGCGGAAAGACATGGAACGAACGCGAGAGTGAGAGCGAGAAAAAATTGCGAGCTGTGGAAGACAGATAGACAGACAGACTCATGCGAACAAATGTCTTATTAAACAGAGTGAGCCAACACTAGAAGCATACAGACAAACAGACAGGCACGGACGAATAGACGAGAAAAAGAAGCATATGAAAGAGAAAGAGAAAAAATAGAGACGGAACACAACAGTTGTATGTGTTTCAGCAGTTTTATTCACACATACACCTATTGTAAGTATTATATAAAAGTTGACGAGAGTATTAGTATCTATAGAAACAGTAATAAATGTTATTATTTTTATTTTTACAAAAAAAAAAAAAAAAAGAGAATCTTATTGGTGAACAAGAACGTAGATTTTCAATTAAATAAGGTTTTGTTAATAACCTAAAAATAGTTGATTTACCCATAAAAAAAAAGTATATCCTCTACGAATCCTATTTCCGAGTTTAGTAATTCAATAGTCTTCTTCTTCTTCTTCTTTTTTTTTTCTTCATTTAATAAAAACTTCTTCTATGACATTTAGTTACATCTATGAGAAAAGATTAAACAATAAAAACTATCTAAAATCATGTCATAGACATAGACAGTTAATTATTGAATCTCATTAATCAACTATCGTTCTAGTTTTTTCTTTTCCTTATTTTTATCTAATCACCAAAACTATATCTATTTTTTATCATACATTAATGATAAGCTCATTCTCACATGAGATTTTCAACATTGATAGATCGTAATAAAAAATTAGTCGAAATAATCTCTGGTATGCATAGAGAAGAAACCAAAAATTTGTCTGTACTAAATAAATAGACAAATAATAAGCAGAAGAAAATATATATATTTTTAGTAATACAGTAATTTTTCAATATTGCATATATGTGCGCGCATATGGATTGTTTGTAATTTTTTCTCTATATTAGTGGCTAATGACGATCATCTTGATCATTATATAGATGACGAATGTTTATAGATATGTGTGTCTATGGACGAAATACTTGAGTCTTGTATTTTATTACTACATACATTTCTTGTTCTTTAGAGAAATCTCGCATCTCTCTTTCTCTTCTCATCCACATAACCAAATCTTTTTTTCTCAGTCTCTATCGTTTCTTCTTCTTCTTCTTCTTCTTCTTTTTTTGCTATGATGCATCATCACTATTCTAGGAGAATGACAACAAACAACAGCAAAAACGATTCGCCACCATCACCGTCACTGGTTCTATCGTATAATCATCATCGCTTTGTCTCACTCGAATCCACTGTTTCTTTGATTATCGACAATACTTCTACTGCTGTCTTCTCATCATTCTCGATGTACCGACCGTACAACTATTATCATTGCCTCTACTAGTTCTGCTTTTTTTGACATTCACGACTATTATTAATTCCATTATTAGATTTTACAAGAAAAACAATCACGTGCTAAAACATTTTTTTTAACTAAGACAATATTAAATTTTCATATTATAATTTACTAATGAATGTCAATTGGACAATGTCTTCTCTTCTTTATTCTTATTCAATAATAAGTGTGAATTTGTAAAAGATATATACATATACAAACATAGATTTAAAAAATATCAATCATTAGAATACAAAGATTATGGGTTGCAGTCAAGCTAAAATTGAACCTGAAGCATTAACACCTGATGATGCAAGAATTATTCGAGAAACATGGAAAATGGTAGGAAGAGAAGCTTATGGTGAATATGGTCAACGACTCATGCTTAGGTAAGTAATTTACCAATAAAATACTTTTTGACGAGAGGAATATAATATATTATTATTATTATTATTATTATTATTATCATTAAAAAATCATACAATGATCTAGCATTTGTTCTTCTGTCTCATATATCATTTTTCTTGATTCATGCTTAAGAGCAAAAAGAATATAAAAAAAAAAGAAAAATAGATCAATGATTATTTTTTCTTTATTATAATCAACATGAACTAACATATTTTATATATATTAGTTCATGTCTCTTTTTTTTCTTCTTCTTCTAAGTAAAACTAGAAAAATTAGACTCTCTATTATTCAATTGATTTTGTTTTGTTTTCTTCTATAATATTTGCCACTCTATTCTTATAAAATAGTTAGACATGCAAGACACTTCATAGTTATATTTATTTGCATTGCATTTACGCGTATTGAACAAGTAAAATACTTCTACAATCGATTGTTTTATCCATGTCTCTCTCTCTCTCGCTCTCAATTGGTAGTATTTACTTGAATAGTTCGATTACTACTAGTATTGTTGTTTATATGTATATTACAAGTATATGTATGTCATGTGCAGCAGCTGGGAACTAATATCATGCAGATTAATTCACGCTTCGCGCGCTATCGAGTATGCGTGGTTATATTTCCCTGTCTTACTTGGATAATACTAGTAAAAGAAATAAAAGTTACTTATAAACACAGATGAAAACCATCATATTCTAAGTTATAATTGATTCGCATTATGCACTTATCAAATAAATTATATTTCTACAAAAAAAAAGAGAGAAACTAGGTTAACCGTTATATATATATATAATTTTTTTATTAAATAGGATCTTTCAAAAATACCCAGACATAAAAGCACTTTGGCAAAATCCTCGTATTATGAATGCAACTACAACTGCTGATGATGCAGATGCTCCTAATTCAGCTAATCGATGGAAAATGGATTTAAGAAATCATGGTTCAAAATTTTTTAATTCATTAGATGATCTTATTAGTGTTGTTGATAAACCTGAAGAACTTTTTAAAATGTTACATGATATTGGCGTTAAACATAAAGGTTATGAAGTTAAATCTGAACATATTCAAGTATGTAGTTTTTATTTCGTCAATTTATTTATTTTGTTGCTTTTAGGCCGTTGTTGATGGTCTTAATCATACAATGGAATTTGGTTTAAAAGATAAATGGACGGATGCTCGACAAAAATCTTTCCAACGTTTAATTAATATTATTGTTGCACGAACAAATCGATCATTATCTGGTGACGAAAAATGACGTCTTTTTCTTCTTCCAGCAAATCTATATACTGCTGATCTTTCCGTCCGCTTGTTAATCCTCTATTAAGCACGAAAATCTCTTGAGCGCATCCTAAATATCAATGATTATCGCGTCCGGTGATGATAATAAACAACAATATAACAACTAAATGCTTATAAAATTCATCAAATGTCAATTGATGAATTTTATTTTCTCGTGATTCTTTTATTTTATTCGATTCTCTCTTTTGCTCTTCTACTCCTTCTCTCTCTCTCTCTTTTTATCTCGCTCTCTCTCTCTCTTCCTCCCTCATTCTTCTTCTGTGCATCATCTTCACAATTTTTCGATTTTTTTTTGCTTTGTCATTAATGTCGTCATTGTCATTTTGAGTGCCTTTTTGTATTCCTAAAATTGTTTTTTGGCTTCTTTGTGTTTTATTTTCAAACAACAAAAAAAAACGCAACACCAATTTTCTCATACAAAGATTTATTTCCTTTAAATAGAAAGTTCATATCGTTCTATAAATATGTATATATATCTATATACATTTGAGAGAAGAATTTTTCTTATTAAAAAATATTTCTAATGTGTTATAGTAATTAAATTAGTTTTATAATTGAAAGCAAAATTAAATTTCGCAGTTTTTCTCAATCAACTTTATTATTCCATTAAGCAAGAATAATTTATATACAACAACAGATAAAAATCGAGATTGAAACTAGAACTAAAAAAAAGGAAAAATCTATAATTCATATTTCTTTTTTATATATATATGACTATATTTGAAATGTATAATTATAACAAAAAAATGAAATTTAATACTTAGATATTCTGATATTTTCTTTTTAGTTTTATTCTCTATTACAATTAAATATCAAAAGAATAAAATATATTTAAGAAAGAACAAATTTTTCAAACATTTAGCTTACAATTAACTATACGACTTTATATAAAAGAATTTTCATTTCCGGATGACTATGCATCAATTTAAGATGACATGTTTTTAATAACATGTATTCCAAGCAGAAGTACTCACAGAACTTACAATTTCAAAAAAAAAAGATCGTTATAAAGAAGAAAAAAAAATAGATTACATTTGTCACGTATTTTATACTGAAGAGCAGAACATCCGCTAGTGTTTTTAACTGAATTAATATTATGAATAGATAGATAGATATTCTTGTGTAAAAATAAAAAGAATTTTATTCAATAATATGAATCAAATTTCTAAAATTGATATTGATCATTTATATTATTGTAAGATTAAAATCGCTTTGTTATTTAAAAGTATAAATATCAATTTATTAAATTAATTAGGATAAATACGAGATTACAAAAATATTCGTATAAACAAATCAGTAATTTAAAATATTATATAAATATGTTAGTCTTTCACTTATGAATGTATTATACATACCTTTTTATTCGTATTAAGTTCGCTGTTGTACATAAATCGTTAATACTAAAATATGAAATTTTGTTTGTTTAATTATCATTTTCTTGAAGTCACGTATAATTCAAATCAGTGTGTAGAAGATATTTTTTTCTTATATATGTACAGATGTACAAATTTTATGTAAATGTATAAAGAAATTTGGTTTAATATTATATGAAATAAATTGTTTAAATGAAATTACCATACAAAATCAAGTTAGACATCAGAGAACATCCTCTTTCGTCTATGATTTAATTTCAAGTATATCCAAAATATTAATCTAAATATATATTTTTTTCGACGTGTTATTTTTGGATATAGAAATTCTTCAATGCAAGATGATTCATATAGCGTTATATGAAATTTTTGCTCTTTCATTGCATACTATCTTACAAAAAGAGCATCAAAGTTTTTATGAATAATTCAACTATAAAAATCAATCTTTAACATTTTGTCTTTTATTTCAATTACTTTGCAAACGTATTATTTGTATTGAGTCGTAGGCAGAACAAATATAATTGAGATAGTTGATTTGTATAAAGCATCGTGCTTATATATAATTAAACCTTTTAGCATACAAATAAATATTTATATTTATAATATATAATAAAATATTAAAGATTTACAATTTATTAATGAGAAATAATAACCATTCTACTGGAAAGTGACTCATTACTGTAAAAAATATAAAATTTTAATATTAAATATTTGTGTGAATCAACATCAGTTCCGCCTACAACCTATGAATATTGTGAATCACAAAAATGATTAATTTGAACTTGAAAGAGTTTAATCTTTCTTTTTATGTAGATGAAAACAAGCATTCTAGTGGATTCATTATAATAATTTATTAATCGAGAAAAACATCAATCCTTTCTAAAACTGAACTTCAAGAAATAATATGACCTGATGATGATAATAAACTACATAGTGTTATTTTGTATGGATACAAAATCCTATCTCGAGTGCAAAAATTATCAAAATTATCATATAAATTCTCTTATGTTTCGCTAGAATAAAAATTTTGCTTCAACTTTTTACAAAAATGCTTGATTAAGAATGAAAGGTAAATTAATATATTTTGAAGTACCGGTAGAAGTATTCCTTAGGTTACAGTTGCAGAAAGAACCTACATGTTTCAATTCTATTATATCATTTATATTTTAATATTATAAAAAAAATCTTTTTTTTGTCGCTGACTTTGTTATCTATGCACGACATGAAAAGTCATGTTTTATATCTCATGCAATGTGTTCGATACTTAATCTTATTAATTAAAGTCAGATTTTTTTGCAAGCTAGAAATTAACTAATATATATCATATTCATGGCATTCCTCTTTGTTTGATGATTCTATTTATTTTGTAAAACAACATGAATTCATAACAAAATAATAAAGTTTCAATATTTGATTGATATTAGTAAGACTGTTTAGAGCTTCATAACAAAAATAAATGTTTATGAACTCGTACGCGATAAAATCATGTCAAATAAAAGTAATGTGTGCTGCTTTCGTCTGGCTCATAAAACGATTAATCAAACATTTTTATTACTTCAATTGTATGTTTTCTCGATAGAAAAAAAAATAAATACTTTCAAAGATAGTTATAAATGTAATAAAACGATGTCTGATATTCTTCAAGATTTAGGTTCAACAGAATATATCTTATGTTCGTATGACTATGAACAGATATAACTCTTTTGCTAAAAATATTAAAAATCGATTTTTCTCTTCTCAAAGCGACAAGTGATTCTATTGTTGTTTTTATAAATGATCAATAGTACTACTGTCTCAATAGAGAGTTCTCAAGATCATTTTCATAACGATAAAGATGAGAGAATCTTGAACAGTCTGAATTTGTTATGTAAGAAACATACGGAGGAGAGTTATTATTGAGCTAGTCATAGATCTTTGAATCATATTCATTAGGAATAACAATATATCTTCATAAAGAATGAAATTTATAACAAAAGGTTCTCATTATGATCAATGCTTAGTAAGCTATTCATCGGTGTTATTAATGATTGGGTGCGCCAAGGAAATATTCAACGTAGTAAAACTATCATTATTCATAAAATAAGCATTTATGATAGTCTTTTATATTTGACAAGGATTCTCCTCCTTTAAGTTATTCAGAATAAGAAAAAAAAAATTGAAATTATTTTAGGGCGGTTTTTCTCGTTAGTTTTTATAGCATATATGACATGCTATACTAACCATTGATTATATTTATTAAATCTATAAAATAACTTTCGAAGATAATTTCTAAGAAAATTGAGAATGAATAATTTTATTTATTATTTACAAAGAATTAAAAAGAAGAAAAAAAAATGAAGATTTTTATTTTATTTCAATTAAAATCGTGCAATTGGTATAGACGATGATTGTTTGCAAGAATTTGTTCTATTCAAAGATTTATCTGTTTGCATAGTTGTACTTCTTAACATATCAAGTACAGGTGTTTTTCTTAATCGAGAATTTAATGTTATACCAATATTAATTCGTGGAGTACGTATTTGATTAAATGTATCATTTATTTGTTCATCAGTTATATTTAATATATCATTATTATAATTTTCACATTCGAATATTAAAGGTTTTGAACACAATTGTAATGTTTTATCTGACATTGGTATTATTGTACTATGAATTGATTGTTTTGCTGATGTAAATGGTAATTGATCATTTGCTGGAACTGATTTTGGTCTTGATGTATTTGGTTTTTCAAATTGAGCAATAAGATGTTTAACATTTTGTTGTTTTTTTAATAAAAATGCATTAAGATAACCTGATGAAGATTGATTTGTTAATATTTTTGATTCGAAACGTGGTGAATCAACTTCATAAGAAATATCATAATCATCATTTATTGATGATTGAAAATGATTCGTTGAAATCGGACGAATTTTATTAGATTTTATAATATTATTCATTGATGAATAATATTGATGATTATAATCTATATTTGATAAACGTGGTTCACTTTCATATAATGGTGATTTCCATTGTTGATGTTTCAAAGGAATACGAGGTACTATAATTAAAAAGAAAAGAGAATATCTATTAATATTGATAGAACAAAAATTATCAAGAGTATGTTATTCGATAGTATCATTTAATCTAACCTGGTTTTTGTTGTTGTTTTAATCGACAATCAACTTCGCTTTTAGTTGCTGATCGAACTGATATACTGTTTAATTTTGGAACAGGATTATGATGAACTATTCTTATTTCATTTGATGATATCGAACTATATTGACCAGAATCATTTGATGAATGACTTTGTTCATCTATATCATTATTTGTTGGATAAATTCGTGAAATACTTGTTTTCAATAATTGTATTGATGGATCACTACTATCACCAAAACCACTATCATTTGTATGAATAAATGATTTGGAAGATATACATTCTTTCATATTTGATGATATATTATTACGTAAATATAAATGAAGAAGATTTCCATCAGGATCATAAATATAATATTCCGATTTATTTATTGTAAATAATTTACTTGTATATTCATGAATAAAATGATTTAAATTATTTAAACGAAATTTTAAATAAGCTCCTTGTGATATTGTATATGATTCAATTGATGGAGAATATTTAATAGATAATTGATAATGTAATTTATTATGTATTGATATTGATGATAAATTAAAAAGTACAAAACCTGATTTACTCGAATCTGGATTACGTTGAAATAAATGCTTATAAAAATTTACCATAATATCAAAATTTTTTGTAAATATATTAAAACGTATAATTATATTTCGATTATTTGGTATATGTGATATTGACCATAATGGTAATGAATGTGATAATTCATAATAATCTTGTCTTGCTATAATTTTTCTATATTCATCTAATAATTCAATTTTATGATGAAAATTCCATATATCAATAGATTTAAAAAAATCTTTTTTTCCTTGTTGTTTAAATATATCATCAGATAAAAAAATAACACAACTTAACGATTGAGATTGTATAGGAAGTTTTGAACGTAAAATTTGATTTGTAAATGAACCGAAATATGTTGTTGGATGTAGTTGATGTTCAAAGAATAAAAATGTTTGATCCGTTATTGAACATGAACGAAGAAGACTTGTTATAGCTGATGATATTTCATCGATTTCATTACAACCAATTTTTAATATAAGTTCACATGGAGAATGATAATCAGTAATCATCTAAAATAAATAAAATACTTTCTACGTGTTAAGTTGAACATAGAACTCTGCTCATATGTATGTATGCATATATATATACAAATGTTTGATTGATTCACTAGCAGCTACCATCAAATTTTCTCTATGATGCATGATGTGATAATTGCAGACAAGAGAATAGAAAAAAGAACTATGCGATATTGATGAGTTAGTAAATGGTAAAGAAAAAGCGTTGATCAGTCTCTCTTGCTCGTAGTTATTGTTTATATTTGATTAAATTGAATAATAATACAAGCGTAAGTATCAAAAAAAAAGAAGAAAAAGAATAAAATAACAAACTCTATTTATTCTGTCTAGTAATAAATTGCAAAAAAATATAAAATGAAAACAATACTAGATTGAACTTATTTCGATCAGTTAAAAGTTGTATTGTTTATCTAACCTCAATTCATTCTATGAATGAATGATTAGTATCTTTATATCACTCCTATATTTAAAATATGAAGAATTTCTTTTTATAATAAATGACAAGCAGATGATTCATGTGATAGATACAGAGGGTCAATGATCATGTCTATTTTAATCTTTCCTATTTATAATTATCAGTAGCTAAAGAAATTTTTTTTCTATTTATTAACATATATTTGTAATTTTGGTAAGATAGTACAAAATGTATATCAATGTCTGACCTTCATATTTGTTCTATCGAATTAAATGTTTAATCAGTTTTCGTGTCTAGTTTATCAATCAGACATTTATTTTCTTGTGTTGCTTCAACTTACTTTACTGTGCAAAAGCACGCGTATATTCAAAAGAAGAACAATGCATACTCAATCAATACCTGCATTTCTTGTCTGTTAGTAGTGCTCAACTCACACATTCGATTATACTGACATGGAATATTCGTTTTTGTTCAAGTATATACACGTATCGTTTTAAAAGAAAAAGAAGAGAAGTATGCAAATATAACATATGATGGGTAGTAGTCACTAATATGATATCCTTGTTGTCATCAGTACTCCAATTACTTTATCAAATAATCAGAACAATCAACTACGTATTTGAGACTGATTAAGTATAATTATAAATGAAACTTAGATGAATATACATAATTATTTATCAAAAAATCAGATATTTAAGACTTAACCTTTTTTTAATAAAATAAGAAAATGAAACGACAAGGTTATTTTAACATATCAATTGAATTTCATTTTTTTTATTTGATCTTAAATGTATAATATCGATTACGATGGTATGATTTTTATATTTTAATTAAAATATAATATTTTTTTCTTCGTCTTAGAATCTATTTAACTAAATAATGCATACCTGTCTTAGTTGATTATTATTCATACTAGTTGCTTGAATAGAAATTTCTATTGTTTACTGAATGATGCATCTCTTTTACAATACTAGTATACCATAACATTGTTACATAAGTCTTATACAAAAAGGCAAATGCGAATACACGTTTATGTCTATTTGTTCCACCTGCCACTAATGTCTTTCTTCCTCTCGTTTTTTCTTCGTTTTTATGTAATACATTTATTCAAGAGAGTCGATCAGTCATCATCTCCATCATATGATTTATTTTACAGAAGAAAAAAAAAAGAACATACTATTAACGCATAGTAACGAGCACAATAGTATAGAAGTTTCTTTTGTTCATATGAATGTAGGAAAAAGAAGAAATGTGCTAGAATATTTTTAAAATAAATACAATTAGTATAATTGACACGATATCTAATATTGAAAAAATTTCTTCGAAATGAAACTATAAAATTAATATCTAGTTTTTTGTTCATCATCATCATTTTTTATTATTATTGTTAATGTTTAGTTAAGGCTTCAGAAATCGATGAACATTATTGTAGTTGAATTTTAAATAACATACGATGCATCTTTTAAATGACACTTATAGATGAATGAAGACCATATGTTCATTACATAATCAGATGTACAATAGAAAGTTAACTTACTTCAATCGAATCAATCATAAACAACTGCTTATCCTTCTTATCAAACCTTAGAACAGTTGTAACTATCTTCATCTATCCTCTGAAAATATCATTTATGTTAGTACTATTCTCTTTAGAAGAAATTATCACTGATATTTGGAACAAGTCTTTCTTTTTTATTAAAATTAAAACAGTTCAATGAAACAAGCACTTCACTATGCAGAGAATTTAGCTTCATAAATATACCATTTTCAAACTCAAATTAATCGTAATGCAATAATTTCGTTTTGATGACATCAATTGTCGATTATACTTTACTTCCGCTTGATATCTTGTATCAATATTTCTCATAACAAAAAAAAAAAAATTATTCATCATAATTACTATTTATGTAGGGCGAAGAAAAATATGTCCTTTTAAAGAACGTGTACATATATATTCGAAATTTTATAATATTATTAAATAAAATAAATCCTGATATATTTAAGGTCAATTTTGAAAGTTGATATTACTTGACTAATTTCTTATATATATCAAAAGATTTTTTTTTACAGAGGTGTCTACATATTTATATAACGATAATAAATAATATATTAATCCTTATTCCAATAAAATATTAGTAGTATCATCGTCATCAAATAATAGATCCACTTCCTTAATATGAATAGAAACCTTGTCAAGAAATATTTGTATAGTATCAGAAGATTTATCAGATGAACATATATATATATAAAGAAATAAAAAGTTGATTGCTTCAGTTTGATTTTGATTATGATAATGTCGAGTGCACAATTAAATTTGATTGTTATAAGCATCTTTGCCTGTTTACTTGTGCAAGTGACAAGTAATATCCAATATCGTAAGATTTTTGAGAAGATAAAAGAAAAAGGCCAATACTTATTCATCTATTTTGTTCTAGCTAATATTGATGAAGAAACGGGCTGTCCTATAAATGTTCAACATGTATGTCAGTATTGTGCTGAAGATCAAAATCATTTAGGATGTTATTGTGAACTTGCTGGTGGAGATGAAATCGTTACTGCTAGTGTGTTTACACCATGTCCAGATGGTAAGAATTTTTCCACAAAAAAAAAACAGTATTTATAAGAATGATTTCTGTTTATAGATATTATCGATCCTTGTGCTAATCACACATGCAAAAATGGAGCTACATGTGTTCGTGATGGTTTAACTAGTTATAAATGTAATTGTATTCCTGGTTTTGGTGGTAAATTTTGTAATGAATCATTACCAAGTAAGAGAAAATTTTTACAAAATCAACTTTTTTAGAAACCTATAATTTTTTTAGAATGTTCGGACGCAAATATCAAATGTCCAAATGCAGAATGTGTTGAAACATTTGATCCTAATGTACCTGTCTATTGTAAATGCTATGATGGTACACGTCGTGATCCAAGATTAAACGATACATGCCCATTAAGTACGTACTTTCATAAATAAAACTCTTTATTTATTTAAATTATCTTTTAGGTCCATGTTATGAAAAAAATAGTGAAGTACCTATATGTAAAAATAATGGTACATGTCAAATTGTTGGTGGCGCTCATGTTTGTGATTGTACAGGAGGCTTTGCAGGACAAAATTGTACGAAACCATTGAAAAGTAAAGTGATATCTTATGAATAATAGATTACTAAATCATAAATATATATTTAAGGACCATTCTGTGAAGAAGCACCAGGTGTTTGTGGTGAAGGAAAATGTCAACAATCATTGACACCACCCTATTATTCATGTAATTGTGGTACTCAACCAAATACATTCGGTAGAAATATAAGTGAATTAACAAAATGTGAAGAAAGTAAGAGATATTTTTGATAAAAAAATAGATATTGTAATGAATAAATAGGTGGTTGTTATGCAATCAATCCATGTCAAAATGGAGGAACATGTAGTAATAAAGGTGTTGGAGCTTTTATTTGTCAATGTTCATCTCGTTTTACTGGTACTAAATGTGAAAAAATTTGTAAGTTGAATATTTTTGATAAGACTAATGAATTTATTGATTTATTATTTAGCTGCTTGTTATAATAATCCATGCGTAAATAATGGTGTTTGTGAAGCATTCAATGAAACACAATTTTTTTGTACTTGTCCACCCTATTTTACTGGTCCACGATGTGAAATACAAATAATTAGTAAGAAATTTTTTTCATAAGATTTAAATTCACTTTTTTTGTGTTCTAGATCCATGTATTGGAAAAACATGTGGTCCTCATGGTGAATGTCGTGATACTCAAGGTGTTGGCGTATGTTTATGTGATGATGGATTACATTTTGATGGTTCACCATGTCAAGGTAAAATATTCATATAATTTTTTTAATGTAAAACTTTTTTAGAAATTATTGTTTAGATCCATGTCGTAATAAAAAATGTGAACCCGGTGTATGTACAAAAAAATTCAATTCAACATATGAAGCTATTTGTTCATGTCCAGTATATCGTAAAGGAGATTCATGTGAATTACCACGAGGTATATTTATTTATGCTTGAAAAAATAGATTCAAATATTTATTTTGATTCCTTCAGATATATGTCGTGAAACTCCACCTTGTGGTGGTGGTTATTGTGTACCTAATTATGCATCAACTCGTGGTTATTCATGTGTATGTGAAGCAAATGTTGTTAAAAATGAACCATGTCCATTTTCGAAAAGTAAATTCGTTAATGATAAAGATTTGATTTGATTCTTTTTTTTTTTGTTGATAGCTTGTCCAATCAAAGATTGCGGATCACAAGGTATTTGTGTAGAAACTAATGGTATTACTATACCACCTAGTACCAAACCTATCTATTATGTTTGTCAATGTAAAGGTGGTTATATTAGTTCGGGTAGTTGTAATGGTAAGATTGAATATAACAGAGAAATGTCAAATATATGATTTATTCTCTTGATTAGATTTATTGACAACAGGAATGCCAACAGCTACATCTCGATGTGGAACTAATGGTAAACCATATCCTAGCCGTAATCCAAATAATCCATTTGGATGTTGGTGTAATAATGGTACACATATTGAAGAAATTGAAGAAGATGGTCCAGCACAATATTGTGTTTGAATAAACATTTCTATAAAAGTTATAACGTGATTTCTATATAACAAATAAATTTTCAAGCAAAATACATATAATACTTACGATTATTTTTCTTTTATTAATTCAAAAGAGTTTAGATAGAAAATTTATTTTTTAAACAAAAATTAAAACAATATAAATATGAGTCTTATTCTTAGTAGAATTTAATTATTTTTGAAAACGTTGTTGAAACCATTTGTCAAATTTATTATTAAATACTCGTTCTTTAAGTCCTTTATTAAAATTTCTTGTACAACAGAATGCAAGTATCATTGATATTATATGAGCAAGAAGATTAGCTGTTAAACACACGTAAAGTACATGAAGTATTGGTACAAAATCAACTACTACGTTTGCTGCTGTTGATGTTGTTGTGCTGGCTGGTATTTGTGATTTTTCTTTTGAATATTTTATAGTCTAATATTAATAAAATTTAAATAGAAATGAAAAGAAAAGTTAAACATACTGTATAAAGACTGTAACTTAGAAAGCCCAATTGAAAAAGTGAAAGAAAATAAAAAATGAAAAGTAATATAAGATTTTCTAAACGAGCCTAAATGAAAAAATCGATAGATATTTTAAACACATCTATTTATCTTACCATGCCAATACCAAAACCTAACCATAATAATGCTATTGGAATACCCATAGAAAGTAAAACAGTATCTAATGCATTATGATCAGTATAATTATATGTATTAAGTACTAATGTTGAAATCTTAATATAGATATTCAAGACAATATTTAATAAAAATAATTATATAAATGAGTTACTGAAAGCATTGTACTAAGACGTAGTATACAATCAAATACACCATAAAGTTGAAGTGGACGACGCGCTATAGGAAATGCGCCGAAAAGTCTATTAAATAAAATCCAATTAAATATTTCCTATTTATACAAAAAGACAACAATATACCGTTTAGAAAATTCATCTCGTCGGTAATCTTTAATAACCAAAAATGTTAGTGGAATAAAACATATATTAAAAACAATAGTAAATATAAGTCGAGTCTTCAAAGAAAATAAAATATAAGAAATAATTTATGTTTAAAGAATTTCTTCTTATATTTACTAGACGAATTTCTTCTTGGGTATTACAACTACTAGCAGGTCGACTTTTTTGAGTTAAATAATGTGTAATAACATATATAGTTAACATAACAGCACTGATAAAGAAAGCAACAATATCCGTAATACGTTGATAGAATATACCAGTTATAAGAAAAAGAAGAAGAAAAACTAAAAGGCTAACTTAATATCGAATATTTTTGTTTTAGAATTGAATTTTTTACTTGAATGAACTAGAATTAGTATACCATAGGCAACTTCTGCTGAATTTGAACAATGATTTGTGACAAGACGAGCGATAGTTAAACCAACAGTAACAAGTGTAGCTAAAATGCCAAGAATAAGAAAAGTATATTCATACCAACGAATATTTGCTAAACCACGACGCTTTAAAAAATAATATAGAACAAATATATATTAAATTTAAAAGCCATCTACCGTTCCAAGAATTCCACTTTCATCGATAGCATTTGTCGTTGGTAATTTAAGACCACCTGAATATATTATCGATCGTCCTGACTAGAAATATCAAAACAATGATGATAAGTTTTAAATTAAAATTGATTAACTTGCATCCATATATATTTATTTGTTGTTGTTGTTATTAACTTCCTCTATAGAACACCTACAATGCTTGTTATTTTATCTATTGACAAAACAGAAGAATGAAAAAAAAATGAAACGAAAGTATTTGTTATCTTTTCGAGGTTAAAAAGCAAACTCCGATGGAATGATAAAATACACCTAAGTAATATTACATAACCAGCAACTTTTTCTTTTCGAAAAAAAGAAAGTATTAAATTTATATAATATACTTAGAATTATTTAAAAGTAGTGATCATGATACTCTTTTTTTTATGAACAAATATAGAATTTTTTCCATGCGATTTGATCATTATCAAACTAGTATCATAATGATAAAACTTTGATAAGAAGCTTTTTCACAACTGCAACATTATCAATTGTGAATGTTTTCTTTTCAAATATTTGTCTCTTATCTCTTCTAATAAATGATCGTTCATACACACATATATTTTCTTGGTGAACATGTCGTTTATTTACCTATAAATAACTATTTATGATCTCGTGTCAATGAAATCAAAGAAACTCATGGCAATAATGAATATACATAAATAGATGACAAACTTATAATAAGAAAACATCTGCTACGAAGATACGCCTACAATAAATAACCTTTATTATACATTTAAGTATTTTTCATTTTAAAAATGAATAAATATATATTTAATTTTAACGACAGAAAATAGAAATATTGTTCAATAAAAATTATTTAGGTTTATTTTTTAATCGTAGTTTTTAATAATAATTTACTACGATCTTTATTTGTTTCGGAATATTGTGAAGTGTTAATTGATTGTTGATTATTACATTTGTGAAGTGAATAAAATGCATGTCGAAATCGACGACCACTTATGCAATAAATAATAAAATTTGTACAAAAATTTAAATCTTTTAAAAATTCACATAATGCACGTAATATAATATAGATTTCAAATGATTTTCTTGTAAAACATATATTAAATGGTAAACCCCATCTTGATATTATATTTGTTAATGTAAATGGAACAAAATAAACAATAAACATTAATGTTACCATTAATAACATAAGCATTAATTGATTTTCATTTGATTGTGTGGAACGATTTCCATGTGTTAATAAATCATGTCGTTGTATAACTGCTTTTTTAACTGTACAAATTGTTAATAAATTTCCAATGATAACAATTGGTAATGGAATATAAATATAACCAAATTGTGTGATTGTCATATTTAGTTGTCTATAGGAATGCCAATTCAATTGTGGATGACAACGTTTAGTTTGTTTCACTGAAGTATCAATTGGTATAATTAAAAGTCGAGCAGAAACTATTATTGTTAACATTGCTATAATTGTTGTTAAAACACGTGCACGATATACTGAAACAAATTTTTTAATATGTAATGGAAAAAGAACAACTAATGTACGTTCAATTGTTATTGCAACAATTGTCCATATTGATAAAAGTACACTTGCTTCACCACAAAATATTAATATTGTACACATTGATGAAAAATAATATTTTGATTCTTTATTTTGATATGAAATAAATTTAAATAGAAGTACTAATGTATCTGATATAGCCATTGATTTGATATATACGGAAAATGATGAATGATTTAATTGAATATTATTAAAAACAACAAGTAATGTTAATGAATTACCTACTAATGCTAATATTGGTAAGACATAAATTGATATATTACTTAATTTTTGTGAAAATTTAAATGCAGTCATATTATTGAGCATTAAATCATGTGGATCACATAAAAAACGATTCATCTACAAGTATAAGTATATATATATTAACATGGCTATACATTACCTTGTTTTATGAATTAATCATCTCAAGTTAACTATTCAATCGAGTATACAATAGTAAATATTTTTTTTTTGTTATATCTTACTGAGTGCGATTATTGTAGATGATTGGTTTTTGAGTACGCAGTTAGTATATTCTCAAGTAATTAATAATAAGAAAAAGAAAAAATGAAAGAGAATCAATGATAATTATTGCATGTTGACAGTTAACGGTAGTCATAAAATATTTCGTGACAATATTATCTGAATGAGAAAAAGCTTTTGTGAATGTTAGAACTAGTTAATCTTTATCAAATATACTATTATGAAAGTTTTTGCATGAAAAACAATAAAATATATTATAAATTCTTCCTCTTCTTTTTATATAAAAATGCTTTTATGTTCTAACTTTCATTACGCTATATGAACATGAACATATCCTATTAAGAAAAGTATTCTATATATTTTCAATTAACATAAAAGTTTCACTTCATTTAATAAACATGTTGCACGATTCTCTTACATCTATATGAATACTTTCTAGCACTTAAGTTTTTCATAAAATAAGCAATAAAAATGTGTAATAGTAAAGAGAAAAATAAATATTACTGTCTACAGGCAATTCTTCCAATAACGAAAAGATATTTTAAGATTTCAATTATATGTAATTATCTTAAAAGCTTACAGTTAAATGTCTTGACTTAGACAATGCCTTAAACTGCGTATAATAAAATAGTTCGCTCTAGTCAAACTTAGTTTTTATGTTCGTGACATGGCTTGTTCTTAAGGTATGGTCATAGCGGGTGACGTTTTTACTCGAGAAGCTCATGCATATTAATCAAGAACATTAACTGAAACCTTGATTAAAAGTACTTAAAAATCTTTTTGAGACAACATATTATATATGTGAAAAATATTTAATGAAGGAAATACTTACAACTACAAAGCGTGCATTTTTTTATTCTTTCCACTTGAGTTGGTATCAAGATGTGTCCATAACACACGGTCCTCTTCCTCAAGAACGTCAAATATGTCATGCGTTTTCTAAAAAATGCTCAACTAAGATAGTTATAAATAATATATGCGAATAGTTGCAGTATTCTGTTACTCATCTAATATAATATATACAAATGACGTAGGATATTATCATTCATGGATTAACTGTTAATAACAGATGACAGATCAAAAAATGACTTAATTTATTACTGATTCATATAAAATAAAAAATAGAAAGATACATTACTTTTGCATCAATTTATGAGATTATTTTAACATGTGTTTATATCTATCAGTCATGTAGTTAGTGACGATTATTCTCTTCAAATATAATCTAAATAAAACAAATGTATTTCATTAAGCATACTCGAATACATTGATTGAGACTTCTATGAAAATTATCTATGTGTCCTTAGAACTTTAGTTATTATGAAGTGAGAAAAAGAATTGATCTATTTCAATAATAAAATAGATGGAACTTTACTCACCGTTGTTGATAAAATATTGAATACTAACTATGCAACTGTCGAATAATTTCTTACTCTAATTAATATCAGACTATTTGATTCTCTCAATATATAAATACAACTCCAAATTCATTAACCTACGCATAAAGAACTTATTGAGCAAAATAGGAAATCATTTTCTTTATTTCCGTTTTTTTTTAATAGTTCTCAAAATGCTATATGAATAAATATATCAAACTTTAATAAAAAAAAGTAGCTGTCTGTATTCATTTTATTCACCCTATAATAGTTCTAACAATTTTCTCAAAAGAATCATTAGCATATTTAAATTTCAATAGTTCATATTTCGCAAAACTTAACAGGAATAAAAAACAGGAAATAGTCAATGGCAGACAGGTAGTATGTCGGGTTTTTATTCTCTTTACAATATCTACTGATGACGTACACTCCAATTTTGAATTGATAATTATATTTAGAAATGTCCTATAATCTTACAATCTGCACAGGTACAAATCTATAAATAATTTTTATCAGAATTCACAAACGTTTTTTTTTATACAACATGATAATGTTACAACCTATTAAATCTTTATTAAAACTGATATATAAAGGAAAATTTATTATAACATAACAGGAGTCATTTTAAGCATTTCAACACCATGTGATTCAATATTGTAAGCTGTGTAATTTCCTTTAAATTCTCCAAGATCCTTATGTAACCAAAGATCTCGAATATTAACTGTAGTTGTTGAATTCCAACCTAAATCAGTAAATAAGACTAAAATTTTGTCGGCAATATTATCTGCACGATTAAATGTAATCACAACTTTTGATCCATCAACTAATGGTCCAGCCCATATTTCTGTATCATGATCAAGATCAATACGTATTTTTTTTCCTTGTACACCAAGTGGATCTTGATTAACAGCAATAACTTCGGAATTTGTTAAAATTTCTAAACTTTCTTTTGATATATTACGTACATCACAACCAATAAGTAATGGTGATTTAGCTATTGACCAAAGACTCATATGTGTACGATATTCATTTAATGTCATACCACCATTACCAATTTCTAACATATCTGGATCATTGAAACCTATTTTAATAAAAGAAATATCGATATATATATATATTTTTCTCTATTCTTGTTTACCGTGTGGTGCTGCATAATCAGCAAATAAATCATTAATATCAATATTAAATAACATTGATAACCATGTATCAATAATATCTGGAGTTGTTCGCCATGAATTAGCAACCGAACGAAACCATAATGCAGGTAACATTTCACCCCATTCGCATGCAGAATAAAATATTGGTCTACCTGTATGATTTAATGCATCACGCATACGTTCATAACGTTCTTTAATTGTTTTATTTGTTGGTTTAGAATTACAATTATCATATTTCAGATAATCAACTTTCCATTGTGCATAAATATGTGCATCGATTTCTTCATAGCCATAGGAACCTGGTCGACCAGCACAAGTCGAAATTCCAGCATCCGAATAAAGACCAAATAAAAGACCACGTGAATGAACATAATCAGCTAATGATGCCATACCAGATGGAAATCCATTTGGATCAGGAATAATAAATTTTGTTTGTGGATCACGTGATGATGCCCAACAATCGTCGACATTAATATAATTATAACCAGCTTTAGCTAAACCAGTAGCTATCAATGCATCAGCTGTTTGACGTATTACTGTTTCATTAATATTACATCCAAAATGATTCCAACTATTCCATCCTAATAATAATAATAATAATTAAATTAATTATAATATTTTAATAAAAATTCTATTTAACATACCCATTTGTGGTGTTTTACCAAGTCCATTATCGAGTGACAAAATAGAATTAAATAAACTAAGAAGAATAAAAAAGAAGAATAACATGACTATGTTTGTTAAATATAGATTAAATGCTTATATAAGAAAGAAAAAATATGTGTGTTTATCTCAGATAAATATGCGTCTCTCCTCCTTTATCTATTCGATAAGAAATTTATTTATTAGAATATTTAAATTTAATCGTACAAAAACTGTTTTTAATATTAAATTTGATTATTTTATTATTGAACTACATACAAAAAAAATAAATTATAATGTTTATCATCGAAATATTTAAGTAAATAGATTATTTGAATTCGTAGTAACATTCCGATGACATAGTCTAGTAGGTGGACATATGATGATCGAGATGAAAAAAAACAACGATGATAATTAGCTTAGAATATATGAGAACGAGAGTGATGATGATGACATACGGATTAAATATTGACGAGTATCGATAAGAAATGAAAACATAGGTTACATCTATCAATAAGAACAGTTCACTTGTACTATATGTTTAAAAATGTATCGATTTTATCTTTTATTATTGATCGGAAGTCTATGGTGTTTTACGTTTGCTGATGCTAAACGACGAGGTTTGCTCGAAATATTATTTAGAAAAAAAATTTATTCATTATTTTTCTTCAGCTACATCTCAATCACAACATAATTTAGGTGATTTTTGTATGCCAGGTACATGTGCTAGTTTAAATTCAAATTGTAAACGTATTGGTGGAAATGCATTTCGATGTGTTTGTAAAGAACAATATATGGCTATAAATAAAACTCATTGTGGTTTGTTTTCAGAATTATTATTTAATTTAATTTTTTTTAATATTAAAGTGCGAGTTATCAATGCATCTGTTGATGAAGCTTGTGGATCATGCATTAAACGTAATGGTATTTGTTTGGATGAAAATTCCGATGATCGTATGGAAAAATGTTTTTGTCCAACTGATAATGATTTATGTAATGATAAAGCAACTACAACTTATCTTCCACCGATAACACAATCATTAAGAAAAAAGTAACATTTGTTTTTTGAAGAAAATAATTCTAATGTTTATTTTTAATAGTATACCAGGAATGACACAATCATTAACAGGTCGAATATCTAAACAAGGTGATCTTGTGCTTAGTTTATATGATATTAATCAACAACGAATAATTGATAATGGTGGTTCAGTTTTTATTGGTGATCGTTTATTTATTGAAATAAAATATCGAACAAGTATTTTCTCTTGCTTTTTTCTTATCTCATATATTTTTTGTCTTTTAAAAGATGATCATAATTCTGATCGTCATCAAATAATTGCAGAAAATTGTTCAATTGCTTCAAGTGTTTCTGATAATGAAATCAAATTAGAAAAAATTCAATTATTAACAAATCGTTGTCCAACATTAGATTCACGTTTATCTATACGTTTTCAACGTATTGATCCATATCATTTGAAAAGTACGATTTTTCCAATAAATAAATTTCAAACAACATCAATTGTTTATTTACGATGTTCAATTGCAATTTGTTTTGGACAAGTTGAAAAATGTGTTGAAGTAATTATAGAATGAAAAATGTTTTGCTTGATGAATTTATTTTGTTTTAGCGTTTATGTCCTGTTGCTGGACGAACATCATCACAACGATTAAATAGTTCATCCATAGCTCCATTTGATTATGTTGATGAAGATAATGCACGTATTGTTTCATTAAAACAACGACGACAACTTTCGGGTGATGATGATGATGATCAACAGAGAAAATTTACAAGATTAATAACTGATTTAACAAATTCATTTGATACAGTTCGTAATCATTATGAAATACGACAAATACAACAACAATTTTCTATTGAAATACCACTACCACAACCAACAAATAAACGCAACGGAGCTTATGGTAAAATATGTTGTTGTTTTTTTATCTAAAAATCTTTCGATATGTATTTATTTAGAAACACTCTATGGTCGCACATCATTAGCTAGTCAAGGTGCTGTTGAACGATCCACTGTTATTGCTGCTATATCAATTATATTTATTATTGGTATATCCGTTTCATTATTTATTATTTATCGAACATGTTATGTTGAATATGTACAAAAAATCTATGGTTCACCATCACTTGCTGGTTTTATTAATAGTCCAGAATCGATTTATGGAGGTTTAAGAAGTACATCACAAGTTTGTCGATATGATATGGGACGTCGATCAGAACAACGTTTTGATGAGAGTTTTTTTGTTAGTAATGTTGAACCATTAGGAGCTTATCGAAGACAATATTAAAGAAAATTTTTGTTTTCCATTCAAACAGTTTAGTTAAGTTTCAAAATAAAGATTATTCAATTTAATAGTTAAATAAAAACTATTTTTTAGAAATCTTAGAGATAAATTTATTGATTTTTTATTAAATATACATCATATGCTTCATCACCCTTAAATAATATTGAAAATTACAATTTTTATATAATATAAAAAACAAACAAATTACTTTTTCAGTTGTTTGTATTCGAAATTGAATTTCTTGGCCAATTTCTAATTCTCGAAGGCCATCTTTTAATGATCTAGCATGAACAAATAGATCATTTCCATTTGCTATTCGACGAACAAAACCAAAACCACGTTCTTTCTTTATTAAAAAGAAAAATCGTCATTCTAATTGTTCTAACAATATGAAATGACTTACATTCCATCGATGAATAATTCCTGTTTCTTGTTTATTTGTATCTGAAATTTCATTATTGACTATCTGATCTTCTAGAAAAACAGAATCCGTATGAATACATTCCAGATTGATATAATCTCTATCTAACTAGTATTTGTGTTCTTAATAATACGAACATCTTTGGCTTCAGCACCACGATTACTTTCACTTTCATAAAAATCAACTTCAATTCCTTCATGAAAATTTTCTAAATCTCGTTGATGAATCGATCGAGAATGTACAAAAAAATCTGCACCATCACTTTTTCTTGTAATAAAACCAAAACCACGATTTTTACTAGAATAATAATCAACATTATTATTTATAACTAAATAATTTTCTTCAACCTACACAAATTTTCTAATAATGCCAGTATGTCTATCTTTTGTAACAGGTTTGGAATCTTTTACTTGTGTATCCTTCGTACTAACTATTTGATTTTTCACAATAACATCCAATAAAAATAAAATAAAAATAAAATAAGAGTAAAATTTATCCAACTTACTCGTGCTTCACGTCCTTTTACTCCTTGAGATTCTTTAAATTCTACTTCTTGTCCTTCCTAATATAAATTCTTTGAATTAATTCAGGTAAAAATCTCTTTCATTTCGTTTACCTCAAGTGTTTTAAAACCAGTACCAACAATCGATTGAAAATGTACAAAAAAATCTGTACCATCAGTTTTTCGTGTAATAAAACCAAAACCTTTATCTTTTGAAAATCGTTTAACAATTCCTGTATCTCGATTACTATTAACATTATTTACTATAGATGATAATGTTTGTATTTGTAATCGAAAAATTTTATCTTGTCGAATAACTAGATGTTTCAATAGGGATAAAAGCATCTAAAAACAATCTATTTATTATCGATTTAAAAAATATGTTATCATAAATGTTATAAAACTAGCTGAAATTAACATAAAATTAGTATGATAAATTAATTTTGATTGAATACGTTCTTCACTTTGTTGATTTAATAATAAAATATTTTCATAGGAATCATTTGAAGATAAATTTGTTAATTCTTGTTTTAATTTATCTATTGATATTTCTTGTTTATCTATTAAATTTTCATAAAGTTTTTGTGATTCTTGTGTTATATTATGAAATTCTTTTATACGATGACGATTTGTTAATGTTGCACCTTCAAAGAATAGAATAAAAATAAATCAATATTAAAAAAAAATTTTTTACCAATCATTCCAGCTAACGCACCAACAACGGATCCAATAATTGACCAATATTTTGTTCTTTCAATACGCATTTTTTCTTTTTCTTGACTTTCACGTAAAGCTAATTGTAATGATGAAAATAATTGTCGTTCAATTTCATCTTGTTTTTTTAATTCTAATTGAGTTAATTTTTCTTTTTTAACTAAATCATGTTCACTTTTAAATAATTCAAAATAAGCATCATCACTACGTGATAATTTATCCATATCAATTCTTATACGAGCTAAATCATTTTGAAGTTTTAGTAATTCATTTGAATATGATCGACGTTCGGTTTGAGTTTTAATAAATGAACGTTCAGCCTATGTAGAAAAATCAAATGTAGATATGGTTGAAAATTATATTATCTTACAAAATTTATTTATATTACATCATTGACAGCACTTTGTGCTTGTTTTACTTCTTTGAGACCAACAAAATCTTCATAAATATCAAGCCAACGATATAAACGTGATTTTTTATTATTAATTGAGAATCGACGAATAGGCAATCGTGTTAACATTAGTAGATTTTCAAATGAATCTGATAGCAAAATAAACGAAGATGCGCAACCAAGAAGAAAAAAATGAATGAATGAATCATTACATTTCGTTGAATATCCAATTGAAAAATCGATAGATGGTGTATGAGCTAGTAGTACTGTCATTTTTAGCACTTAAAAGATAAAACATATTAACTATTAAAAGTGAAGATTCATGCTTTTTTTTATTGCTATTCGATAGTAATTCACTCTATATATCATCTTTACAAGGATGATTCTTAGAATTAAATCGTTCGATATAATACTTATAAAAGATTTCGAATTCGCGATAGATCATAATATGAAATGTAATAATCTTTAACATAAATTATCATTCAAGTGACTATGTATTTCATCTTCATCCAATATGTCGATTTAGTTTGTTTCAAATCAAAAGATCGCCCTTTAGTTTGTATAATGAAATACAAATATTGATTTTTAGTTTTTTTTTCTCTTTTAAATTCCATTGTAATCAAAAAAAAAGTTTCTTTTTTGTTCTTTTTTTTGCTCTCTCGCATTTTTATTTTCATTTTACATCGTACATACACATATTTTTTCAGTCAGTGAAACATAAGAAAAGCAAACAAACTTTATTGAAGGTGTGAGCATCAAAAATACAACAGCACAAATAAAAACGATGTCGAATAGTCGGCAATTTCTTGTTCCAACTCATTATGATATTAAAAAACAAGTGTATCCAACTGAAGAAGTTGTTCGTAAACGACAATATGATATGGATCAAGTTAAATCAATAAAACACTATCAAGAATCATTAAATCATACAGTTCCTGGAGAAATAACTATTGCACCCGATTGCTATGCCGACAAATTACGCCGTCGAGCTAAACATCACCGTTAAAAACTCTTCGCTTGAAAAAAGATAATTTTTTTTTCTTTTATTCTCTCTTTTTTTCTTTATACTTTCTTACCTTTTCTTTTTATCTTCTTGCGTGTTATTATATAAAGGAAAAAAAAGACTGAGTTACATACACAAGTTCATAATCATTTTCTTTACTATGTCGCATAACCCTAACCCAAATGCTGATACATCAGGTTTCAATTATCCAAGTGCTGCTGGAGTACCAACGAATACCGATCAAACACATATAGGCATTGTACCAACAGCAAATTCATCTACCACAGAATCATCATCATCAGTACCGATAACAACAACACATTCAACCTTGAATAATCGTATAGGACCAGCTATTGATCGACATCAAGGACAATTATATGATGAACATGGTGGTGCTGGAACGAGAGCAGATGATCGTAAAGGTGAAAATGTTCACAATGATGGTTATACAGCAACACCTGTCGCTACAAAAGATCATGAATGAAATTTCATCTATAGATATTTTATTTTTATGATTGTAATTATTTAGTTCTTATTCAAGCAAGATAGAGAAAAACATAATATTAATCATATTGATGTATTTATTACTTTAAATATATAAACTATTCGATGTTGTCAATAAAACTATTAAACTTCAAATTAAAGTAGATAAATATTGAAGAATAACTGCTACTAGAAATATGAATAATCAATTCTTTGTTTACTAGTAGTATATGGAGTTGGAAAAAACATTATTCCTTTTGTAAATTTCTATATAGAGATATTTGATCGTAGTAGTATTAGTTTACGTAACTAAGTTTTTCATATAAATAGTTGTTTTCTAGTTATATGCAGAATGCATTGAGGTAGATTTTTCAAGAGTCTTTTTCTAAGCATTTATGCACTTTCAATTAAATTATGATACTTAAAAGTATGCTTATTAATGCGCTGCGAAGCAGAGCATTTATGTAGTCTTTCGCGAGTTTTCTTCTTTTCTCGACGTACAAATTCAAAATTGTCATTTTGTATCACCATTATCTGAGGAACGGAACATCAGAAGATATTCATTTAAACCCGAGATAAATATATCAAAATCGAACTAATACAATTCGCTTTTTGAGTTTAGGTATGGGTGTGGGTGGACATGATCGAGATTATCCTGAACAATCTTTACTTAATACTAGTAAACTTATTATAAATAATTTATCTTTTATTTCATATTCCAAAACAAAAAATAGTTTATACTAGTTTCTAAATGTACATCATATGCGTTTCTTTACGATAACAAAACAATTATCTTTGCCACCAAATTTTACATTTCATTCTATGGGTTTAACAACAGAATATTTGGAAAAATGTTTGTTTGAATGATATAAGAAATCAATTATATGCGAAGTCAATTATATCTTCTTTAGTAATACACTTTTAAAATATAAACTATTTTTTTCAATCAAAACTTATTCTACTTTAATCGAATAATTGATAATATCTGATAAATGAGATCATAAAAAACATTTATTGAAATTAAAACCACAACTCTACATATTATCAGTAAAATAGTATTCAGAATGAGTAACTCGGCAAATGGAATTTATAAGACATTATCAGAATTTGAATATTTTAGAATAGATCTAGTGTATTGAATTCAGATGGAATGGTTGACAATTACTTCATAGAATTCAAAATTTTCTTTTTCTTTTTAAGCTAAAACAATTCAAATACTTAAAAGTTCATCATTATCATTCATTGTTAGTTCAATAGCTCGTACTTTATCATTAAAAATAGATGAAACAATTTCTTCAAATGATATTCATCAAAATTTATCATTCAGTACTCGAACAAGTATAGAAATTTTATATCGATCAACAACAGTTATTCCTCATCATCGTTTTAATACAGTTTCAATATATTTTAGAAAAAATACTAATAATAAAGAAGAAATACATCTTTCGTCAATGTTTAAACAAAATAAAAAATTAACGAAATCTCAATCATTTCATACATCATTATTACAGATTCAACCAAAACGACATATACGTACTATTGATAATGATATCGAAAGTGATGAATCTCCATCAAGTAGCATTAATAATCGTCATTCATAGGAAAATAAAAATATATTTCAATGACAGAAGAATGGTTTCCCTCAGATAGAATAATATGTACAATTCGTTTAAACATTATCCTTTTTTTTCGAACATCATCTTACCGGCCGACGCATCTTCCGTGTTTTTATTGTTGTTCCATCTCATAAAAAAGTTTGATAGGATACAAATCTAAAGTTTCTCCTTTTAGTAATTTAAACGAGTATTTATGTAGGCATTTTCTCTAACATTTATGCATATTCACACTCGGAATTAAAAAAATACACACAGTCCTAAATGCTAGCAGACGTTGGTAAATTATGACAGCATACATAAAATAAAAACGCATTTCACTGTTTACTACAGTAGTACCATAGCCTTTACCTTTTTCAATATTCATTTGAAAAATAAGACGAATTAGTATTTTTTAAATAATTTTTGAATGGAATAACGTAGAGAGCTGGAATGAAGACGTATCAAATCGTATAAAAAAACAAATTTCTAGTCTTTTTCTCCCTAAGAGTTTATGTCAATTTTCTAGAAAAACAACAGACTATCTGTGATCGCCATATTGATTTGTTTATTTTCAGAAGTGTGTTAGAACCGTCAATCGCACGCCATTTTTTCTAGAGAAGAATGGAAACAATCTTTTTTTTTTGGATTTTGATAAAAAAAAATCATCTTTTTCAACATATCTAAGAATAGTTATTTTTAGAGGACCAGACAAAAAACTCTATTTACGTATAATTCGACATATGATCATTTTCTTCTTTCAATGGTAAAAATTGTAGCTCTCTCTGGCATTTTATCCAAAGATTATTTAAAATATGAATTCTTTACTTCTATCTGCGGGTTTCTGGTGGGTTTCCGATAGTTTGAAAACCTGTGTACAAAAACTCTTATTAAGTTTCTAACAATACCGAATTTTTTTAGTGTAGCAGACAAAGTATTTATTGAACAATAAATTCTATTTCTTTTTTCTTTCTTTCGAGTGGGTTGTACACTGATTTAATGGAAAAACAATCCTGACTTTTCTCTCTCAATTACTCTCATCAATTTAACTAAAAGTCATTCATAACTTCCATTTTCCATTTCATTTCATCAATTTAATCAAAAAAAGTAGTCAGGACTTTTTTATTTTCAAAAACAATTTATTCATTTGGAAAGATGATTCTTTTACGTGTTTAAATATTATTTGAGGACAAATACATTTATAAAAAGACCTTTTGCGTAATATGAAGAAAAATCGATTCAACAAAATTGAATTTGAAAAAAACAATATAATCAATATTTAGTTAGAGATGAAATTTTCTATAAAAATTAATATCTAAATGAAGAATAATAAGATATTCCGAAAATCTCTCTTTTTATTATTCTTCCATCTTTGATTGATTACAATTTTTAATTCAATAGATAATCATAATTTTCTTCATCAATGTGAAAATGATTCAAACAATTGAGATTCATTTCTATGTAGAATAATGTTAAGATCCTGTTTACTAGATAAATTAATACAAACAGTATTATAAGTATTCTAAATAAAGTTCAATAGTTGTTTATGATAACAACATATTATAACGTACTTTTTTCTTGATGGAAAATATTCATTTTGAAAATGTTGTTATGATGTTTTATGTGTATAGAAAAAGAAACGATGGAAATAGAGACTTTCAGAATACATCTAGATTTGTTATAATCATAATAATATAAAGCATGTTACTTCACAAAAACAGTATATCTAAATAAATAATTATGGCAAGAAAAAGTTAACTTCTTTTGTGAATAGAATACAATATATCCACGATTACATTAGACATACTATTGAACAGTTGATGACGTCTTTTCTTTCTTCTAATATTTTGTCGAAGAAAAATATTCTGTCAAAGTTTGAATATATAATGTACAACAACAACATGTATGATTTTTCCGACGCATAAACATTTCTCTTTCTCTCGTTTTTTTCTCTTTTCAATATAGCAAATGTTTTTCTTCTCAAATCATTTCCTCAATTTAATCAAGAAAAGTAGCCAGGACTACTTTTTACGAAATTTACTTCATCAATTTAATTAAAAGACTAGCATGACTTCTACTCTCTGAGTTCATTTCATCAATTTAATCAAAAAGAGTAGTCAGGACTTTTTTATTTTTAAAAACAATTTATTCATTTGGAAAGATGATTTGTCTACGTGTTTAAATGTTAATTGAGAAAAAATATATTTATAAAAAGACCTTTTAACTTATATGAAGAAAGATCGATTCAACTAAATTGAAATTTCAAAAGATAATATAATCAACATTTAGTTAGAGATTCTGTTTTCTATTAAGAAAAAGTTAACTTTTTGTTATTATCATTGTTTTATTCATATACATTTCGCTTTTTATGAAACAACGTAGTTTCTATTATTGTGATTATAATAGGTTTAAATAATTTTATCAATTTTCTGCATATATAGTAAATCATAGCAACATATAAATGAAAGAAAAAGAAGGGAAACATTAACTGAATGAATATTTTTTATCGAGAAAAAAAATGTTTTGAATGTATTGTTATGATAAACAATTACTTAGGCAATTTTGTAATCCTAAAAATCTGTTTGTTCAAGGGAAAGAAAGCGATTTATCATTTAGTGATTTAAAATGAGTTAATTTTGATTTTCATATGATTTGATTCAGTTTAAATCATAAAAACTAATTTTTTCATATGATTTAACTGGTCAAAAAGCGATTTAAAATGATTTACGTTTAATTTTTGTCCGATTGAAATTAGCCTTTTCTCCCTTGAATGTTTTTGTTTAATTACTTCAAATAACATGCATTAAAAATATTAAAAAAAACATAGATTTTCTTTTGAAAAAAAAACTAGAATATAGTTTTTAAAAATTTTTAGAGAAAAAATAGAAGAAAAATAAGAGACGTCCTTTTTAAAAAAAATATTTAATACGGCATTCAACTTTTTTTATAACTCGGAAAAGGTTGTTTTTTTTTCATTTGCATTGAAGAGTTCAGAGAATAAAATATTAAATTATTCTCAACATGATGGATCGAACAAGATTATTTCATGTTCTGATCTCGGTATGTTATGTTTTATAAATGATAATAATAGTTCGTACATATTCTTTTGATTTATAGTTATGTCTTATCCATCATACAAAAGCAGTTTCAGTTGCTACACAAAGTAAAATTATTAAAAAAAAATATATATATATATAATTATGTAATGGTTTTTAGGTTTATTGGGTTGTGGAACGATTAGTCGTCCAATGCGTATGTATCCATATAGTCCAGCTAATTATAATTTCAATACAAATACACCTGGAACATGTATGCAAGCATGTTCAGCAGCTGGCTATGCATATGCAAGTGTGTCTGCTGGTCGATTATGTTTTTGTGGTTCGGTCGCAACTGATACAACAAAATTGAATTCGACTACAACATCATGTCAAGTGATTGCATGTACTGGTGATCCGACTGTTTATTGTGGCGATACTGATTATGAACTTGTTTATACATCAGTTGGTGATGTTGATGTAAGTTTAAATTTTATTCTATCTTTTTTTTTATAATCGATCTATTGAAAATATATTTATAGTCGGCTAGTATTACATTCAGCAGTGGTGGATCACCTATGGCTTTATCAATCAATCAAAATTATCAATTTAGTGTTTCGTATCAAGGTGCAGTTAATTATATTTCTTATCAAGTTAACTTTGGTGATGGTACAAAAACAGGATGGTTTAATGGAACAGTAAATTCAGCAACAACCGTATCACATATTTTTTCAAGAACTGGACAATTTTCCGTATCAGTTGCAGCTCGAACAGTTGTTGGAATGCAGGTAAAAATAAAAATTTTGAGATTTTTCTTTATCAAATATGAGTTGAATTATTTATTTGTCGAAATATAGTTGTAATTTCTTAATCTATTCAATCTCAATAGTTTCTCTTATGAGACTTAGTCATAGTATTTAATATTAAACTTCTTTTTTTTTAGCCTAAAATGTATGCACTAACAGTCAAGGTTATTGATCAAATCTTACCATTTGATGTGTCAATAACATGTCCTAATGTAACAGCAACCAAGAAGACAGTTTCATGTATTTTTACATCCGTTCGTGGTACTGGTTTAACAGATGCTTTCAGTTACAATATAGCTGGTTCATCTCATTCAATTCTTAATATTCCAGGTAAAAGATTTTAAAAAATAATTTCTAAATAAAAAATATTTTTTTTGTTTTTTTTTAGATGCAAAATATCATTCATATGGTTCATCATCTGTTACAAATAATCCTACAACAGATTCATCAGCAAGTCTACTTGGAGCTAGTGATATTGCTATTTTACCTCAAAGTACTGTCAAAGTTGCTGGTCGATTAGCAACAATACAATTTTATAGTTCCGGAGCTGGTACAATTAACATTTATGTAAATATATACAATATGTCATTTTTTGCTCATATATAAAAAATATCTTATAATATTCATTTCTAGTTACTTCGTCGTGTTTGTACGGCACCAGCCATGTATTGTTATGATGCAAATACATGTGGTAGTTGTGCAAATGCATATTCATTACAATGTTCATCAAGTGTTTATTCAACCGTATCACGTTCGTGTGTTAATGAAACATCAAGTCAACGTTATCAACAATCGATTTATTCAGGTGCACAATTTCAGGTTGTTGCTACATATCCAGTAACAACAACAGGAGCTGGTTATCAACAAATTATTGCAAATTCATCATCAACTATGAATCAAACAGCACTTGTCGGAGATATTCTAGCATTTCAAGGTCCATATATTGCAAAAGAAATGACAACTGATACAACTCAAGATTATCGTTGTATAACTCCAACAATATCCAGTTCACAATTTACATGTTCTGTTGGAAATATATCATCAAGTGGTTCAACATATCGTTATTTACTTCAAGTAACAATTATAGAAGCAGTACAAATTGCACCAAATATGATTTATTATGCTACTGGAAATTATAATATTACAAGTTCAATAACACAAAATAATGTAACATCACTTTCAGCTTCAACTATATTACCAGTTGTAGATGGTATCGATTGGATTGAAATTGTTGCACCGTCTACATCAAATATTAATATTATGTTATCATTTATGGCAAATGTCTATCCTTCGAGTAAGTATTATTAAATTAATAATATTCTATATTTATTTAATTATATTATTATAGCTGCAACTGCTACATTATTCATATGGTATATCAATGGTAATAATACATATAATTCAACAACAAATATGATGAATGTATCATTTCCAATTATTGGTACATATATTATTGCTGCTCAAGCACAAAATCTTCTTTCACATGCATATAATACAACAACAATTGTTTTACAAGATACAATTACAAATTTTACATTAGTCGGTGCAAATATATCAAATGTTTCAATTTCTCAACCATCAGACGTAGCAAGATTTCAAATAAAAATGGCAACAGGTAGTAATTATGTATGTCAAATTAATTTTGATACAACACAAACAACAACTAGTGTTTATTACTATACATCGGGTTATATACCAGGCAGTTATGTTACACATCAATATTTATTACCAGGTGTATATAATGTAAGTAATATTGATGTATCGAAAATTAAGATCACTACATAATCATTTAATTATTTCTTTAGATATTTGCTAGTTGTGTTAATAGTGTAAATAATGCCACGTATTCATTAACTCATTACGTACAATATCCAATTACTGGTGTTCAATTACAACAACGTGGTGTTGTTAAAGATACAAGTTTTCGTATAAATATTACATTTACTCAAGGTACATCACCACAATTTCGAATTTTAATCGATGGCGCACAAGTTAATTATACCTATAACACTCAAAATAATCTTATTCAAACAACTCCATTTAGTGGTTCATCAGGATCAACTAATTATAGTGTTGATATATATGCATGGAATTATATTTCATCTGTTTATGTATCTGATACATTTTCTGTTGTTTCATTAATAACTAATCCACAAATAAGAGCATCAACTACAAATATACTTTTTCCAGGCCCAATTCTATTCGAATATACAATGGATAGTGGTTCAAATACAAATGTAACATTTACATTTAGTGATACAGTACTTAATAGTCCAGTTACATGTTTATACAGTGGTGATTATATAACTGGTGTATGGAGTAGTTGTTCAGGTACAAATCATACATTTGCAATTCCTGGTACATTAACAGTTGTTGCTACATTTACAAATGCTGTAAGTACAGCAATTAAATATTTAACAGTAACATTATCAACATCAGTTAGAAACATTCAATTATCAACTCTCTTACAATTAAATTCTGGTCAATGTGCAGCTGCATTCGTTGATACTCGTGCTATTGCTTCATTTATTGTTACAGCATCAAGTACAACAGTTAAACCAGCTTCAAATGCACAAGTTCTTATTATACCTGATTCAGTTAATCAACCAAATGTTACACTAGGACCATTTTCTTTAACAATGGATTATTTTAGTTCACCAGCAGTATCATCTAGTGGACTTAATGTTATTTATTCAGCCCCTGGTAAAGCTAATCAATAAATATATGTTAATTAAATTTATATATTTGATTTATTTTTATAGGAAATTATTCAGCTGTCTTACAAGTTAGTAATAGTGTTGATTCAGTCAATATTAGTTGTTTCATAAGAGTTACATCCATTCTTCAAGCAGTTTATTATTCAATTGATTCAATAAACTTTCCATTTGGTAGAACATTACCATTTCAAACGGCAGTTTATGTTACTGATCCCAATCCAGGTGCAGTTACTCTTTCATGGAATTATGGTGATGGTACACCAATTGTGACTCGTTCACGAACAGGTACTAATCTTAAATAAACACACACACACGTATATATATATTCATATTTTTCTAGCTCTTCAATCTTATCTATCTGATAATGCAACACATGTTTATAGTGCAGTTGGTATTTATACCTTATCAATCAGTGCTATGGGTCCAATTAATACTGTTGTACAAAATTTTTCCATTAATGTTCAATATCCTGTCACAGCATTTTCTGTAACCTTTGCAGGTGGATCAAGTTCTTTAACTAACGTTTATAGTGGAGGTAAAATTTTCATATGAAAATTAAATTTAAATTAAAATAAAATCTTTTTATTTTAGCTTCAGTAGCAATTCCAGTTTTAGTACAAGAAACAAGTTCACCACTTTCAACCAATTCTCATCTTATTATTAATTACAATGATTCAAGTGCATTAACATCAAATAGTATTATAAATGGTTCTCTACCATATAATGGTTCTTATACATTTACAACTCCAGGTGTATATTACGTTAATTTTACTGTTTACAATCTAGCTTCAGTCTTAACACAAATATATAAAATTTCTATTAATGCACCATTTAATAACTATGCATTATCAGTTTGTTATTTATTATCAACATCAACAAGTGATTCATGTAATTTAACAGTGAGCGGTGGAGTTTATTCTGTACCTAAACAAAGTCAAATAGTTGTTTATGTATCATGGTCAAATCCAAGTAAATTTAATTTTAGAAAAAATAATAGAAAATTTTTATTTGTCTCTTCTTTTTAGGTGGTATACCTGATGGATTTAATATGTTATTTAGAAGTGGTTCAACTCTTGTCTATAATCAATCATATACATTTAGTCAAGCAACAAATGTATCAGTTATGGTTGGAGGCGTCTCTGGTTCAGCATTATTTCGTTTAGTCTATAATATTCAATTGAATAGTCTATTAAAAGTTTGTTAAAATCAATTGGTTAAATTTATATTGTTATTTTTAAATTTTTTATTCTAGGATGGAGCATATACTTTAGAAGTGCAAACTCATAATCCAACATATACATCAACATCATCTTTAAATATATATATTCTTTCAGCAGTTGCTGGCTTAGTAATAAGCGATAAGAATATTGTTGTTGCACAAAATGTTCCAAAAACATTCGTAGCTTTATATCAAAATTTTTCAGCAATATCTTGTTTATATATCCAATATTCAGATAATACTATTCAATGTTATGGTGATTCAACATCATGTTCATCATTACCATCAGATTTTCCATCAACATTATCATCATGTCCATTACCTATTCAATCATTTACCTATAATAATGGATCAGTTTCATTTACAAAATCATTTAATAAAACTAGCGCATATTTATATGCTTATGCATGGAATCGTATGTCATCTATAAGTTCAAAAGCATATTTATCATTTCCATTAACATCATCAGGTGGTTGTACTTTACCACAAATTCAATTTGCTATATATAATCCTTTAATATCTGGGCCACGAATTATACAACGTAGTGCAGCATTTTCTGTTTCAACAACAACAACTCTCAATTGTACAATATCATTAAATAATACTAAACAATGGGGTATCTATTTATGTAATGTTAATACACAGGTGTGTACTCAAACAACAGCATTACTTCAATTGATATCACAATTAGCATCAGCAAAAACATCAGAAATTTATTTACAAGCACAAGCATTACCGACTGGTACATATTTATTTAATTATACAGTTTCTATGACTGCAGCACCAGGTTTTGCATCATCGGCTTATACTTATATAACAATTATTCGATCGAATATACAAGTTAATTTACTTGCTAATGGTACATCAGTAATAACAAATGGTGTAACACAAACTCTTTTATTTCAACCAGGTGTTTTTTCAGTTGATCCTGATTCGACTTATTTTGATCCGACAGTAAAACTATCTTTTATTGATTATTTCAAGAAATTTTCTTTATTTTTTTTTCTTCTAGAGTTGGACATTTGCTTATTATTGTCGTGTATACGGATTAGGTTCTTATCCAATGTCTAATGGAAGTCAATTAACACTTGACTCCACGATTATTGATCCAGCCAATCCATCTTGTTTTGCTTCACCAGGTAATTTCATTTAAATAATAGTTTTCTTTATCAAAACGAATTTTTCTTATTCCAGGCAATACAAGTTTCTTCAACTATGGACCAAATAATAATCGATCATATCTTTATATTCAACCACATTCATTAGCAACTTTACAATCATATGAATTTCAAACTATCATAACCAATATATATGATACAACACTTCAATATTCAGGTTATGCTTTAGTAACAATTCAAGAGATGGACTCTGTTTCAATCTCTGTTAAGTAAGATTTCTTGATAAGAAAAAATAAAAATCTTAACCAATCTATTTTAGTTGTATTATTAAAATGTGTTTACCAAATGCTGAATATCAACGAGTTAATCCGACATCACAAGCTCTTGTACAATCTAGTTGTGTTTCATGTGCAAATGTTACTAATACTATTATTCAATGGAGTGTCTACAGCGGTATTCAAACTAATTATCCAAATGGTGATATTAAATGGGTTCTATTTTCAAATATAAGTGCATACGATACTATATTCTTTTACGGTAAAAATTTCATGAATTTTTTTGTTTTGAAAATATTTTGAAATTAATTTCTTAAAAGGTCGAACTACAACAAATTTTACAGTTGTAAGTGCATTATTTTTAAGTTATCCATCGGTTCAATATTGGCAATTTTCATCGACTTACACGGTTACAAGACCAAGTGGTATAGCAAGTGGTTCAGGTTCTATACGATTTTCAATAAATTCACCACCTTCAGGTGGTGCATGTACTACTGATAAAACAAATGGTACAACAATGACAACTTTTACACTTACATGTTCAAATTGGTACGATTCAGATGGTATTCAAGCTTATACATTTTATGGTATGTATATCTAATAATCTTTAGAATTCGATTCATTCTTGATGATATTGATTTATATGTTTTATTTTAATTGAAAATTTTGTTTCATCTTAGCTTATACAACAACTAATGGTACTCGTACACCTCTTGGTTTTACATCATTAACTAGTATGAGTGCATATATACCAAGTGGTGATTCAAATGCTAATTATATAGTCCGATTATCAGTTGATATTAGTGATATTTATGGTGCCGTTACATCATATAATCTGTCATCTATTACCGTAAGATTTTTATATATTTATATATTTGATGTCAGTTAAAAAGACTATTTTCAGGTTACGGTTGATCAAACAGCATTAGCAAGTATTCTTGCATTATCACAGTCAACATCAACACAAGGGGGTTCTAGTAATGCATTTCTTTCAATGCTTTCTGCAGCTGATCAAAATACAGCTAGTCAATTGATTACATCGATAGCACAAACGCTTAATACAATGTCTGCAAATACACAAGCAACTGCTATATCGTCAGGTTAGAAGAAATTTAATCTACGTATTCCTTTCAGTATCTTTAATTCTTTTTTCTTCATATAGGAGGTTTATCTGCAGCAAGCCTTTCGGTATCTGGATTGTTTTCGTCAAGTTCATCATCATCACCATCAACAACCTCAGTTAGTTTTACAAAGAAAAAAGAATTCATTTAAATTGAATATTTAAAATATTTTTTTTAAATAGAATTCATCATCAAATTCATCCGCTAATAGTACTGCTGCTTTAATAGCGTATACAGCTGTTGTGAATTCACAAGCAGCTATTCTAGACACTGCTGTACAATATCTTAGTAATTTAACTATAACAGATATTAATAGTGTTTCACTTCAAGCAGCAGCAATGAATTCACTATGTCAAAGTCCATCAACAGTAACACGACAATCAACAGTATGTCTGATTTTCATATATTTTAGTGAAAAAAAATCTTTCTTTTTTAATTCGTAGGCACTTGCTGCATCAAAATGTACTGACTTAGTTAATGCATTAAGTACTATGTCTGATACATCATCATATGAAGATGTTCAGTCGGCAGTTAGTTCAATCGCTCAATTAGCAAGTAATATTGTTACAGCTGTGAATACACCGTTGTTGAGTCGTGGAGTTACTCTTAGTTCGGATTCTACGCGTGCTAATACATTACCAGCTGATTATGAAACAGATCTTGATTCTCCTTGGTCAAATCCAAATTTATTTTCTGATGGTGGTGATTTTTCAGCAGAAACAATAGAAAAAAATCGTAATATTTATTATCAACAACAAAGTTCAAGTCAAGTTAGTGGGCAAATGGATCAAGTATTAGCATCAGCTGTTAGTATTCTTAGTCTTCATATGAATGTTGGACAAACAAATGTTATTACTACAGATTCAATTTCAATGATTACCCAAAAGAGAACAATAAATGATTTAAATTCATTTAATATTTCACAAGCTGCTGGTACTTCAGTGAACTTTCCACAATTAGATTATTGTGCCATATTATTTAAAAATCAATCCTGCGCAAGTGATTCACCAGTTACAATTAATGTAAAATTACATTTTTTTTTCATTATTTTATTTTTATTAGAATAATTTATTTTAGTCTATTGTAACGCCGATGGCACCTGCTGGCAATAACGGACGTTCACAAGTATCTATAAATATGTCTCGTAGTATAGCATTAGGTTTAATAGATCCAACTGGAACTACAATGTTAGTTGAAGGTCTTTCAGAATATATTCAAATAATCATTCCACGTGATACAAGTACTCCTTTACCAGCGATGGCATTTCAAAATGTAACTGGACAAACAACATCAACAACAGGAAATAATAATCGACAATTCTCATTATTTTATGTCAATGTTACAGGCCCATCAGCAACTATAACTCTATCAGCAACATTCGAATTTAAATCAGACAATTCAGCACTTGGCTTTTTAGTTATTTATCGTTTTGATGCTATTCCATATTTGAATAGTACCATAAATAAAACAAATGGACAAAACGTTTTCTGTCCAAATGGTAAATACATTATTTTAAATATTTTCTATTTTAATTGTTCTCTTTTTATTAGATCAAATTGATACAGCAAGTGATGGTTATTTATATTCATATTTTCTCGATAATATAAAAACTGCTAATCATACATATACCATGTTCGGTATTCGTGAATTAAACTCAACAGAATTTAATTCCTATTGTTCAAATAATGGAACTCAACCAAATTCAAGTGTACCTATAACAGATAATCCAGTAAATTTTACTGCAAATTATTACATTCGTGTTTATACATCAGGTTGTTATTATATTGATTCAAGTAACAATTGGCAATCAGCTGGTTGTGTGGTAAATAAAATAAAGATTTTTTTATTGAGAATAAAATACATATCATATTTAATTTAGGTTGGCTCAAAAACTTCGCATACACAAACAGAATGTTATACGAATCATTTAACAACATTTGCTGGTGGTTGGATAGTCTTACCAGCACCAATTAATTGGAATTATGTATTTGCTAATGCTAGTTTTGCAAAAAATATGACAATTTATTTAACACTTATACTCCTGTTAGTACTTTATATATTATTTATGATCTATGCTCGATATAAAGATAAGAAAGATGTTGAAAAGGTATTAAAAATAGAAGCCAAAAAAAAATTTAGATTTATTTTTTAAATATTTTTAGCTTGGTGTTACTCCATTGCCGGATAATATTTTGAATGATAAATATTATTATCAAATTATTGTATTTACCGGTCTACGACGAGATGCTGGAACAGAATCAAAAGTAAATAAATTTCATATTTTCTTTCTGTATTCGAAAAGAATATTTTATTTGATTTCTTTAAAAGGTTCATTTTATTATATCTGGTGATGATGAAGAAACAGGTGTACGAACATTTGAAGATAAACATAGAAAAGTTTTACAACGTGGTGGTATCGATTCATTTATTATGGCTGTATCAAAGTAAATTAGATATTTCTATAAGAAAAGAAAAGAAAAAAAAATATTATTTTTTTTAGACCACTTGGTCGACTTAATTATATGCGTGTTTGGCATGATAATTCAGGTACAGCAAATAAAGCATCATGGTTTCTTAAATATATTGTTGTAAGAAATTTACAAACAATGGAAAAAAATCATTTTATTTGTCAACAATGGCTTGCTGTAGAAAAAGATGATGGAGTTGTAAGATTAATTAAGAAAGATTTTTTCATGATAAAATATTTTATGTATATATTTGCTTAGGTTGATCGATTAATACCGGTTGCAGGCGATGAACAAAAACAAGAATTCTCCTACTTATTATCAAAAAAGACATTTCATTCAATGTCGGATGGTCATCTTTGGTTTTCAATTTTTCTAAGACCACCATCAATACGATTTACACGTTGTCAACGTTGTACATGCTGTTTTGTATTACTCTTAATGGCTATGTAAATAAAATGATATAACTTTAAATTTTATTATATTTCTTTTTTTCTATGTAGGCTTATGAATATAATGTATTATGATATAAAACCAGATTCAAGTACACCTGGTGGAATTACTATTGGACCATTTTATATTACACCAGAACAGGTTATTTTACTGAATTATTAAAATTTTGACTAAGATCTTATTTTTCTTAATTAAATATTCAGCTTAGTATTGGTTTAATTGTTGAATTAATTTGTTTCTTACCAAGTACAATTTTGGTTGAAATGTTTCGTCGTTTACGTCCTCGTCGTCCTCCAGTACCACCTGTACGTGCAGCTCTTCAAAAAATGCAAGATGAACAACAACAAAAACAACAACAAGCTGCACTTAATGATATACATCCACAATTAACTAAGTTCGATCTACAATTGATTAGAAAATTTCATATCTATTTTTTTTTATTTTCTATTTAGTTTTGTTGTTGATAAGGATCCTATTCTATCAAGGAAGGAACTTGATAATATGCGAAATACATTAGCAACACCATTACCTGATAAACAAAATTCATCTCGTGTAATTCAAGGAGAATCAAAACCAAAAAAGAAAAAACCAATGACTTTACCATGGTGGTTTATATTTATTGCATACAGTTTTTCATTTATGGTTGTTTGTGTATCCGGATTTTTTCTTTTTGCACGTGGTGTTGAATTTGGTGATGAAAAAACACGTAAATGGCTTACATCATCAGTTACTGGATTTTTTTCATCAATACTTTTAACTCAACCAGTTAAAGTAAAATATTCTTCGTTATTTTATTTTCATGTATAAATATCTACAAAATCAATTTTCTATTAGGTTGTACTATTCGCAATATTTTTTGCATTAATTATTCGTAAAGATGAAGATATTGTAATTGATAAAGATGAAGATGATATATTTCTTGATGGTGATGAAGAATATTTACATGCATTTGATGATCAATCTTTATTAACATTTCGATCAAAATCTGGACATATACCATTATCAGAAGGTGAAATAGCCTATGCAAGACAAAAACGTTTGAATGAAATTAAAATGTGGGAAATCATAAAAGAAATACTTGCATATGGATCATTTTTATGGATGCTTTATCTTGTTAGTTATTCAAATCGAGATCCAAATTCATTTTATCTTATGCAACATTTACAATCAGATTTTCTTAATGTAAATAGTGCAACTCAAGATTTTACACAGGTAAATAGATTTTAATTCTTTATTATGTCATTTATATATATATATTTCTTCTATATTAGATTTCTCGTATGACTGAATACTGGGAATGGTTAGATAATGTATTTGTAAACAAAATTCGTGCTTCTACATGGTATAATGGTGATCCACCAGCTAATCTAGCTGGTAAATAAATCATTTGTATTATATCGTTTCGTATATCTTGAATATTTTTACAGGTTTTATTGCCGATCGAACAAATCGTGTACTTGGTTGGGCATCAATACGTCAACTACGTGTTAAAACTGGTATGTACATATCAACTTCTTTTCTTATTTAAATAATTCGATTGAAAATTTCTCTTAGATTCATGTACAATTATGTCAGCATTTAAAAATCTGTTTTCGTCTTGCGAAGCTGGATATGATATGTTCAATGAAGATACACATTCATATTATCCTGGTTGGACATCTCTATATAATTCAACTGTTGGTCCACTTTCAAATTATTCAACAAAAATAAGTAATGCATTTATGTACAATAAAAGTGATACACTTGGTACATATTCATATGCTGGTGAACATGCAACATATAGTGGAGGTGGTTATGTATATGAATTTCGTGGAAAAATGAGTGACATTGTATCAAATTTATCAGCATTAAGAGAATTATCATGGATTGATGTACAGACAAGAGCTGTTATAATACAAATGAGTCTTTATAATCCAAATGTAAATTTATTTACACTTATTACTATTCTTGCCGAATTTTTACCAACAGGTGGTGTTTATACATCAGCACGTTTCGAACCAATAACATTATTAAGCTCATTTGAAGGTATAAATGATCATTATTATTAATAATAATTAACTATAATCGAAATTTATTTAGGTTTTGCTTTATTTAAATTAATTTGTTCAATTGCTTATATGGGATTTATAATCTATTATATGCAAAGAGAAATTCGTTCATTATTAAAACAACGTATGGCATACTTTCGTGACTTTTGGTCATATGTAGAAGTTGGTATAATTGCATGTTCATGGGCTGGTTTAGGTGTTTATGTATGGCGTATACATGAGGGTAATCGTGTTGGTGAATTATTCAAAGAAACAAAAGGTTATACGTTCATTAGTTTACAATTGGCAACATATGTCGATGATAGTTTAACATTCCTATTAGGATTTTGTTGCTTCTTTGGTACAGTTAAATTTCTTCGATTATTAAGATTTAATCGTAGTTTATCAACATTATCTGGAACATTAAGTTATGCATTAAAAGATTTAATAGCATTTTCGGCTATGTTTGCAATAATTTTTATAAGCTTTTTAACATTATTCTATCTTTTATTGTCTTCAAAAATTATGGAATGTTCAGATCCAATAAGAGCTGCACAAATGTTATTTGAAATGATGTTATTAAAATTTGATGTATCAGGTTTACTTGCTGCTGATCCTTTTCTTGGACCATTCATTTTTGTATTATTCATTATATTTGTCGTTTTTATTTGTATGACTATGGTATGTATTAAAAGAAGAAGAAAAATGATAAAACTTCGTTTTTTTGTTTTAGTTTATTGCAATTATAGCTGATTCATTCCGAGTTGTTCGCGAAAATGTTGCATTACAAGGTAATGAATACGAAATTGTTGGCTTTATGATAAATCAATTCAAGAAAGTGACAGGTAAAGAAAAGAATATTTCAAAAAAATAATTTTATTTATTGATTTTTTTTCTCTTTAGGCTTGGGTACAACTCAAGAAGCGGATCGTTTACATTTGAATCCATATGATGGTAGTAAAGTTCATTATCATGACCCGATCACATCATTTCCTGATAAGATGGATGAATTAATAGTTGCATTAAATAAAGTAAAAAAAACATAGATTCTTTTGAATTAATTCGATTTTTATTTAAAATATTAATTAGATTTATATGGATACAAAACGTAATGATACATTTACACTTCGTCCAAACGAGAATAATAATCCATTGGAAACAGATAGAAATGATCCAGATTTCGTACCAAAAAAGAAGAATAAAAAAATGATTTGAACAATTTAATATTTTGATGTTGTCTGTATGTCTTTGCTTATATATTATTATTACTATTGTTGTTGTTGTAATCGTCATTTTTTGTGTCGTATATCAAAATTAACCATAGTATATTAATCTCGAGTGACAAATAAATTATATATTCTAAAGAAGATTTGGCTTTTTTTTGCGTGTGTATGTATTAATATTCAAACAATAAAACTCTTAATGTTGTACTATTTAATTGAACTTATGTTTGGTATATTTATTGTATTAATCTCTGATGTATGCCTTTCATTTGTAATTGTAATTATAGGCACCATTCAAACAGAACAAAAAAATGTCTTGAATTTCATAGAGTAGTACTTTGACACCATTACACTAATTTCTAACCTGTTTCGACATAATGTAGAGCGACTACTGTTACTTATTATAAACCATCATAAAAATATCAACATACTATTGGAAAAGGTCAGTTATAGGCTAAACAATCAAAGAGTTCGTGAAATACCTGATTTTCACATTGGCGCAGGTTAACCGTCATTACTACTACATCCGACCATACAGAATAAAAGCTGTACAATAAAATCGTGAGAGAGGTAATGAGTTTATCAATGTAATCCAAATGCAGAACTTTTAAAATCTACTAGTATTAATCATACATCTGTTATTGAATTGATTGTCAAACTAAGAGTCGATAATTATATAGAAAACTTTTGTCTCCAGTTACAAGTAATATTTATAATTATTGCACTTTTTTTTCTTAAAAAAAATGGAATGCTTTCAATTAAATAATGGACATTTTTTTAGAAAATTAAAAAACAATTCTCTCTCTCTCTAAACAACATTGGCATATTTCTTTTACTAATGTCGATCTAAAAACACTTCTCAATTGTATAATAATATTAGTATTGGTATAGTGAAAAAATGATTGATCGAAGATCGTTTATAATACAACTATTTGTTTCATACAATAAATGTATATCAGCTCGTGTAGACAGCTCATAGAATTGAATATTGTTACGCAGAAAAATTCTTTGATAAATAAGTGAAACACACATTAAATGAGAAAGGCATTATTTTCTCATTTTTTAAAGAGTTTTATAATAAAATAAATATGATATATTTCTTCTCACGGAAGTAAGTGAAACACCTAGTTTTTGACAGTTAAGTATCTAAAAAAACAGGATCTATAATGACAGTATCCTTGAATTGCAACAGTTTATTAAAGAACAAGTCAGTATATTCTATGTGTCTTTCTATATCCCGTTTTTTATAATTGACTTCGTTCTATTAGAAAAATAGAATATATCAAAAATATGCAGCATGAAAAGGCCTACAACTTACAAACAAAAAATGATAAAAAGAAGAAATAACAAAAAAATGAATTCATCTTTTACTAAAATAATAGATTATTTGCGTATAACCGAAATTTAATCAATCAAAATTTTTATCCATTTTGAAAACAGAAAGTATAACCAGAAAATAGACGGTCTAACATAAATTGTAGAGCTTTTCACGTTACATCTGTTGATGACAAACAAGTGTTTCATTTAAATGGATAATAGAAGAAAAATATCAGAAATACAAAGAGTTTAATTTATTCTAGGACACCCGTTATATTATAATTTACTAGATGGATGTGAGTGTTTATCATTTCATAATCCACCCTCAAGTATGAAGTGTATCGTAAAAAACCTTATAGATTTTCAAAGGAATAGAATATATTATAAATAGAAGAAGAAATCTTGTTGTTCATAAAATCTATTATTGAATAGAAAGAATCTTTTTTTCTGTATGAAAAGTCAGAAATTGATTTCATTTTGAAAAATAACTTTTAAATTGCATATTACTTTTAACTTGCAATTCTGATTAAATTATTGTTTAATGCAAAAGAGTTTGAAGGTATTAACTATGAAGTCATGACTCGATTTTGTAAATAATCAATAATGAGAAGACATGTCGTCATATTCACTTTTTTTAGTATGTAATTTAGTTCAATATTTCAACAAAAAATATATATGTTATTCATCTATATATGTAGCTTTATATATAAAAATATAAAATACGAACGACTTTGACAACTCTTAAGTCTATGGCTAGGAACAGAAGATAAAGTTTATTAATTATAATAATTATATTAGTAATTACTTTTGGATTTTATTGTTTATTTTAAATCAAATAAAAGTTGAAATAATGTATTAGATGAGTTTATCTTAATCATTCAGATCACAGAAGAAAATAATTACTTATATGGACTCTACTAATTGTATAAACTTTATCAGAATCTGAATAATCATTGAAACTACAATTCAGTCAGCTAATTCAATTGGCATCTAATAACTTCAGATGAACAAGACTAATCTCATCTTGATTTCGATTTATTCTTGAGGGTGTTGATAGGTCTTGACATTATATTTTTAATTTTACTCATATGTTCAAAAGTTGAGCGTCTCACATTCATTTCATTGCACAAATCACTAGGTGAATATTTACTTGTGCCACTATAGCAATTCTTTACGGGTGTGTTTCCCATAATAAAAGAAATTACATCATGCGTTCACGACATATCCATATATATATATACCACAGATTTCTTATTTTTTCTTCATCATACGAGACCTTGTTTAATACTATTACAATTCAATTCCAGATTCGTTATTTTTCTTCGCCTTTTATTATAGGCAATACTCTCGTAAGGAATTAGAAATGTAAATATGTCTGAGAAGACGATTTATACACATACATATCTATGTGTATTACCTTATCAGGCGACTTCATCCATTACGTTTTTATTATTTCCATAGTTGTTCTCTGTGCGCGTGCGCGAGTCACTACAAAATAGAATTGATTCAAAATTAAGTGAACAAAAGATTCTTTTATTTATTTATCAACTGTTCTTTATAATTTCTTTTTTACAATTTCAATACTCTCTTTCACCATTTTTATATGAGGATGAGTTGGAGGTAATGCACGTTGCCATATGCCCAGAGCACGTTCATAATATGATAGTGCTTTCGAATAGTCTTTCATATTGTAATACACCAAACCGATGTTGTTGTAGGAAGCAGCCAATTCAGGATGATTTGAAGGAAGAGTTTTTTGACAAATCTCAAGGTCTTTTTCGTAAAATGAAAGTGCTTTCGAGTACTCTTCCATGGTGTCATACACCAAACCGATGTTGTTGTATGAAGTAGCCAATGAAGGATGATTTGAAGGAAGAGTTTTTTGAAAGATTTCAAGTGCTTTTTCGAGAGATGAAAGTGCTTTCGAGTATTCTCTCATTCTTTTATACACCAAACCGATGTTGTTGTATGAACAAGCCAAATCAGGATGATTTGAAGGAAGAGTTTTTTGACGAATTTCAAGTGCTTTTTCGTGAGATGAAAGTGCTTTCGAGTACTCTCTTATCTTATAATACACACTGCCGATGTTGTTGTATGAAATAGCCAATAAAGGATGATTTGAAGACAGAGTTTTTTGGTGAATTTCAAGCCGTTGTTCGTAATACCAAATAGCCTTTTTATAATCACCCTGCCCATCTTTGATATAGCCCAGCTGATTATAATAAAGCGCTTTTTCACTCTCATCAGATGTCTGCTCAAGTAATACATTATAAAGTTCTTCAGCTTTATTAAATTGACCAATTTTAAGTAATACTGTGCCCAATCTTTCCCATCCAGTACCATCAACTTCTTCTCGTATCCGATCAGTAAGCAATCGTAGTTGTTGATCATCATCCGATGTTAATTGTAACTCAACTTGATAAAATTGATTCTTATTGTCCATTTGTTTAATTGTATTCACTCGAAAGACAGTGTGCATCGAGAAGAGAATTTCTTCTTCTCCTTTAAAATAACTCACCTCTTGAATGGAGGCAAATGGTGTTGATTTGATACAAGGATCAATGGACATTGTAAAGAGAATGCCCACCTTATCTGGCTCTGCTGAAGCACGTCGAGCAAAATGGACAGACACTTCTTTATCTGTACTGGTGGACAAGAAGTTATTAAATGACATGAGTCCGCCTTTTGTTTTTCGAAGTTTTTCAAAGTCTGATTTCATAAGACCTTGTCCTCGATAAACTAAAAAAGGTTTTTGCCCATAACTACTGACCTGTTGTTCATGCAGTTGTTGAATTTGTTGATGCACATCACGAAGAAAGAAGCCCATGTTAATGATGATATCGGCATCCAATGTTCGAAGTGCTTGATTGAGCATTTTGTAGGTAAAACACTCACGTGTATACCACCATATTGCTTTTTGTGGATGATAGTCACGTTGGAATTCTTTAATTACTTGTAGTTCAGTTGGATTATCCGTAAAAACTTCACGGCAAAAAGCTGCTAAGTCCTTGATTGCCTTGTGATCATATTCAGTATCAAGGAGAATCTCCTTGAATAGTTGGGTATACATGAAAGTTGGCTCCAACTGATTTAAATTATCAGCTGAAGCTATTTCGTTCATCGTAAGAAAACTGATGGCAATTGTGTCTTGGTCGCATTTTTTAACCGCCAATTGTAATGCTTGGCATATTTCTTTGATATTTGTATGGACACCTTTGATTTTTGTCCAGTTTTGTGTCCATTCTTCATGTCTGGATTTGTTACCGCAGAAGATGTAAATGGCATCTAGCTGTGGTATGCCATGAATTTCAGGGACCAAATGTTGACCTAATGAGCCTGATGTTATCACGAAGACTTGTTCCTTGTCAACCTTGTTGAGTGCTTGGATGCATTGATCCGATTCTGTGCATAAGTTGATATCGTTGACCACGTTCTTCAATTGAGCCAGCGTATTCTGGCAGTCCTTGTCTGCTTGGTCGATGCTGGCATCTACCCAGATGAGAAGATAATTTTGCGCTTTACGTTGCCGTGGTTGACGAACATAAGATGCTGTTGCTCCATGAGACGATTTTACGTTCGATTTTGAAGGTTTCGGGTTCATGATACGTATATATAGATAATTGTATGTAGTTGAAGAGCTGATAAATTAATACTTAAGAAAATAAACGAACATCGTTATTTATATGAGAATCAGATCTCTTTATCTCAATGTATTTATGGCGTGGTTGATTATCTTCTATTGATTTATTTTGAGTAATCACAACAGAACTTTGTCCTTTGCATCATTTTATGTACATTATACAGCCAGGTAAGTACAAAGAACAGAAAAAAGAATTCATTTTTTCCAACTTTCTTCGCAGATAAGAGTTAATAGCATCACTAACAAAAAATACATATTTACTTTGTAAGTGATACACATTAAAAACTTGCAACAGCATTCTTAATATGAATATCCAAAATTTAAGGGGATGGGTGTGAGTGCGGATCCATCTTTTCTTTACCTACACCCTTATGCTCTAGTCCTTACAGTAACTCAAGTAACATTGAAGCTACATTATACATTTTCTGTTTCTTCCTAATACATTCCGTATATTCTGAAATTTTATATGTAGTTTGACACTATCTACTATAAAACTCTGCTAACTCTAATTTTTTAGAATTTCAATTACTCGAAAACTCCATGTATACTGATACCAAATCATTTCGTATATATCTATTGCATGATTCTAGAATTCTGAAAATCCTAAAATCCCATTTATATTAACATAAAATCATTTCATATTTAGTTTATACTAAAGTTTTAGAATTCAGCGCAGTGCGCACCTAGTTATATGAAATTATTGTTAAGAAGGTATAGACAATATCTATATCATATGTATATAGATGAGGCTAACGGGTATGGATGTGGATGCCGGTGCGGGTATTATTTTCATTTCACATCTACGCCCACAGCGACACCCGCACCCCATCCTAATTATATGAGATAATGATTTACCATTAACAATCGATTCGATGAAAATAAATCAGAAATATCTATCGTGATGATATTCAAAGATCCTTTTCAATTTTATAATTATTTCTGATCCATAAGATTTCATTCATTTCAGAACATAGATTTTGCGGATTCTTAAATTTTACCATTATTTACAGTGATCATTCTCTATCAGAGACCTTTGAAAAAAGAATAGCTTTTTCACAAGCTATTTTTCTTTAATTACTAGAATATCATCATCTGCCGACTGAGTTTTTAGAGTTGTCTAACAACATACACTGCAATATTTCCCCGAAAGAATAGAAGCAAAATATACATCCAAGTATCATAAATCTTATCTACAATAACAAACATCGTGTTTCTCCGCGAAAAAGCAAAGATGTTAAAATAACGTCGTTTATTGTTAGTCATTAGGGGTGTTACTTTATCCTTACTTTATAAAATAAAGATAAAGTGAATCTTTATCTTTATTTTATAAAGAATAAAGATAATCTTTATTTTAAAAATAAAGATAAAGTTAATCTTTACTTTATAAAATAAAGATAAAGAAAAAGTTACTTTATTTTAAAAAATAAAGTTAAAATAAAGAATAAAGAAATTTTTTCCATAAATCTCTTATGCCCCACGTTCATTTGCTAGCATTATTCCTTATTAGAATGCGGCTGGTGGTCAGAAAAAACTGCGATCAATATTATCTCTTTATATATCAATAATTTGTCTAATTACTAATCATTTGAAAATATTTTCTTTATTCTTTATTTTAACTTTATTTTTTAAAATAAAGATCTACTTTATCGTTATTTTATAAAGAATAAAGTTAATCTTTATTTTAAAAATAAAGTAAAGAAATAAAGTAAATCTTTATTCTTTATAAAATAAAGATAAAGATTTTTGTTACTTTATTCTTTATTATAAAGTAAAATAAAAATAAAGTAACACCCCTATGAGTCATATATAGACTTTTTCTTTTTCATTTTTTTATTTGATATTGATAAAAGTACATTTGTTTTAAATTTCCAACATGATGATATAGAACTAATTATTACACGATTTATCAACTGAAATAACTTTTCAATATTAACTTGCATAAATTATTCAGATCATACACACATACACTATCAATGACAATCTTAATCTTGATATCAACAATTGTAAACGAGAGAAAACTTATTGGATGAGCATCGACACTTTGTTTTGAGCAGCCCAGTGTCTATCTACTATTATAACCAAATGACTTCAATCAACTGCAAACATTCAAAATAGCAGCTTGTAGATGAATGAATTTCGAGTCATAACGCAACATTATCTAATTAGTATGAGATATGAGATATCAAAAATAAAAATCAATCATTTTAGGACCATTTTTTCTAAGTAAAGTCGAAATTAAAGAAAACTAAACAAGATACAGTGTAATTTATATCTCTACCACATCATATTGAATTATTCAAAAGTTTAAAAATTTATGATAAAGCACATTAAGTTTTGAATATTTTACTTGAATATATTTATAAATGTGCGTTGAAAGTGAATTTATGTAAAATAAAACTATATTATTGTTTATTTGTATTGCTTTTTCTAAAGATTATTACTATTTATATACTGCAACGAAGATAAACAAAAATGAATAATAGACTTAACAATACAATTTGACTAATATTAAGTAACTTAGTTATAATTAGTAATTGAAATCAACAATTTAATATTGATAACAGTTATTTATTGTCTCTAATGAAGAATTTAATCCTGAATTAGCAAGAGGTTCTAACAAATGTTTTACAACTGATGACAGATAATGAATCAGATGAATAACTAAAAAATAAATCACCAGTGTTCTTTCAAGCATCGTTTAATTAACTAAAGCGCTAGGAAATTAATAGACACATATGACAATAGTGATTTAACTTTACCATCAAAATATCTATCGAGAATAACATCTTCGCCGTATGTACAATGAACGTATGGAATTATCGTAAAGATTTTCAAACACTTGAAAAAGCTCGCTATTCTGATGTTCCACTCATAACTCTCTTTGACTACATCTAGAATAATTGAAAACTGACTCTCATAAATACATTGGTAACTCTAATATTATTTGTATATAGAGAAATGAACTGTTACTTAATTAATATTATTATTTCATACACAAAAAAAAGACATTTAACAAGTCCGGAAACACTAAATAACATCTATATAGAAGTAAAGTTTAATGATTAATCTACTGTTTATAAATGTCACTTCTAATGATCTCGATCTTCTGGTGGTCTATAAGATAAATTAAGATATCGAAAAACTGATTCTTCTGTCGGTGTATTCAATGCTTGGCCAGTATTAATTTTTTCAACACCCTAAATAAACTCAAATGAATACATTTGATAAATATGTATTTGACTTACTTTTCGTACAACACCATGATAAAGTCCATGTTGAGAAAGTGACATATTTAAACGACGAGCTAAACGACGCATCGATCGATTAAACATATCTGAACCAGTAAAATAAAGTAATGAACAAGCCCATTCATTTGCTGGTACAAATATAAGATCAATACGACGATGCTAATTAAATAAAATATTCATTTTAATTAAATAAAAACTTTTCTTATATTTACAAGTGATCCTGGTTCTGATAAACGGCATACGCCAAAATAAGTTAATTGTTCGGAAACATGACTCGTTGATGATGTTTCAGAATGATTAATTAAATCATGAATGAGAAAACCTTTGTAAGCAAAAAATATTTTCTATATATACAAAATATAAATTTAATTTTTACCAATTTCTCGTAATTTCTCGATCAATGGTGCAAGTATAGATTCATGTATATGTCGTTTACCATCTTTAAATGTCATTAACATATCAATATCACCACATGATGGTTTTAATCGACGATAACTTCCACATGTTTCAATCATTAGACCAGGTGCAACTTCGTCAGCTGTTTGTTTAACCTAAAGCAAAAATTTCTATTTGTTTTTCTAAAAAAAAAGTTTTATTTACAATTGTTTCAATACGAGTAACTTCTTCTCGTGGAATACGTGTATTAAAATCTTGATAATATTTTAAGCCAATTTGTTGTGTACGAGTAAGGCGAGCTCGTGTACGTAAATCTTCAAGTGTACGAAAACCTTGTGCAAACCATTGTTTTGTTGTTTCAGTACCAGCACCCCATACACCAGCAAATAAAGCCACTAAAGAAATTTCATAAACATCTAACTATTATTTTTTATTATTGACATACATGCAGAAACATCATCACGTGATTGAAATGCAGATAATTTAACAAGTCCATTTGTACGAATAATTTCCCATATTTTATCAGCTAATGATTGTTTTACATAGGGTAATGCTTTAATTTCCTAAGAAAATAGAATAAAATGAAATAAATTAATAGATGAAAATATATTTGATTTACTTCATAACTACGGATTGGATGTGTACAACGTTTAAGTGCTTCAATTGCTTTTTGATATGCAATACTACGACCTTTATCATTTGTTATTAAATATAATTTAGACATTTCCTTAAAAATTTAATTACAAGTAATAAAGAAAATTCTAAGCGGATTTAATTTTACACGTAATTTTTCAATTATTTTTTCATTTGGATTACCAACAGCAGAAGTTGATGATGAAGCTTCAGAACATAACCATATTCCAGTCTAGCAAAAAAACTTTTTAAATAAATGTATAAATAAAAAAAGATATTCTTCTCGTACTGTTCGTGGTAATTCACCTGGTTGAATCGGTTGAATATCAATATGATGCTATGAGAAAAAATTCAAAAAATTCATAAGAAATTGTCTAATTGATAGAATACTTTTTTTGAACGTGTTTCATCATCAGTGTCAGATGCTGATGAAGATACTGAACGTTCTCGTTTCAAAGGTAATTGTTCCGTTGATATTTCAGTCTTTTTTATGGGAATAACTGTTTCAATTAATGATGATTCAGAACGAGAAGGAGTAGCATGAAGTATATAGGATTCATGTGATAGAAGTTGATTTTGTTTAATTGAATCACTTAACCATTGTGTTCGAATAAATACTGGTGATGATGATGATAATACAGATGAACTTTTCAATGCTTTACTTGCTGAAATAAAATCAAGTTCATCATCGATTAAAATAAATGCATTTTGATTCGTATGATCAACAACAGTAAGACCAAATTTGATACAAGCTTTATTAAAAATTTCTAAACGACGTTTACCAACTCTTAGAAATGAAACTACTGTTGAAGATGACGTTACATCTGTCATTGATGTATACAAAAAAAACAATTTGAGCAAAAAAGAAACTATAATCAAATGTTATACATTTATTTGAATCATCATTGGTTACTGACCAATGTCCAGTGATGTCGCTCACATATTGTTTTAATATATATTTTCATCTATACTTTTTTCGGTAGAGAAATATCTGTTGCAATTGAAATTTTCAAGATATTCATTATCACATAATAGACAAATATTTTGCACTGTTATCGGAAAAAACTTCTTGTTTATCATAATCTCGTATAACACAGAATAAAGCATATATACATAACTAACATGAGCAAAATACAATAAGTGCAACAACATCAAATTTTCATTGAAAAATAAACAAAAGACCTGAAATATTTATATTTAAAAAAGAGTTATTTTAAATATACAAACAAAATATATAAATATATATATATATTCTCCCATACAAAAAATTGGAGATACACTTGAAAAATTTTCACTAGTTTTGTTGTTCACTCGGCTTGAATAAAACTCAAGGTAATATAATATATTATGCATGTTTAAGTAAAGTATCTTCATAAAATTTCAATCGAAATATTTGTGCAGAATATTTATTATACAAATCTTCACCAAGTTCATCAATCATTTCTTCCTAAAAACAAATAAATCGAATTTATTTCATTATCAATATAGATATATCAACTTACTGTCTGTTGTGCTCCACTAACATTTTCACATATTTTCAAAACACGTGCTAATTTGCTTGAACTAATTCCTCTAAGACAATCTCTAAAAAAGAAATCGATAGGTAATTTATTTGAATATTGTTTCCATTACAAATTTACTTTTGAATTTCATCATAAAGTTGATGTAATCGATTTGTTTCCTGTAATACATTAGGTATTGTTCGATCACCTGATGACCAGATTTTATTTGGATGAGATTCATTTGCAATTATTGTTTTATCACTATCATTACTACTATCTGTTAAATCATATGAATCATGATTATTAACTGATGGTAATTGTAATGTTGCAGTTAACATAAAAACAAAATCATTGATATCTTTTTCACTAGAATTTAATAAATAATGATATATAGATTTTGTTAAATTTCAATAAATTTTTACCTTTCTTTTTTCTTTTCAATTTCTACTATTAGATTATCTTGTAATATTGATGGTGGTAGTTCATTATGCGTTGTTGATGTTTGATTTGGTGATTCGTTTGATGTTGAATATTCTGTTGATGATGAATGTAATTTATTCTCTCGACGACGTTGTCGTGCACTAGAATTTGTTCCCTATAGAAATAAATATACATGATAATTGACAATAATCTTATTTATAATTAACCTGATTTAAATCATAGGATTTTGTTATTCGTGATTGAGGTGAAGATTGTGATGAGTTTATGTTCGATTCTACTGAACTTGGTCTAATATGATTTCGTGGTGGTTCACTTATCTAATTAAATAAATAAAAAGGAAAAAGAGAATATTTGTTTACAAGCTACAAAAATGTTTCCTACATTCTTTTATTGGAATGAATACATGTTATATAAATAGTTATATATACATAACTCAAACTCATTTAATATAAATTGAAAGTTTCGATTTTGATTATTAGATCGAGCTAATCCAATATAGACAATATTTACAATGATTTTTTTTCTTAATGCTTTCTTTTGCATTTGATTTAGTGTACAATATATAATCAGATATTTATTGGTATAGTATCAGTATGAAGGGGAAACAAACTGATTTCTTGTGATTTTTAGTATGGAAATCAATTTATTCCCCCTTGAGTAAAACGTTGAGTAAGTGATAAAGGTCTTAGAACTACTTCTTGGACAAATTTTTAGTTTAAAATCGCATGAATAAACTTTTTCACGATGCACTTTGTTTTAAACTAAGAAACTTAATAGAGTTGCCATGGTTCGTGGAAAGAAAATATCACGTATGCATATGTACTTACAATAATTGGGTGAGAAACATGATTATTAGGTCGAATAGGTGATGTGTCGTGTTCATCTGATGATGACGGTTGTTGTTGCTGTTGTTTTATATGATTACTCAATTGTTGATCACGTTTTCGTCGTTGTAATGTATCATTTTGACTAAGTTTTGATAAAAAATTCAAATGTTTTTCTTCTTCACTTGATGGTAATGGATTACTTCGACGTGATAATTGACGACGAACTCTCGAATTACTTATTGGATCACTTGATTGTAGTGGTTCAACAAGTGGTACAGATCGATTAATATTAGCTGATCCTGGTGATCGAGAATATGAAGGTGGTAGTAATGGATGAGACGGAAGAGATGACGGATTATTATAATTATTATTTGGGAAACGAGCTTTTGATGGTGAATTTTGAGAAGCACTGGGCGGCCGAGATGGCGAAGATAAATGTGGACTTGCTACAGAGTGAGAATTTGAATTAATATGATTCTGACATCTAAATTAATATACATCTAATATAAGTAAATTCTTAATTTAATTTTTTACTTATTCTTTGTTTTATCTAATAATCTTAAAATATGTTGTTTAATATAAGCATTTTGTAAAAGACTTTTTGCTGTTGGACGCTGGTCAGGATCTTTTTTTAATAATGATGTTATAATATCTCGTAATGGTTGACTATAGTGTTTCGATAATTTTGGTGTCTAAAATAAATAGAGAAAAACAAACATCTTTTATGATAGGAAAAGAAAAATTCGAATTTCAATCAAACCTCTTCACGAATTATTTTTACAACAAGTGAATTCATATCTTTAGCATTGAAGGCATGTTCGAGTGTTACCATTTCATATACACAACATCCAAGTGACCAAATATCCGTCTAAAAATATTCTATATTAATAAAAAAAATCATTGATTTAAAAATTCATTTCAAACCTTTGGTCCATAAGGTTTTTGTGAAAATATTTCTGGACTCATATAATATGGTGTACCAATAATTGTTGTTGCAAAATCATTTCCTGAATCTAATACTCTTGCAATACCTAAATCACCAACTTTGACAATTTCATTTTTTGTTAGAAAAACATTTTGAGTTTTTAAATCACGATGAAGAATATTTTTCTCATGCATATACTAAAACGAAAGAACAGAAAAAAACGAAAAGAAATATTTATTTATTCCAGCAAATAGATTTTTATACTTGTAAAGCCATACATATTTGTATAAACCATTCAACAATTTGATCTTCTGATAATGTTTGTTTTTGTGATTTCTTTTCTTTTAATCGCGTATATAAATCACCACCTTCACAATATGCCATAACTATATTAAGAAAATTATCTTTTGAACGAAATGATTCTTTATAAGCAACAATATTTGGATGTTTTAATGTTGATAATAATTTCGCTTCACGTTCAGCACTTTCAATATCATTCTGTGATGTATTATTTGTTGATTGACGAAGATCTAATCGTTTAAGAACATATTGTTTTGTTTGAGATGATGTTGTTGGTGAAGAAGTTTTTGGTAAGACAAGCCAAACTTCACCATAACTACCTGCACCTATTTTTTTAAGAAATTCATATTTATCATCGACATTTATTTCATTGAGATGTAATGCTGGTTCAGATCGATTTCTTAACATAGTCTTTTTTATTAAATTTAATTAAAAAAAATAATAGAAAGGGTGTTTTTAAAGAATTTTATCATGAGTAATACGTAGGCGATAGAATCCATTGATCCCATAGAATTTTTGTTGTCATAACTACTGACTCACAGTGAATCATAACATCGATCGTAACTAAATCAAGGAAGAAGCGAGAGAAAAAAAGCATCTTCTATCGATACATTTAGGTGAATAGTATATAAAGTCATAGTTAAATTGTATTTATTTTGATAGAATGTTCGAATATAGGAAAAAACATAGATGTCGGAGGTTACTTACAGTTTTATAGTAGAATGTCTAGAAGAATCTGAAATGATCATGAATAAATAGTATGAAATATTGAGGTATATTTTATAAATACAAAAGTATTCTTGATGCTTTCACTACGACATAGAAGAGACTTTGACGCACATATTTATATAAGATTAAAAACTCTACTGAGGTTATTGAGTCAGTTTTTGGCTCCTGTCCGTACACCTCCGAGGAAGTGACTTGAAATATTTTTTTAAAGTGTCGATAATACTCAATGCTCATATGAAATATGAAATTTTAAAGAAACTTCGTTTATAGCTTGTTTTCTCGATAAAGTGACTTATGGGTCACCCTGTATGTGTATATATATATTACTAGTATGATGCTTTATTAACAAAAGTGAAGCCTAAGAATGAAACATTGTGTAATTCTGTTTTCAAATATTAAATTCCATTCAATACAGATATAGATTGAGTAGAAATATACAAGAATTGTACGTATATATTTAGATAATGCATAGCAAGCGTCGGTGGTGTAACGGTTAGCATGGTTGCCTTCCAAGCAGCCGACCCGGGTTCGACTCCCGGCCGACGCACGTTTCTCTTTTTGTCTTTTTTTTGTATTCATATTTTATTAATTCATATTTTTATACAAAAAAAAATAGTAAAGTCTATCGTGCTTGAAGTTGTTCATTATTCCAATTACCGGCACTATTTTGATATTGAGCAGTACGTTGAAGTGATTGCCATTGTTGTTTTGATTGTTGTAATGCCATCTGAAAGAACAAAAAACAAAAAATACATTCAGATAAAAAAAAATAGTTTCTTACAGCCGCAATTTCAACTTTTCTTTCCCAAACTTCACAATCACGTTGAAGATTATAGAGTAAAGCTTTCTTTTTAACATAATCTAATACTTCTGGTACTCGATAATTTTCTGTTTGTTCAGCAAGATGACAATGTATTCCAGTCACACGTGTATGTTCTGCATGTGCACCAACCATATCATGTTCAGCATGATCATATAAATTAATTTGTTTTTCAATACGTTGTAAAGTATCAGCTAATTCTTTATTTTGTCTATGTAAATCATCTTTATAACGATTAAGTAATTGTGTTGCTCGACCAACTTGTCTTTTTAATAAAATAAGTTCAATATTTTTATCATCAATTTTATCTAAAAATTGTTTATTTTCAATTTTTAATTGATTAAAATCAACTTCATGTAATGTTTCTCCTGTTTCTTCTTTTTGTTTCAATTGAATTTCTAAACGTATAATTTGTCGTTTTAAACCTGATGAACGATCACGTAATTTATTTGTTAATGATTCACGTGCTTTTATACGTTCATTAAAATAACGTTCAATTTTTTCACCAACTAATTGTTTTGTACGTACATCCGTTGAAGTTTCTCTGGTTTTTTTAAAATCTGCTACAGCTGAATCAAAATCATTGATTTCAGTATCAACCCATTCAAGATCAGACTAAAACCAAAAAAAAAAAACTTTTTTTTATTGATTTTTGTAAGAACTAACTTCGAGTTGATCAGTTTTTTTTTCATTAGTTGTTTCTCGACGATTTTTTTCGTTTTTCATTTGTTCAAGTTCCGAATTGACAATATCAATTTTTTGTTCAAGTGTTAATTGTATACGAAAATCACCTTGAGTGCTTCGTGATTTTGATCTTTTGCGATTTAAACGTTCACTTCGACTTGTACCACCAGCAACACTCAAATCTTGAGATGAACCAGCTGGTGTTGTTGCTTGAGAAGTACCAACATTTGTACTAACAGTTATTGGTTCAGCTTTTTTTCTTTCCAAATTCATTTCGAAAACAGTATTTTCAAATGTTAATTGAAGTATCTCACGGCTAAATGGTATATCATATAATTTATTTTTTCATAAATAAATATTTTAGAATTTATTTTCTCAATGAGCAATAGAGCAGAGGAGCTGAATGAGCACTTACAATAAGTTTTAAATGTCTTCTATTTTATCATAATAAATTTATATAGAAATGATAGTAAATTAAATATATATATATATATATATATAGTTACTTACTCGATCTTTTCAAGTCGTTGTTGAAGTTCAAGATCATCAGCATCGTCAGTTGTGCCAGCACCATGTTGTTCAGATGATGACCCACTAAAACTTGATCTTGCTTCAGCCATTTTTAGTTATTTTTGAAAAGTCTGTTTGAAAAAAATAAAAGAATATTCAATCAGTCATTCACACAAATGTGTTACTATCGGTAATAGCCTCTTCAAAAAAATTATTCATTGTATAAACCAGAAAGATGTCGTCAATGGGCATATATGAAAGAGAAAAAAAACTCAAAAACAATATTCTGATTACTAACTTACTACATGAATAAAATTATTATCCATAACAATGAATACTTTATAGAACGAATCTTGGATTATGTACCTCTTCGCCAAAAAAGTCGACAAATTCTTTTTATCGACTAACATTTTTTGTGAATCACTTTTTTAAATACTCATTCCACATAGTGATATATACTGAGAGAACAGTAGCAATCATCCGACAAATGTAGTTATTAGTTTGGTCATCGGAATGTGGACGCTATCAAACAATTACGATCAACAGGCACTTCGCCGATAATGTTATATTCGAAATGGTAGATCACCGAAAGTTTCATAGAGGGGTGAGCACACCGTCGATAGTCGTTTACATTTCAATAATTTGGCTTTCGCCTAAATCGAAAGACTTGATAACCGTTAAAATTCGAGATAACGAGTATTTTCGAAAAATCTATTATTGAGTTAGTTTTGATTTCTCTGTATAATATACATCTTTCTATGTATTCATTATCTCAACAAAAAATACGTTCATTTTCACTAAAACTATAAATATTTCATTCGTACTCAAAAAAACAGATTTGACCTTTATTGATATGAAGTAGCACGAGTCATTTATCTACTGAAAAGTATATATTTTCACAACCAATTATATTCCGTTCATATGTTATTGTTCATAAAAGAATCTGAATATGGACATTTGTTATTTCTACAAATAGCTCAAAGAAGTTTCTTTTTTTTCAAAGAATAAGATCAAACGAAATCATTTAATAGACTTCATATATTCAAAATAACAGCTTTAAGCAATTTTCTTTTAGCGTTTATTGTATTGTATTTATATATACAATTACCATTTTTATACCAGTAAAAACTCTTCTCACTTAGTTACTTGACTTTATAATTTTATAAGAAGAAAAAAAAACCAAAATTTTTCTCAAAATAATTATATATTCAGATTATCTCATTTTCAAGTATGTACTGTATAATAAAAGATCGAATGACGCCCTTTATTTCTCTTGTGAATTGTCATCTTTATAAATTTGTTTGTCCATCTAACTTCCGTCTATTCATACGTCGGTCATCATCATTGTGTTCATTTGCATTTGAGTGTGATTTTGTTTATCTTAAAAACAGCTGAATGATTATCTTTTGCTGTTGTTTTCTTAACAACTTATACATGGCTATGACGCCAATCTTAACTTAGACAAAAAGCACTTGAAAAAATAATAATAGGGAAACATTTTCTTGTTTTTTTTATTCCATATAGTGATAGTGTTCTCTTCTATTCATTCTATAATCATATGATGATTGAATGATAACACTTAATGAAAGAACATTATATATTAATGTATGCTTAAGTTATTAGAATGACACTACGTATTTTATAAAGATGAAAGCAACTCATATTTCAACACATCGTCTTATGAAATGATATAGAAATGGATTAGTCGTTATGGATAATGATGATTAAAGAAGAATAAAACAAAAAAAAGTAGCTGTGAATTATTAGAGAAGAAAACTAAATAAAACATGTCAATTGATTGTCGATATTTATAAATAATGAACATGATTTGTAATTTACAGGTAGTTGTGATTTTGCTATTCTATATTATGAATAAATATTGCACATAGTCTATTGTAACATCCGTTTTCTCAACAATTTATCTATGTAGAGAGAAGAGAAAAAACGAAATTAAAAGATTTCTTTCTATATAAGTCAATATTATTTAGATATGCATCTGTTCATTTTATTAACTGCAGATGAATGAATGAATGAATGACGTTTAAAATAAAATAATCTTCGTCTTCCTTTTGTTAATCGTTGTGAACTGTCAATAATTGTCGGTCACTCATTTTTTGTGTTTGATGACGCTGATAAGTACGCATTTGAGTATGTCATGTGCACGAGAAAAAAATAAATTGAAAATTCATTTTTAAGTGGTTGTTCATCAACATATATATATATATATATATTAGACAATCGTTGTGCTATGGAGAATTATGTCTATTTCTAATACTTGATTGGCATTTTTTATGATAGTAGTCAGATCTTGTCTGTCACTTTCTCTTTTTCTCTCTTGCTCGCTCTCGCTCTCTCCTTTTTCTGATTGATTATTGCTACTGTATAACTCTATTTCTTTCGTTTTCTCTCGCTGTCCATAACGGCGTAGTCTCGTCATCATGCGTCCACTTGTTCTTCTCCTCTTACAGTGTTATACATATACATAAACTCACTTGTCGGTCATTATCATTAACACAATATAGTTTAATACAGGTATATACTGAATAAACCGATTTCACACGTCGGAGCTGATCTGACAAGTGAACAACTACTCAAATGAACAATAAAGTAAAGAAGAAAAAGAAATCCGTTGACGTTTAGTAAGTTTATTTCCTTTTACTACGGTGAAATGAATTTAAACAACTGATAATAAGAATTTTGCCCTTATCAACCGTCGTTTTTTTGTTGACTACATATGCAATAGATAATTTTTCTCTCATATTTCATGTACTGTTTATATGTAATTTTGACATTTAAAATAGGTTTGCTGGTAAATTGAAAAAAAAAGCAAAACGACGACGTATGTATTTTTATGTTCAATTCGAAATAAACTATTACATCAGACGTTTCTCTTTTTTTTCTATTAATACTTAATCAACAGACATCCAAATAAATATATGAATGCTCTTTTGCATTTGCCTTTCTCATGTACTCATGTAACTGAACCATGAATACTGTACAAACGAATAATGAATCTAGTCATTCAAGGTTTTAGATTTGATGAATACATACATTTACTATTTGATTTAACAAAAGCTTTCTAAAAACAAGTAAATTAATGATAAAGTACAACAGATCTTTTAATCTGATGATGGTACAGAAAAGACAATTATCTTTGTTGATATAGAATAGCAAGATATTATAAGCAGACATAAGATTATAATCTTTCCACTCATTACATATTCACTGTCATGTAAGATAGCTGATAATAGATTATATAGATATTTATCTCGAGAGATAGTAAGCATCGGTATTGATTAACTTCTTTTATCAGAAATCTCTTCTTCGTTTTTTTTCATGTTAATTACAAATGTAGTTATTTGAATACATTGTTTTTATTTCATTTTAGATTCTAATTCATTTCCAAAACAAAATGAAGCCAATTTTATTTATATTATTATTTATCTTATTCAAAAATATCGCTGCTCGAGGTATGTAGATTAAGATATATATGTATGTTTTTTCTATGGATGCATTATTTGACATGTGGAGTAAAAATAATCTCATTTGAAATTTGAATCATTATGTCAATAAGACTAATAAATGGATTGAATTTCTATGTTAAATTGAGTATCTTTGACATTACTAAATGTATATGGTTTCTCTCAAATAAGACTGAACATTGTCAAAAAAATATCTTTATTGTGTATTTAGGACCACCTATTCTTTTACCAGAAACACCAAATCTTATAACAATCGATCTTAATGAAAATGAACCATTAGAATTACATTGTCCAGTTATGATTACACCTGATTTATCTGTTCAATGGTCAAAAAATAATGAAGATTTGGATCCAATGTGGTCAACAACAAATTTAGTCATAAGACGATTTTTATTAAAAATTCATCATATACATTTAAATGATGCTGGTTTATATAAATGTAATGTTGTTAATGGATTTGGTAATGTTCAAGCACAATTTCGAGTTGATGTTAAATGTAAGTATTTGTTCACAGTTTTTTTTCCTTCAATTAAACAAATAATTATTTTAGCAAATGGAACATTAGCGACTAATATTCTAAGTAATGAACAACAAAATATTCTACCTTGGGATATGGAATCAATGAATGGAGGTTAATTCTTTTTAAATACGAAATAAATTTTTGATAACATATTTTCTATTTTTAGAAGCACCTGTATTTCTTTCACGAACTGATAAAATTCAAAGTGAACCAACGAAAGTTATTCAACCTGAAACTACGACAGCTCAATTAAAATGTTTAGCGTCTGGTAAACCATCACCAGAAATACGATGGAAGAAAAATGGTAAAATATTATCAGAAGATGAATATGGTTTAACACAGTAAGTCATTAGAAAAATTAATTTCTGATACCAATTTTTTATTAAATAGAAGTCAAATATTAAACATTAAAGATTTACGTCAATCCGATACAGGAAATTATACATGTGAAGTATTCAATTCATTTGGTAGTATCAATGCAACATATATTCTTATTGTTACTGGTATATAGAAAAAAAATTTCTTTTCTTATTTAATATTTATTCTTTATTAGAAAAATTACATTTTTTTGGTAATGATCCTGAAAATACAAGTATTGAAATTGGTCAAACAGCAATACTTAATTGTCGTGTACAAACAAATGATCCAACAACAAAAATTCAATGGTTAAAAAAACTTACTATTCAACAATTATTTCGTCCTGATGCTATTGTATTTGGTTCTGAACAATATGAAAATATTGAACAATCACAAGAACAACAATATTCAAATAATATTCTTTCAAAACCACTAATTATTCTAAATGTTAATATACGAGAAAGTGGAGAATATATTTGCGTTATTCAAAATGATAAGGCTACAAATTATAAAAAAGCTTTTGTTAATATTATTGATATACGTAAAGGTAAATATCTACAATGATCTGTCCTATATTAAGAACAGTTGTATGTTAAGATGGTCTTGATAATTCTTTTTTATTTCAGGTATATTATCATCAACAAATAATAATAATATTTTACTTTATGTTATTATCATTCCTTTATTTGTTCTTGGTTGTATACTTTTCTTAATATTTTGTATTCGTCATTATCATCATCAAAAACATCAACGTCATTCACATTGTACAGATAGTTTAAAATCTTCAATAAAACCACGATTACCATTAATTCATCCTAATGCTATTATTGTTTCATCTCATACAAGTAATGATTATGTTGCAGATAGTATAGATTCAATACCGATTACTAGACAATATCAACAGCAACGATATATGCCATCTGCTTCATCTGATTTAGGATCTCTTACAAGTTCAAATTTGTATTATGCACGACTACAAGCACTGTAAATACGATATTCAATCATGTAATATGCAGTGACCAAAAGACAAATTTGTTTTCTTTTTCTGAAATTAATAATCTGTCAATCTCTTTTCTTTTTGTTTTGTTTAATAAGAATTCTTCTTAAAGTTTTTGTTTAATTGACTAATATTATGTATGTAAAAGAAAAACAAAATTCTTTAGATTTATTTTGATAATATTCTCTAATGATGAAAAAATTATACATCAAAAAGATTAACTTACGAGAATAGTTTAGATGAGTTCAATAGAATAATGTCATAGTTTGTTTGATTGCTTGTGTGTCCGCAGGGTCAAAAAAACATCGAAAACCGATTTTCTGAAAAAGACATTTCTAGAAGTAATTCGATACGGGGACTTCGGATCTGACGTTAGTTTTTTAAAATTCTTAAAAAAAGCATTTTTTTTTTTAGACAAAGAACCATTTTTTTCCAAAAAAATTCTTTTCTATATAAAATTTGACGAAACGGCTTTTGAGGCCGGGGAACACGAATCTAATGTTATTGTTTGCAAGTTATATAAGCAAAAGGTCCCGTAGCACTGTAGAACACCATTTCTACGAGAAAGAGCTAAGCGAGTCGTTCGACGAGCGTTACTTATTTTTTTATAGAATTCATTAACAAACGTAGTTGTCACTCATTTAGATTTCGAAATTATTAATTAGAAATTTTGAATTAAAACTTCTTACGGCAAAATACAGTATTGGTAGAGATGAACATATTTGTTACAAAATAAATGTTCTATCTGATGCTCAATGAAAAAGATAGAATAAATATTCCATTGATGCTTTATTTATTTATTCAACTGATACTATATATGTATATCTAAATAAAACGTATGTTGTAAATGATATATCAACAAAATTGACCTTGAAAAATCTACTGAGTTATTCAACTTTGAATTATTTATTTTTATAACATACAACAAAATATAACATATGTAAAACTGTAAATATAATTGACAAACAATAACAACAACTGTCTTATTTTTATATGGAAAAGTTATTTTATAAAGTATTTAAATGATTATTGATCATCAATCAATTGGCAGAAGCATGATAACCATTTTTCTTTGAAACATTCGATGATTTAGATTGTTCATTAGGACTGTTTTTGTTTTTTTTAAGTATTAATATTTGTTTTTTTTGTTTCTTAAATAAATTCCATTGATAAAATGTATATAAATTAACATGAATAATCATAGCTACAACGAATTTCGAGCTGGCATAAAGAAGATGATGAGTTAAATCAACACGTCGTCGTTCTTTTAGAATAAAACGAATAGGAAATATAAATACAAATACTGAAATATAAATAGATAACATTAAACATATTATAATAGATACTATAATACGACGTTGATAAGTAAAAGGAGAAGACCAAAAACATGTTTGACGCACTTTTTTTTGATACCAATGAGAGAAAACAATGGCTTTTACAACAACAAACACAATTGCTTGATGCCAAGCAAATATATTAGTAACAGTATCGATAATATTGAGTAATTTAAATACAAATTGTGTACATATAACATCATTATGTTCATAATTAATAGTTGTAGGGAGTTGATTGAAACAATAATCAGAAAGATTTCTTTCTATAGCTAAATTAGAAATACTTTTATTGATATTTTTAAGCCAGCAAACAACTTGATTTGGTCTAGTGTGATATGTTGTTAAATATGTTGCACATGTCTCTGGATAAACTTCACGTGTTAGAATTTTGTAAACAAACACAGTAAGAAGTAAATCAATTTGAAATGGAACAAGTAGTAAATAATTAGGATCGTATCTTTTTCGAGGCATTGAATTAGATGAACATGTACTATATACTTTGTCTATAGTAGTAGAGTCGTTTGATGTACCAACTGAAGATTCACGTGTCATGTAAATTTGTTCGTTATGTCCTTTTTTTCGTGCTTGAACATCTTGTGAGATACATATAATGATACGATCCAAAACACCTTTTGTAAAAAATTTAGCTAATCTACCAAGTAAATAATTGAGATAAGGATTTGTTTTTGATAGATGAAGAAGATATGCACTAAAAATTGTAAGTATAATAAGGAATAAATTAGGCATTAAAAATAATGTTAAAACAGTAGTTAAATTTAACGGTATACCATCATCATTGAATGCACTCATTTTCCTCAATGTCATCGAAAAAAATGAATAAATGATTATAACTTGTAAAATGTAAGAATCGAATGCTGTTGAATTTATGTTATACGGGGAAATTATTGAATAATAGATGATATGTAATTGAATTTAAAAGTATCTAATCCAACTAAAACAGAAAATGAAAAACAAGGATGCTGGATAATATCAAATAAGTAAGAGAGAAAGAGAAAACATGAAAAAGCTTTAGCAAAAAGAGTCTGTCTATATATTGTCAATGTCAGCTCAATATCATTATAATTGTATGTCTATGAAGATTTGCGAAAACATAGAGACTATTTTATTGTAAAATTAATTTTTTGATAGTAGACATCTGTTTGTTTGCACTTAAGTTACTATAGACAGAATGGTTTTCATCATTCAATTTACATGAACAAAAGATTGCAAAATAAATATTAAGGATTCTCGTCGCAATTTATCCTCTCTATAATATTTGCTATATGTTCGATGCTGAAATATGCAACAAAATTATACAAGATAATTAGAGTGAAATCAGAGATTTGTTGGTCAAATTTATGCGAGTAGGCATAAGAAGAAATTTTTTTATTCAATCCGTTCAATTTATAGAAGTGAAAGTTGTCACATACTAAATAAAATAATGTTAATACTTATCAGGCTTTTCTACAGTTATTAAAGGAAACATAAAGGTGGAAAGGATGTCGATGACGTACAATTGTGTTCTCATGTCTTTTCATTAATCTATCTGACTAACGAATTTGAATGAAAACGGAAAATGATAATAAATGAGACAATTTTTATGTTACAGAGTAGTGTCAACAAAAACAGTATGTCAGTACTGTAAAATTAGTCTTAAAAGAAATACATTCTATTATTTTCAGCCAAAATATACTAATAGAATTTAAGCCCTTGAGGACGGAGTCACTGTTACGAAAACAAAGAAAATTTTCCAAACCCTGAATGAATTTATTTATTTAACCTATTATAAAAAAATGTCTGGAAGTATTACAGAGTGTGATAATCTCGAAAACAATCGGAAATACAAAGTCCGACATAGTATCATAATAAAAGGTATGTGCAGATCAATTAGGAGTTGATTCAAAATTGGACGCATATATACGTCTTCCGTCCTCAAGGGATTAATGATTAAAACTGTATGTAGAAAACATGCATCGGAAATTTACATATAACTCATCTACAATCAAATGATAGAAAGTCTTTTTTAAGATATAAACAATTACTGTCTGACAAACAAGGTAACAACATTTTTTTCTTTTAAATAGTATTCTTAAGATAAACATTAAAACATTAATAAGTTGTATGCGTTTTGTTTGTTGATGAAAGATCTAATTTCTAGAGTGTTATGTATCATGACGATGATACCATCAAAAGTCAAAAAAACATAACTGCGCCATCTAATTAAAGTATATAGAAATAGTTTACAAATCAGATAAAACCCGAAAAAGAAAGAATAGAAATACTAAAGCAAAATTATAAGAATAAGAAAACGTTCAATGTAATTATTTGTAATATCATTGGTAGCACCGAGTAGAATTATCTCAATTATTAAATTCTCTCGGAATAGTGTCAAAACTGAAGTAATCCTTCCTCTAGCACATCAAACAAATGCGCAATATTGAGACTCTAGTTGTCTCGTCATATATTTGAGTAATATGATATTTATATACTAAGAGTTCTGAGTTGAAGTATTATTAATAATTTTATTTTTATACTTTAAGAACGAAGAATTGCGTGTTACTGATACTTGACATTGTATTACGTTGATTAGAATGAAATCTTGTGCCAATAAATAACCTTTTTTGAATTATTTTTATTTATTCATTTTCTTTTATAATATATTCTGTACGTGTTTAACTCTCTTACTATTAGATTGCAAAGATCTATTAATATCAAATTGAAATAGACAAATAATTTTATTTGCAAAGAAATCTTTTAAATATAAACTAATTGATTGATTTTTTTGTAATAATAAGAATAAAAATTATATTTATAATTTATAATGTTTCTATAGTTGTTGGATGTGAGACAGCATTATTAGAAAGTGAACTACGACGACGTTCGTTTCTAGAACACCTGAAAAAAACGAATGCTATAAAAATCTAATATTTTATTCAATTATTACTTACAATGTTAAACCCATCTGTTCAACTTCATCAACAGTTTGTGGTAATGGTTTATGTAATGTTTCAGGAAAGACTAACGCTAGTATACCTGCGATTAATGAAATAACTCCATATAATATAATTGGAAAATTAATCCATACGCGTGCCTATAACATGAATTTATAGATAGTATATTACGACTAATAAAAAATATTTACTAAATAATCATTAGAAAATGTTCCAAGAATAGCTCCCAATCGTCCAATCATTGAACAATAGCCTAAAGCAGTTGTTCGAACATTTGTAGGAAATAATTCAGTTGTATATAAATAAATAATAGCAAATGAAGCTGATGCTAAAAATTTCAATGAAATATTGATTATTAACATAACTGAACGTTGCACTAAAAACGTAAAAGAAATCACGAATAATATTTTGTTAAAAAAAAAATAACTATTTTTCAACAAACTTGATTTATTTTCTGATAGAAAAGCTTGAACAGGTAGTGTAAGTAAAGCTATTAATCCAAAAAGAATAGCAAATAAACAATAAGGAAGTTTACGTCCTAATCGATTGAGTATTAAATGTATAACTATATAGGCAAACAGTTCAACTACACCACTCAAAGCAAATGATAAGTATGGATCAAGTTCCCAAGCTCCTAAAATAAAATTATATAATAAAAACAGTGTGAATACACTTATTGACCCAATTAGACTACTCAGTCACTGGGCGTTCAGAATATGGGTGTGGATATACCTTAAATATATCGCAACCCATTTCAGTGACTGATCAGTCTAACTAAGTCATTAAATGACGAATGCTCGATAAGTGTATTTGTCTCAATAGAAAAAGATGTTTTCACCTGTATTTTGTGAAACACCATAGAAGACAAGATTTTGTGCAAGCCTATAGATGATAATAATATTCATTAATATATAAAATAAAAGCACTAAATACCATTGAAAGAAAAGATTAAGAGTAATAATTCGAATAACTTTCGTTCGAAATAAGCTTATTACACCAATTGATACAGTTTTATGCGTCATACTCTACAGAAATATATAAATATACAAATTATTAATGAATTTAACTAACATTCTTTTGTGTTTCTTTCAATTGTTCATATGCATCAGAATCAAAATTTTGTTTGTTTACTATTGCAATATGACGTAAAATCGTTTCAGCTTCATCAAAACGACCTTTACTCACTAACCATCGTGGACTTTCGGGTAGAATACTTTAAAAGAAAAGCATATTATTATTTCATCGAATAAATTTCAACTATAGATAAACTTACAAATAAAAGAAACAAAATGGGATAGTAAATAATGTTATTACGAGTGTCAAAGTTCGCCATGTTCGAAATATATATGCCATAAGAACAAGAAAAAATTCACCAAACACAAAGAAATAATCCATAACAATACCAACCATTAGACGTTTATCTGGTTCAACTAAAATTTATTTAATATTTCTTCAATAATACATTTGAATTAAATTACAAGTAAATGATTTCTCAATACTCAAATTGTGACTTTGAAGATCATGTTTTTATTTAAATCGGAATTAGTTTGCGAAATAATTTTTTCTGATATTACTGAATATGATATTCGATTACGAATAAAATAGTCTGGCAAAGTTGAAAATCCTCTATCTTTTTTTTGACAAACAAAAAATGTATTGACTACCCATGTAACCGGACGTTGTATTGTCATGTAATTATTGCTATTATTTTGCTCCATTATAATGCAAAATAATGACAATAATCATATGATAATGCAACGATAGGCTACATGGGTACTGATGAATTCATTTAATAAAAATTTAACTTACCCATTTCTGAACCAAGTACAAAACCTGATTCAGATATACCTCGTGTTGAACAAGCAAGAAGAATACGAGCTATAACGAATATAATATACGAAGGCCACACACCAAATCTAGCTTGAGGACCATAAGTACATAAGAATCCAGCGAAAGTCATAAGGATAAAACTAGCACCCATAACTTTTCGACGACCATATCTATATAATAATTAAATTAAAAAAAAATAGAAATCGAATTAATTTTACCTATCAGCCATTGTACCAAAAAAGAGAGCACCACACATAAAACCAGCAAAATAAATCATTTGTACAGTAGATCGAAGACCTACTCGATCACAAACCATTGTCCACTAGAATAATATTTAGATTATTTATAAAATAAACAAATATTTCTGAGAAAAATAAACCTCTTCAACTAAAGTCTTCTTATATATACTTCGATCGAAAACATAATTATCGCATGTTTGAAGATTATTTATTGTTGAACGATTACTTGAGTATGATTTTCGATAACATCGTTGACATTCTTTAAGTGATGCCAATTTTTGATGAAGTTTACATTCAGTTTCTGTTGGTTGATAGAATTTACTAAATAATTCATTTGATTTATTATTATATGTATCCGAAATTTGTGTTGGATGACGACATCGAAAATCAGGTGTAGCAGCTGTAAATGACCATGTATACACCATAATAGGAGGTACCATATAAGTAAAACATATAAAAATAAATTTTACTTTCTGATAATGTCCCCATCCATTAATTGACGAAAGAAATGTATCAAACTTCATCTATAACTATACATAAAAAACTCAATTAGAAATTTACAGTTAGTAAATCAAGCATAATTTGGTATGTTGCTTTCATATAATATTATCAGTAAATAAAGCATTATCATTGATAATACTCGCTAGTGATGTAGAAGATAAACAAGAACAGAAGAGAATAAGAGTATAAAAAATTGTTAACATGAGATGCTTTACCCATTCCATAGTATACTTAACAAGGACATAACGATATGTACCCTTTATTACTATTATATAATTGCTGACATTCTTTGACAAATGTACTTGATAGAAGGTCAAAAATATACGGAGTTCTATCATAATACGGCAGCAGCTCCCAATATCAATCTAATTTTTTTCATAATATCCCATTGTGCTTTTTACCGCTACACTGGATATATTAAACTGAAACCAAATATTTGGGTACAGAGTGCAAGTAAGAACGAAATTCAAAACATGGTATCAATTCAAGGTGAAGACCAATCTTTATGTATTCTGTCCTCTTTGAGTATAATTTATGTATTATTATACGACAGCAAAATAAATTTCTTGGTTGATATTAATCCTTATAGGTTTTTGTTTTTCTTGTTATCGAAACTGATATCAGTTCTATATTTTTCATTAGATATTTAGTTTTATCAAATGAAATTTATTTGACAAAAATAACAATATTTATAATATTCATTTTCATATGAAAAGATTTTATTCTGTCAAATGTTTGTGTTTAAGAAAGAATTGAGTCCAAATAAATTCTTCCTTATCTTTATAATAAGAATGTCCTCTATTTTCCATTATATCGATACTTACTGAACAATGAGCTAATTCAAATAAATTCTTTGCTTTGAGACAACTTTCTTTATAAGCATCATTATCACCTGTTAAAATATATATTGGTAATGGAGTGATAATATCCCGAGGTTGTAACATTTTCTCTTCATTATAACGACCACCGAAACCACCACAATGATTACAAAGAGCAGCAAATGTTGAACCACCATAATGTACAGCAACATTTGAACTAAATAAAGCACCATTTGAATAACCCATAAAATAGATACGATTTAAATCCAATTGATCATTATATTTATTTTTCATATAGTTCAATAAAAAATCAAGATAATTAAAATCATCTTTAGGTTCTTCTATTTCCCAATATAAATCGCCAAAACCGAGTGAACCATATTGATCACGTACAGGCCCATCTTCATAGAAAGTACCTTGTCCTTGACCAAAAACAACTAAAAAATTATATTTAACAGATAATTGTATCCAATTAGTTTTAACAAGTGCACAATACCAAGCAGCTGAATTAAGACCATGATAAAATATAAGCAAAGGCATAGATTTTAGTTTTACTTCATTTATAAATGGTTCATGAACAACAAAGAAACGTTGTTTATCTGTATCAACTTGAAATGTATGACCAAATTCACTCGAATATTCTTTTTTTATCTGTTGACTTATATTATGTGTCCATTTAGCTTTATTAAGTTGTTCATCATTTTCATCATCTCTTAATAAACGATAGTTTTCATGATAGTTATTGTCGATCGATAGGGTTGTTTGTGTAAAATTTATCGGTGTAAAATAATCTAACCAATCCATCTATGATTATTGTAACTTACTTTTTCGTATCCAATAAAAAGAAAGAAATTGCATAATTTCATGCGTCATTCTTTTAGTAATTGTGAAAGAACAAATGACATAAAGGTGAATTGTTTACTATTACACATTAAATAATATTTCAAAGATTATTATTTTGAAATATTTTTCGATTTACATTCATATTTTCTCATGGATATGTCCAAAGAAAATGTTGAGCATCTCTCTATAAGATATTTGTTCTCTTCTTATTATTATTTTATCTATGACTCTTATCTTCGGGTCCCTATATAATACATCATGCGATACTTTGCCTCTATCTTATTTTCTTTCATTCTCTCTGATAAATGTCTATCAGAAATCATCACAATAGTATAGATGTGAATGAGCAAATCGATCAAGATATATTCTAAAATATTATCGCAGTTATAAAAAACTGAAAATAAGTTTGTTAGCAAAGCACAGTGTATAAGCTTAAATTCTTTGAAAAATACTTTAAGCAAGAAAATATGATCACCTTATTTATACTAAATTACAGAACTAATTTATTTAAACTCGATTAAATATGATGCAATAAACTCAGTAAATCTACATTCTATTTACAAATCATTAGAAGTAGAATACTTGTTATTAAAAGATAAGGATAACTAACAATCGATTGTCCTTTATTATACCAATAATTACCACCAGTTGCATACCATCCTTGACTACCTGGTGAATAACGATTCGATTGTTGATTATAATAATTATTTCCGTTTGGGTTTAGCCAGGCATTGTTATTATTATTATACATATAATTTTGTTGTTGTTGTGGTTGTTGTTGATAACTTGGTTTTATAAGAGAATTATATGCATTAGAATTTGGATTATAACTTATTGGTACAATATTACTTTCTGGACTATTTTGAGTTGCTATTAATGAACCATAATTAGGATCACTTCCTACACCTATTTCATGTACAATAAAAAACAAAAATAAATATAGCAACTATCAATTTATAGGAGTGATATTCACCATAATAAGAACTGCCTGGTATAGAACCACTTGGACGGCTTGGTGGCCAATTTATTTGACGACGAAAACGATAATATGGTAATGCATTGATTGTTCCAAAAAATACAGCAATAAAAACAAGTAAACATAAATTATGAATCATTTTATATGTGTATATATATGTATATCGGTGAATCTATGACAGTAGACAACTTTATACGTTACTTCTTCTTTTCTATGCCGTATAGGCACTACGCAAGAGAGAAAAAAAATATAAGAAATTTTCTTTTTCGTTCTTTCCTTTTTTTTTCCTACTGACAGTGAACCATTCTCGGTATATGTATAGACGAACAATGTTCTAAATTTTTACTGGCTTAAAACATCGCATACAAACATCGACGAGGTGACAAAGAAAAAAGACTAACATTATTATGTCATCATCGTCTCGTTGCTATTCTTCCAAAGAATGAGTAACATATGTGCGATAAAGTATATTTCCCATAATGATCATTGAATCGAAGTGAAGTATTATGCATATTATAAAAAAAGTCTGATATGCAAATAAATAAGCATAATATTTTCAATAATACGCTTATTTTTGTTCACATAACGATGTCTAAACAAATAAAATACTTTTAATAATGATTTTCTATTACTCTTAAATGATCAATTCGACAACTAGATTATATGGAATACTTCATTTAGTTGAATTATGTTTTTGTCGATTGCAAAAAAATCTTATTCATTATGATTTCAATCAATAAAAAAGAAAATAAGCTAAAACAAGGAAGACAACAACAACATTTTTATTTATATCAGATTTTATTGAGCTCAATTAATTTTTGAACATGCCGTACTAATATATGTTGTGAACCTAATGTAATCGATTTCGTCCCTTTACACATAGTCATTTGATCATCACGTAATGTTAATGAACATTGTTTTGTATGAAATATATGCATTAGACTATTATCAATTGTTCGAAAGACATTTAAAGTTGGAGATTGAACTAATTTATCATAAATTTCAACATCTTCTTTTCCCCATCCACTAATTTCAACATTCCAACTACCAATTTGTCCTAAATCAGCTTTATATATTCCAAGCATACCAAAACCATATTGACGCCAATAACCAATATCATTTCGTATATGAAATGAAGTAAAATTTGATAACATTTTTGATGATTCCCAATATTGTGGATCATATTGACTAAATATAATTGGAAAATAAACTTGTTTATTAAAAATAGTATGATGACGTATACGTGGAAATAAATCTCGAGTAAAAACCATATCAAGATCAATAAAAAATAATAAATCTGTTTCATTAAAACGTGATGCACCATATGAACGTGCATAACCACGTGTAAAATTTCCATTTTTAACTTCAATTAAATGTATACGTGATATTTTATATTTTTTAAGAAAATTTTTTATATAATTTGATATTGTTGACATACGTTCACCACTATCTTCTGCTGTTTCCATTAGTATTATATAAAGATGTACATTAAGAAGATCCGAATCATTCGAACACATAACAACACGATCAAAATTTGTCAATAAACGTTTAAGAGTAGGAAGACGTCCACTAACAGGTACAATCATATGAATAGGTACAGATGAATTAGATAACATTATAGTCCTGTATGAATTAGTCATCACCGGTGAAATTGAATTAGAAGAACCAGCTCCAAAAGGAGATAATATTGCACTTGAATATGATGATGAAAGTTCACGAAAGTAAAGTGGACGAAATCTTTGCACAACATACACACGTTTTCGTACGGGTACCTCAAAAAAAAGAAAGATTATATTAAATCAAAATATCAAACAATAAATATATATAACTTACTGACATTCTTTTACCCATATATTTTCGATAGATAAGATATAAATCTAAAATATAATTAATACCAAATCTTGGTTCATATTTATAATAACCATATAAAGTTTTTTTATATTCTAAAAATCGACCCATATTTCTTGATATTTTATTTACTTCTTCCATATATGTTCGAACAACTTCATCAAAAGATTGTTTATATGCCGGTTCAATTGATCGAACAGGTAATTCTGTATTAGCTGAATATTGACTAGCAGTAAATAATGTATAAATACCAGGTTGATTTTTATCTTGGGAAAGTTTTTTACTAGATATATTATTCGTATTGAATATTGATTGAATTTCTTCGTATAAAGAATGAAATGTTGCATCATTAGATGAAAGAATCGATTTATTAAAATATTCATGTAAAACATTCCATAATTGATGATCTAAAATTTATTTTGGAAATGAAATTCAATATTTTTTTTTAAAACTATATTTTTTATACCGAGTATAGTTTGTTGATTATTATCTATATTAAACAATCGATGTGTATTATTATATATTGTCATCATTTGTTCAGCAATCTGTTGATTAGACATAGTTAATAATTTATAAAATTGATTCGATTGAATTTTTAATTGTTTATTTTTAGTTTTGTGTAAGAATTTCGAAAGTTTCTGTTTTTGTAGTGTAAGTTGATTTTGTATATGAAGAATTTTATTGTAAATATTTATTTGACGACGTAATAACATATTACGTTGTTCAAGTTCCATAATTCGTCGTTGTAAAGCAAAATTATGTACGCGTGTGAATACACGTATATCTTTTATTGAATGAAGACTAACAGCACGTAATATATCCGTTGATACTAAATTTCTTGCTCTATAACCATCAGTTTTATTTGGATGATTATATAGAATATGTTGCATTTCATATGACCATGTACAAGATGTATTTGCATATTTATGTACACAACGACCAAGTTCAACATCTTCATGATAAGTATAGAAATTTTTTAAACATTTTTTAATATTTGGAACAAAACGAGATAAAGTTTCACGAGATAATATTATACCAGGTCCACCCATACAAAAATTTTCATTTTCACCCAAAGCTAATTTACCATATTCCTCTTTTGTTCCCATACCTGGTTGACCAATATAATAGGGTTTACCTAAATGGAAAAAACAAATGAGTTGTTTTTAAAATGAGAAAAAATATCATACGATTATCAATTGAACGAAGTAATTTTTCTAAATTATCTGTTCGTATATAAACATCATCATCAACACGCATAAACCATTCAAATTTATTTAAATAATGATCATAGATATATTTCATCATAAGAAAAGATTTTTTCTGTGGTGGATATGTATCTGTAACTGATGGTAAACTAACAAGATTTATACTTGAGTCATTTGTTTTTGAACCTTCACTTGAAAAAAATATAACATCTCCTGGTACTTTTTTTGCCCATGTACGCATGACTGTTGGTGCACGTGTTGTTAAAAATCCTTTACTAGTCATTACAGCAATAAGAATTAATTGTTTTTTTTCTGATACACGTGGTATATTAATTGGTGAAATAGATATGGAGTTTTTTTGATTAATATTAGAAGTATCTGAATCCTGTGATATATTTGAATCATTCATTAAACATCGTTTAATATTACATAGAAACATAAGACCTAATTGAAAGCCAACAACAACAGATATAAGTAATAATATTAATGATAACCACCAGGTTGGACTACGAATATTACTGGCAAGACGATTATTAACCGGTGATGGAAAAGATTGACGTATTATCTTTTTATTTGATGATAATGTAAATGATAGATTATTAAATGAATCCTTAGAAAAAAAGAAATAAAAAAAATTGACTTTATTATTAAATTTTTGTTTGTAAAGAATATGTAAAATTTATTAATATTTACGATATTAAATTTTTACTTACTGATTTTGTGATGGAGATATTTTTCATCGTTGACACGTATTAGAATATGCAGTTTTATATACAACCAATAATTACAGATATAATAATATCTCGCTTTATTCAAATAGCGAGTATTTTTTTTTTAATGAAAAAAACGAAGAGAATTGATTTCATAACGAAATCATTGAAATATCTATAAACGATAATATTTCTTAAGAAATATATCAAATTTTATAACTATAATGATTAAATTAAATATATGAATTATTTTTTTAATTATGAAAATAAAGAGAAGAGAGCAATTATTATGTATGAAAACTAAACCAACATTCAATATATTCGTTCATATAAGTAACTTGAATATATACTTAAATAATATCAACTACAAAAATGACGACTTTCTGATGATAATAAATAATACTTCTTATAGATGAAAGATTTATAATCTGAATAGATTAAAGAGAATGGATATAAAACGATATTTTGATAGATAATCGGCATAGGCGGTCATATTCATAGAATATAATAGATCACGGCATGTTAACTTATGAAACTTATTCACATACGAAAAACAACAAAAAAGAAATGAATGAAAACGTTATAATATTCAGGTTGATCAATATAAAAAAAAGACGAAGGAAAGAATGTAAAAAATTGTACTTCTTCTTTATTTGCTAATGAAACAGTTTGCTTTCTATACACTGTCACAGATGTACAACGGCAATCGAACCTTAGGATTTAGTTTCTATAAGCATACAAATGATTAAATAAGAAACCAGTAACATACATATTCAAAAAAAAAGAAAATACAAGAAGAAACTTGACAATAGTCATCTGATTTTTATGTCTCGATTTTATTAATAATGAACTCCATAATCTTTAGGAAGTAGTAGATTCGTCAATACTTACTTATTGACATTCAATTTACTCGAATGATTTATAATAGAAACTAAAATTCATGAACTCGTTTATGCAATTATAGGAGTTTGTAAACAAGAATAATACAGTGTGATCATATGCATATACACCTTGATTTAAAAAAAAATTTTCGTGAAAAAAAGCGATAGAAACAACAAAAATAAAATTATAAAGAGAAAAGAAAGTAAAATTAGACACATGGAAAATAAATCGTCTCTTGACAATCAGATATACACATAAATTAAGAAGACTTACAAAATCAGACGCAATAGCAAATATGAAGTTCATCAACGCACTAATATTTAATGAATTAACTGTAAAGCATAATATCTAATTTATTTTTTAAGTAAGAAGTAGAACATATTTTATATTTAATTATTATTTAATATAATTCTGTCTGTCTTTTTTTCTACTAACAATCAATAAACTATGTCATTTGATGCCTGTTCGTATCGATTTCGTTTAGTTCTTTTGTCATTATTATAACTCGTAAGGGAACTACAGTACTCTTGCTTAGTCAAATATTTTTAATCTTTCATGTCTATGTAATAAATACAGTTTCTACGTTTTTTTGTGTATGATAAAAATCTTATTTGTAATAATTCATTTGCAATTTTAAATCTGATTAAGATTATGTAGAAACAAAACAGTATCATTTATATTATGAAGAATATTTCATTTAGAAGCATTAATATTTCGAATGTATATTCGCCTTATAATTAAGAAAAAAAATGAAATAGAATCAATATATAGCAAAAGAAAACGAGGAGTAAATATTTGTAAAATAAAAATCTAAGACTATAAAGATATAGCTTTAAAATAAATTTACGTTAATATCTTAAGCAAAAAAATAATCAGTGTATTAAAAAATAGATTCATGATATAGATTATGTATATAAAAATTACAAACCTGTTTAATAGGTTTTACTGTAGAAATAATAATAATATTATCATCGAATTTCACTGATTTTGGAACAAATTTAGTCATAGCATAATCATGAAGGCATTATGATTTGTTCTGAAAAAAAGAGAGAAATGAAAAGCAAGTCAAAATATCAAAAATAATTACAAGGATCGTTTCTTATTATATATATTGAAGAGAATATATATCTATCATCATATATTCTCGCTCTTGTAAGACACAAAAGAGATAATATAAACAATTTGTCTACGCATTTCCGGATAATAAATATCAGTGGTTCATGACGAGAAATAATTAGTTTTGTTTATTATTATACATGTAAGTTATTGTCCTATCGATGTTATTTCGCATAAAAATATAATTATTTATTATCTACTCACTAACATATTCGCAATTCTTTTTTTTGTCCCTTCTGTATGATTATACTATTTTCTTATTGATAATAATAATAAAGAGATTAACATCTTTCAAATTCTCTGTTAATATTATGTTTAAATCACATTTTTTTTCATGACGATTTTTGTTGATTTTAGAAAAGTGCTTTACACATCCGATAAAAAACATTTTTTTTTCGTTCTCAGACGTGTTTTAAAAATCTTTATAATTATAAGTTGTGCGAAATGTAAGCATGCTTCTCTCTATCAGCATTAACGAGAAATACTGTTATTCTAACTGAAGAAAATGAAACCTTAATATACGCACATTGGCAAACGAAAAGATATAAATATGAGGAATATGTTAATTACAGAATAATTTAGTTTTTGGAATTAAAATTTGATTTTTTTTGTAGGGTCTTTATAATTGTAAATTAAGGTACATTGTGACATGAATTTCGAAATTTGCATCAATGTCAACCAAACATTTGTAGTAATTGTTCTATTCTCATGATCACGCATTTATAATATATATTAAATTATAAAGAAAACAATGCATATCAAAACTTTTCTAATAGGAAATTTCCTAAGTGTATAAAATTAATTATATATAGGAATACATTTTACTCATAAATTTCATCGAGAAAATCCTTAAAAATTCTTACCTATTCGAATTATTGATCGATAATAATAACAATTAGTAATCATATATCCAATAATCCAATATATATATATATATATATATATATATATATATATATGTAGAACGAAAATAAGAAATTGTATCACAAAATAAATACAATATTTTGCAAAAGATAAAATTTGTTTTTATGTTTTATAATACCACATAGATTTATAAGAGGAAAATATAAAAGTACGTATACATATTTAAATGTGTATCTAGTAGCAAACTAAATCAAAATGCAATTAAAGAATATAATTTCAGAAAAACAAAATAAGTAAAATTATATTGGAAGATTATGTCTATTACAAATTTATTTGAATGATTTTGATGTTATATGAAAAACAGTTATTATGATTTTTAGATAGAAGAGAAAAGTATGTACATGTGATAAGTGCAAAAAAAAACTATTGATCATAGAGTTTATATTCACATAAGTACTCATCTACATCTTCAATTGCTTTATCAAGTATGTTTTATAAAAAAAATCAAAACAAAGTTTTCATAACATAAATACTTATTCGTAAGTGCTATTGATTTTTCTACCTTTAGAATTATTGCACTTATTTATTAATCATTTTGTTTGATTCAAATACAATCAACAATCACTATGTAGTTCTAATTTTATAATATCTCTTTATTTTATCAGAATTTTAACCTACTTCTTCAATCTTATACATGAAAATGATTCACATATTGATTGAAAAATTTGTCAGTACATTATTTTAATTTCTTAAATTTAATGATGATAGTGCATGTTTTATTTTTATTGATAAATGTGAATGAATATTTTGCGTTTTTTTATCAAGATTTTTTGTTTCTGTTATGTCAATAGAACATGAGCCTTTCGTTCCTTTTTTGTATCGATTTATTTTACAAAAACACACTGAAGGTCAATGAAAAAAAAAATGTACGCGAAAAGTGTAATGTATTACACCTAAGAGAACACACTTGAAAAAAAGAAACTTTTAAAGAATAAGGTTAATGCAATAATCAATATAAACATAAATAAAGTATTTTCACTGCATATAAGTATGTGAATAAAATTTTTATTCTAGTATGTATGTATGTATGTATATATATATATAAACATATGTTGTTGTTATTATTATTTTCACGGGGTAATCACACAGATGCAGTTTAATCATTCGTAGATAAACTATAAATGACTGATTTGTGGTTTACGAAGGAGAAGATTTGTTGATGAATTTCGTTGAGGTGGTTGCGGTGTTAGAGCTGGACGAGGAATACTTGATTTACGTGGTGGAACAGGTGGAACAGATTTATTATTAATAACTGTTGATGTAATTTTACTATGATTCAATGAACTGTTCTGTATTGATGAATTACTTATTGGTTTAATTTGTTTCAATGATTGAGATCCAGATGTTGAAATTTTCATAGATGATGAAGTAAGTGTATTTTTATTAGGTACGGAAGACTGTGATTGAGTATAGGAACGAAATGATATCATAGGTTTTTTTAATGTTACTGGTGGTTTCGAACGATTAATATTCATTGTATTAATAATAATTGGTTTAGGTTTAGTTGTATTTGTTGTTTTATTAGATTTATTAAAATTATTAAGAAATAATGATGAAGGAAGAGAAAAATCTGTTTCATCTAAAGTCGTTGATTCAGATTTTGATGTTGTAGATAGAGAACTAACACTTCGATATTCTAAAATAAAATAAATTCGTAAATAAAATCCTGTTTCAATGAATAAAAATACCTTCTCGTTTTGTTGGTATACTAAAACTTTTACTCATTGATTGTTGATGATGATGATGATTCACTGTATCCATTGTTCTATATGATAATGTTCCAGATGGTTTTATTTGTTTTCTTGGTAATGGTGTTGAACCGATTGTTAATGATGATTTTAATTGATTATTGATTTTATTTAATGCTTCCGATGGTTTTAAATCTTGTGAATTTATTGATTTTAATTTTGGTACTGCTGGAAGTAATGTTGGTCGACGTGTAGGTTCTTTCATTTGTAATGATGAATGAATAGGAGAAGAACATTGTTGTGGTGTATCATTAAGAACACGTTCAAGTCTTTCACGTAATTCATCCATATAACTAGCTGACTTAATCGGACAATTCTTATTATCATTATCATCATCATCATCATCTTCTTCTTCGTCGTCATTATTATTATTATTTGCTACATAAAATCATAAAGAAATCATTTTTTTTTCTCAAGAATAAATTATCTTTTACCGGATGTACTTGAATGAATTGTATAATAATGATTATGAGGAATTGGTGTACGACGATCATGAATCGGAATATCGATATTACGTTGTTGTGGTTCAATTGGTGTTTCCGAACGTGTAGAACAAATCGCATTAAAACGACCTTGAAAGATAATTTTTTTATATGTTAATGAATATAATAGTCTTTTGGGAATAAAATTATCAAAGCCAGACATCTCTGTCTATTATCGTCTGCACAAGGAAAATTGTAAATCAAGATGTCTATTAATTTCTTTTTTCTTCATGTCATACGTCATCATATAAATCTCCTCTAGATAAATATTATAATTAACATCTAGTCTTACCTGTTGAACGATACATATTCATTGTCTTTTCCATAAATGAATAATTTATTTTTAATTGTTGTCCAAACTAAATATGCAATTGTATTCTTTTCTTTGACTAAAAAAAATCATAATATATCGTACTTTAGCTAATCGAATATTTATAATCCAACGATCAAATTCATCTTTCGTATCAACACACATATATTTAATATATTTCGAACTTTTCTTTTGAATTAATGGATGCTAAGATAGACCAAAAAAATATTGTATTAGTTTTCATTTTCTTCATAACTAACCTTTAATGCAAAACAAAAATCGCTAGGTGATTTAAATTTTTTCTTCCATTCAAGACCAAAAAATAATTCCACATTTTCAAATTTTGCTAAACAAATCAGATCTTTCTAAAAAGTTTTTAAAACGAAATTATTTATGAATTATAAAAAAGAGAAATTTTTCTTACTTTGCTTTTTCCTTTTGGTATATAATAAAGACCTGATGAACGAAGTACACAAAAATGTTTTTTCCATGATTTACGAGATTTTTCTTTTAAATAAATATTTCCTTCAATATCAGGTGTACGAAATAATTCATCATTGGATGTTATCGTACGGAAAAATGTATATTTTTCAAAACGTTTAGTAAAACTTAAACGATTTGAAGAAACTGTTGGCCACATGAGAATAGCTTCAGTTAATTTTTGATGATCTTCAAAAATACGTTCTAAATTTTTTAAGAAAAATGAATCAAAATGATTTCTTATGTTTTTATTAATATTACCCATATGAAGATCAGGTAAAATTTCAATAAGAACATAATTAATATCAGCTTCTCGATGATTTTTATGAATAAGTACAAAAAGTATATCACGTATTAACATTGAATCATCAATAAATATACTTTTTGTTGAACCATCATCATTATATGTACGTACGAGTATTTTCGATGGATGTTGAGAATGTGATAATAATGCATCGTCAGGATCAAGAATAATCGATGGTGTTTCTTTTATTGAATCTGTTATAGGCATTAGAGAACGATAAATCAACTATATAGATTAAAAAAAAAGAACAGATTTACAAAAATAATTTATTTAGAAATTCTTACTGATTCCTCATGATTTGGTAAAGTTACTTTATCTGTTGATCCACTATCACTAAATGCCGAGTCACAATCATCTGTAGTTAATCCTATATATTTTGGTATATTATGATGATTTGTATTTGATGTATTGTATGAATGAAATGATTCTTGCACAATTTCATCTCCAAGACCACTTGAACAAGCACTTGAATCAGATGATCGTTGTTGTGAATCAATATTTGGTATTGTACAATCATTAATTGTTAATGTTAAACTTGCTAAAGCAGCTTCAAGTTGATCTTCAAGTGTACGAAGTTCATTGACACAACCATTCGTTGAAAATAATGAAGGAGATTTTGCAGCTGATGTTGATGATGGATAATAATTCATTACAGATTTTTCCATTTTATTATATTTTGAAATTGAGAATTGTTGTTGATATAAAGAAAAATTTGAATTTTCTTCAAATTCAGTTTTAAATTCTCGTAATTCACTTAGAATAGCGTCAAGTTCAGGTGAATCTTCTTCGTCTATAATAGAATAAGAAAATGAAAATGTTATCTATTCTTCTAACCTTCATGTATTTATTCATGTAAAAAATTACTTACTAGTAACTATTGTTCTTTGTCTTTTCCGGAACAATATTTAGTGTGTAATAATGATCTTTTTTTTTCTTCTCCTTTCTATATATATATATATATATATATACTCTGATCGACAATTAAGACAGACAAAAGGAAAAGCAAATGACGTGTGTTCACACATCGAACTCTGACGGAAACAGTTGTACTCTTTCTTTCTCTACTACTACTACTACTACTAGAGAACTCATTGAAGAGAACATAAGAAGAAATACTGACATAGTTATGTAAGATAAACAGACTAGTATTGTACATGCGAATAAGCACTGTTCGTCAAGAGATAATGTAAGAATGATGACAAAAGGTTTAAAATAATCCGTATCTGTCAGACAAAAAAGAAAAATTGTCAGAATTTTTTTTCAAAAGAATGCGATGGTATGATTATTAATCCATATAATGTCACCTTCATTTACATTTTTTCAGGCTTCAAGTTTATGATATGTTAGTTGGCAAACGGAAATTAAGGAATCATATTGTTAGAATGTTCTTTTTTTTAACAGCATGACTGGCCATACAAGGACACATTCTCTAACAATAGCAATATATATATATATTAAGATGAACAATAATAATGATGCAATCATTAGTTTCCTATTTCATTCGATTATATACTTTATTAATGATTTCTATTGATTTCGATGTTTTATTTAACTATATTTAATCATTTTTTTGTTCTGTATTTGATCGATACTTAATCATCAACATTTACATGATTTCATCATCATCATCATCATCATCATCATGAGTCAAATCATATCAATCTCTATATATATACATATGTATATGAACATTTTTGATTTTGTCTGTCTGCTAGGATGGGTTTATCTTATTATATAATATTTGCCTGTTAACGAAACATATAATATACTGTTCATTCTGTCACATCTATCATCATCTTTTATCATGCATACTACTTCATCTAAACATACTTCCTTCAAGGAAATAGTTATGGAACAATTGACGGAAACGCCTTTTGGCTTGAGCTAACTAAGCAAAAAGAAATAAGATTAACTTACCATGAAGATGAATAGAAAATGGTGTATATGAACTGTTCTCATTCTTCATTGGATTTAAATACTAAAATGAAAGGAAAAAAAAATTTTAAATCATTTAAAAAATTTATGACGAAATTTTTATTTGAACTGTAAAGAATATGTAATGAACAAGAAGTGATTATATGATTGTAGTAGTAGTAGTAGTAGTAGTAGTTGCTCAATATTTGTTTCAATCATGCATTCATCCGTTAATCGAATCATTTCATACACATGAGACAAGTAATAATAAGAGACTGAACACTTATAATTCGTTATTCTCGGGTGTACACATATACACATACACACACATGTCAGAAATAAATATACAAATCTCAAGAGAAAATTAGGTAAAAAAACAATTAGATCGAAGAATAAACATCGTACTTCACAAGAGATAAATTATTCGATTAACTCAGTTCCCTCGAACAAAACAAAATACAATGAAGGTCAAATACAGCTGTTATTAATAATATTTCATCGTCTGTTCAATATGTCTATTCAAAGTAACTACAGATATATTTTATATGAATTCATTGTTTGATATTCGTAATCTTAAAAATATATAAACTAGATTTTCATGTTGAAATAAATAAGTATATTAAGATTATCCAATATATATTTTTTTTCTCGTTTCAACTGCATCATCAAAAACCAAGTTTTATATATAAAACTCATATCAATAATGTCATTATATTTTATTGTGTATGTTTCATATTCTTTCTTATATCCTTCGCTTTCTTCTAACAAAAGCATGCTGTCTTTATACTCTATTATCATAATTACTCTTCAATGCCAAATATAAGATGCAATCAACAGTTTATTCGTCACCCTCAAACAAACACTATCACCACCTACTGCTGTTCATTTCATTTATCAATAGGCATCAACAGTACAAATATAATAGTGGAACTTAAGAATGTGACCTTGACAATAGAGTATATCTTGCCGTGTGCGGTTCATTAGCCAACCAAATAAACTTCTTTTTATATCTTTCTAGATACATGGACACAGTTCAATATAAAGAGATAACAATAGCGTAAAAAAGAAAAGGTCAGATTATCGTAGTACTTATACAATAGGAACCGTATGAGGGACAATTCTAATTCTGATGAGTAGAACTGTTCGCGAACGATTTCTTCTCGCAGGAAAGCACACTCCGATCGATTAACCTTGTTCTGACATTATTGAGTAATGTTCGTATAAAACAATGCCAGTCGGAATAGTCAATGGATAATATATAAACGTATAAATCAACTTTATAAAAATTCATTCTTATCTTCTATCATACTCTCCAAGGTAGTTTTAGATAAATATAAAATTATAAAAAGATTTACTGTAGTCGAAGATGATTGTATAAATTTTTGTAATACTCGATTGGCTGCTTGTTCTTCTCCACCATCAATTAAATTTTTAGTATCATCATTAAAATCTCCTTCTTCTTCAGATTCAGATAATTCTGAATCCCATTCAAGAATAGATGATGATTGGTATAATTGTTGTTGTGATGATGATGATGATGCTAATTTTTCTGTTTGTGTTTGTGATTCATCGGAAGCAGTCGATTCGTCTTCTTCTTCAATTGATGACATACTACAGCGTCGAACAAGAAGACGATTCATAATGAATCTAAAATAAAATAAATAAAATATTTATGTTTACATACAGCATCTATGGATATACTAGTTCTTTTATTTCCTTAGTTCAAGAAGCTCTCACACATACTATGATCTATCGAGTATTGACTGTATAGTACAAATCAGAGCGAGAAAAGAAAAGAAAGAAAAAAGGCTAATCTAGTTAATTGTCACCACATACACATCATCAAAGCTACAATAGACAAAGAAATAACTGATTATTCAACAGAAGTACCAATGTTATACTATATATTTATTATATGAATTACAAATAAAGAAGAAATTTGTCAATGGAAAATAGTATTTCTTTTTCTTTAAATAAAACAGTTGTTGTCTTACATTTCTTAATATGATTTATGAATAATTTGTAGTTATTGAGTATTGAGCAACTATGAAAACAAACGAATTGAATAAGATAGTCAAGAACTAATTACTCTGTGAATATATATAATAATATTGGTTTATTTATTTTTCTAAATTCTAATAAATTTTAAAACAAAAAAAATAAACTAATCTATTGACCTTCTACACTTTACATTCGGTAAACTGTGTTTAAGTACGATGATAAATTGATGGATGTCCTTAAAATGAGTGTATACAGTAATACTCTATTTCCTTTGTTCTCATCAATAATTCATATATATATTCATACATACTCGACAATCGATGAACAAAATCTTGCTCGTTTCCTGTTTTACATTTACTTATACAAGCAAATGTTTCTATTCATTTATTCAGCTTTGATTTCTCACTTTCCTTCTCTGGTTAGTACTCGCTCTCCTTCGTTCAATCGTCGATATATATATATATACAAAAGAAAGAAGGAAAGATATATAGGAGGCAATTACCAAAGAATAATAGAGTGTTAGCACATCTTCTTGATTAGCTGCTTGTTGGTACTAATATAGGAATGCAATCGATTTATGCAATATTATTGTATGTATATGTGACATGAACGATCCTATATATGATCATTCACACTCGATACAATATGGTTATTGTTTATCCAATAGAGTATATAATGCTTGTTAACTTTATCGACAACGAATGATATCCAATAGAGATAGTACCACCATATTTTCTTGTTCAATATCTATAGTGTACAAACAACTGAACAATCACAACATACTTGTATTTAGACATGAAAGTATGATGCAATACTTTTTTCTTTTTATTACCTTTTTAACGACACTTAGCATATATATTATCATCCTTTAAATAATATTCGATATTTAACTAAAGATAAAGATGGATGACATTTTGGTAAGGATTTTTTTTGTCTCTAGACAATTAACATAAATCGTACAAATTTACAAAAGTTATACTTTTCAAGAATCATTAATCTTCCATTCGAAAGTTATGAATGGTTTATATTGTATTCTTTTTTGTATATAATGTAAAGAATGCTAAAAATATTTTCTCTATTCATATTATATACTTAAAGAAATATTTTGTTATTCGTTTTTTTCTTTTATTAAAAAATATAGAAAATTTTCTGTACTCATTTAAACTTCAGTACTTTTATAAGTAGTAGTCATTAATCGATTTTCTACATAATCAATTTCTGGATGTCCATATACAAGATTAGCCAATTCAATTTCAAATTCAGAATCAGATATTGATATAACACGTGGTGGAAAATTTTGACTGATTTCATTTTGTTTATCCATTGTAAGTTGAATATCTGGTTTTGACATATGATTATTATTATTATTCACATCATCCGATGACAATAAATCCTGTAAGAATTACTATGAAAAATGTATATCACAATAAAACTTATTTTCTATATTAAGGCCTACATACCTTTTTTGATGATACATTTAAAATCGTTTGTGAGCTATTATCTATTATAATATATAAATAGATAAAAAAGAAATTTTATTTATAAAACCTGTTAATGGTGCCTTGGATTTTTTCGTTGAAGTTGATTTATTTTTGCCGGCACATCCACCCATTATAGTAAAAAAGGAATAAAACTTGTTGTGTATATGTTTATAGTAAGTGAAAGAACATTACATTCTCATCTCGTTCTTTTTTGCTGTGTGTATGTGTCTTGGAGTTTTTCTTTTTTCGTTCTTTTTATTGACTCATAAGTCTTACTAAATAGTTAGGGAGAAGAAGAAGAGAGAAAAAGAATGACATTGATACATTTCATTTAAAATACATCATATAAAGAGTAAGAGAGAAACCGCGAGTAAAAATATTTTGCTTTCATCTTAAAAAAACAAATAATAACGTTTGTGATTTATTGTAAAATTTTTTCCTTAGGAATTAATCGAAAGAAATGTTATCGTTGTTAGATTTATCAATAAACATGAGAAAAAAAAAGAAAAATGTTTTAATGATAAATATTTTTATTGAAATACTATATGTTTGCGTTTATGATTATTACTATTATAGTCATAGTAATCGATGCGCTAGTGTATAGCATTGATAAGAATTATGTTTTGTCTCTTAATATGGCAGCTGTTACCATCGTCAATAGATGATAACGATAGTCGACATATTAAAAGCAAATAAATCAGACAAAAAAAACCTAATATTAATCGAGCATGGAATCGTGGAAAACAGTTGAATGTGATATTGTTGTATATGCGACAAGAGTAATTCAGCAGACTACTGAAGAAGCACTTGGTTTGTATAGGCAATTTCTTATGTGGCATTGTTTTGTAAATAAAATATTATTATTTAGATATTATTTATCATAATTCAAATCAAATGGATATGAAAAATCAAGAATCGGCGCAATCTATTAATAAAGTCTATGTTTAATTAAAATCAAAATATTAATAAAATCATAAATGAAAAAATCTTTTCTAATTTATATAAACTTTGAGTGTTCGTCTCGATATTTTAAAATGATATCTTGTTGAATGATCATAAATATGAGAGTATAATAACAGATTTTAGAAATATAATACTGTATAATTTGAAGAGAAAAAAAATCTTTGTTATTCTCTCGCATTATTTATTATTATATGAAATTCTTTTAAAATTTTCTCTTATAGTATTTTCTGTTTTATATGTTATTTGTTCGTTGGAAATCAATTAGTTAGTATATAGTTTTACTGAATATATGACCGATAATTCTGGTCTTTTTCTTGTAACAGAAAATGTCATTGAAATACATTGAATTATTCTGTGTTAGAATATATAAACAAATTTTGTTATCCCTCGAGACTTGTGAAACATTTCGTATGTTTATATGTTTAGATATTAATCAATCATAATAAACCGTAGGCTAGATATTATTGAAATATTTGAGTAGCTGTCTATGCTATAGATAATCTTTGATACAATTATCTATGAATCAAATTAATCTTAAAAAATGTCTAGGAGAGAAGAGTTTTACTTTATTCTCATAATATAAAACTTGTTATTAAAAGTTCTTCTTTTATCTAATTCTTTATTGTTAAAAAATATTTTATTCATAATCTGCAAGAACGAAATTAATTTCTCAATTTGAATATATTTATATAAGTCAATACAAATCATATCTTGAGTTAGATATGATTTCATTAATAAATTTTAGTAGATCTTATTAGAAAAATCTACAATGGCTCTGTAATTTATTTTCATCATGAATTCTAATAAATTATATCTGATTTAAATGGACTAATTGAGTAGTTTTATCAATTGTTAACTATCTGAATTTTCTAGATAGTTTAATTACTATATATATATCACTGTAAAAAAATTAATTGCACGCAGTATTTCGGATATATTTTGAAAACACTCGATATTATCTATCTGATCTTTACTGCAACGTTTTTCAAGAATTGTACGTATTGCAGGATAATTATCACTTGTTATTCCTATATCAAGCTGATTCATGATAAAAACAAATGAGAGATTTTTTGAAAGTATAAGTAGTAAATAAGTCTTCTAATTTGAATAGCTGTTATTTTATTTATTTGAAACAAGTACACTACTATGTAGAAGTCTAACAAAAAAAAGATGACTATTTGTACTGTTCCAAGAGATACCATGAGTTATCACGAAAATTCACAGAATAAAAAGAACCGGTTATTTGCAATGTAAACATTTAGCATTTCTTCACTGAGCTCATACTTTTACCTTTGGATAACTTTTTTTTTTTCGTTTTGTTTGATTCTTCTTTAAGCCGAACATAACCACGATGAGAGACTAGTGACCTAAACCAAAGTAAAACAAATATTTTTAAAAAATTTCTTTTTCGTGGTAAATCACTGACTTTGTTTTTGATTCTAATTTTCCAAATATATCCCATTTTCTGTAACGTCTTTGTTCCACATGAACATTCTCGGAGAAGCAAAACTTAATTTTATTTTTCAATTTAATTAATAGTTCTTCTAAAAGCAGGAAAATATTTTAATGAAACGATCGAACGTTTTTTTCCATTCTGGATAACTTTTTATACTCACTAGCTGATGCCCAATGACCTTGATTGCCAATTGCCTTATCTACAGAGAAGAAATAAATTTTAAAAACTTATAAAACGAACATAGTTTTCATATCCGATATTCCTGTAGCTTGCGTGTTATTATCAGCTACAATTGACTTACTCAGATCGGATCGTACGTAACATAAAAGACAAACTTCTTTTTTCATATCGAATACAAATTCAGCTTTTTTAAACGAGTCATCGTTTGCTTCATACCATTCATTAGTAATTTCATTTTTGACATAACATATATAATGGCCGCTTTCCATACCGTTGCCACGATGAATAATAACAGCGGAAAGATGATAAATTTTATGATTTTTAGTTATTTTAGCCGAACAATATTTACTTAACCAGTTGTCCAGATGGAGTACTTCTTCGTATGTAACGGCAGAGTGTAGTTTTCCTTGATTATTTGCTTGGAATCGTTTTAGTGCAATTAATAAAACTTGTGGCGTTGAACAAATTTCTATTTTGGTTTCAGCATCCTGTTTACTATTACATGTATCACATTGATATGCATTATCACCAGTTAATAATTCTTTTTCACAATAACTGTCTAAGCAATCTTCTAGACTACATACTATTGGTTGCGGAATAGAACATTGCATGATTGTATTATTCTCGATCGGACCAGGTTCTGATGTCTTACATTTTTCACACTGAGTGACACGTTGAGATTGAAACTTAAAAATATCGAATAAAATTGATGACTCTTTGGTATGATTGAACAAACTCAATAAGAGTTCCATACAATCTTGTTGAGTACCTTTTTTAAATTGTGATGATAAAACTTCAAGCTTTTCATAAAATGATTTTGGTTCATATACTGGTACCAATCCTGGTTTTAATTCGTTTTTGCATTTTTGATGCATGCCTTTCAAAGTTTCTTCGATCCAACAGAGAGCGCAAATTTCACTTTGTTGACCTAAAACAGAAAGAATAAAAGTTTAATAAAAATTCTATTATATTTCAATGTCTTCTTTGATAGTTTTAGAATTTTTAAAAAAAGAATAATTCCAACAAAACAGAAGCTACTCTATTTTTTTTATCGACTTAGAACACTTGATAATCTCTGTAGAAGTATTAATCTTCTCTTCGTTGAAACACAATGAGAAGATTACATAGACAAAGGAAGCGATATACTTACATGTCGTACGATGATCGTTTCTGGATATCCAATCTTTCAATACAGTGATATTAGCTAACATTTGTAAAATTACGTTCATATAACAAGTGTTTCCCATATTTTTTAAACCACATCGAATTGATGTTGATGTCATTTCGTCTAAAAAATAGTTCAATTCATAATTCTAGTAAATAAATGCTCTTGATGACAGGTGAGTGTCGATATGAATATCAATGGTTGTAGATAAATATAATATTCACACTCACTACAACAACATTTTACTAGATCAACTTACTCGTTAATGATTGCGTCTGCAGTGATAAAGCATCGCTAGGCTGAACACTCGATTGATTACTTTCATCAGAATCTGAAAGATGAAAAGAACATCTAAGTAGAAATATAGCATACATCACAGATGGTTTTTGAAGTAATGTTCTAGTATAGATGAAGATGAATATGCAGGCGTGAAATAGTTAACTATCACAGATACCGAATGTAAAGTATTTTTTTACATTTATTTCTAATCTACTAATTGTAGATATGGATGGATGTGTAAAGAGTGAGTGGCCACAAACAATCTTACTCGCATTCACATCCTCTATATAACTTCTTTTCTCATAGTATCTAACTAGCCACAGCAAACTCTAAAAGATCGATTCCATACATCTTTAGCCTAGCATTTGAGATGTGACTTACCTTTGAGGTCGATGCCTTTGGTCTGAAGCCGTCGTGCAGCTGAATAGAGTTATGCGTTTTTATAAAAAGAATTTTTTCTTGTATCATCTTACTGTCATCTGGAACTGCCCGTTCTGCACTGGTAGGACGACATTTAGACACATCATCGAGAAGGCCAGGTGATGATGGAATTGAGTCTGTTTCACTGTCTTCTGGAAGTTTAAACCACCCAATAGAAGAATCAATATTCAATGGTTCTTCATCAATCTTGGATTGACCATCGTTGTGTTTGTCGAAATCTGAATGAAATATAGAACAAAAAATGAAGAAAATGATGGAGTTGTAATATAGTGCAGTGCACAATACAAAATATAACATAGCTTACTTACTCGATTGTTCATCCAATGCTTCTTGACCGGTATTTTCTCGAATTACTCCTCCTTCATCATTGTTGTTTGTTTCTATCCAAGTGACTCGAATTTTAATGAGTTTAGGCTTTGGTAGAGTTGACTGTCCATTTATCATTATATCAACACAATTAAATGGTTTGTACAATTGTATATATCGGTCGTCAAGTTTGAAATAGTGCTTGTGATCTCTATTATAAATTTCGACTGAATAGTAAAACGATGATGGGAAGTCGTCTTCATTCTCGATAAATTTTCTAACAACTTGAATTGTCGTTGTTGAATCGAATTTCGTTAAAGGGCGAGATGTGGCAGAACGCATCGGATGATCATAATGTTTTATCACAGTATTTACCATAGCTGCCGTTTCCATGATATATAAGAATACAGTAAAACCGTTTTAAATATTAGCTTCTTCGATTTCCAATATACACTACGTATAAACAGAAGAAAATGAATACGTTTGATAGTTAGGCGACTAAAAAAAATCTGAATTTATACTCCCAATGAGTGCATGACTGAGAAGAATTAAAGAAAATAAGAGCACGACGAAAGAAAAAAGAACAACAAAATTCTAATGGTAAAGAAATGCAAAAAAAAGAACGAAATGAAATTTCAACAAAAGGATCGAACAAAACGGATGGCAATTTTGAATCAGACAGAATATAAAAGACAAACTACAAAATGTACTTTTTCATTTTTTTTGCTCTTAGTATTATAAAGTACGAAGAGAAGCAAAGAGAAAAAGAACTAGAGAAATCAAATCACTAACATTGCACGCAATGGAATCTGCGGAAAGATGGCGTTTCTTGAACTCGTCGTCAATTTTATACATCAAACATTTCCGTTTCATATTCAACTAGATAGATTATCTATAGACGATATTCGATATTTGATTGTGAATCATTTTTATATTGATATGAACGAATTCTTACTGGAAATATTTGATCAATGCTAGAGCGAATACATCATTTTAAATGAGTTCTATGTTAATGAATTTCAATTAAATCCTTATTTTAAATTAGTCGATTCGTGGAGAGCTCGATTTCATTCTCGACACGAAAATCTTGCCGATATTCAACTTAATACTAATATTTTCTTATGAAAAATAGGCAAAGAACGTATAAGTTTTTGTTGTATCCTTTATTTTATAACAGCTAATATTCCCAAAGACGTTCAATATTTATAAAGCAGACAACATTTAGGAAATTTCGGAATGTTATTAAATGATAGGTCATAGCATAAAATAAATCTAATGCGACTTGAGTTTCATGATGTATTGATCAAATATTCTTGCAGTTTGACTTACACTATCAATTGTGCAAAGTATCGATTAATTTTTCAAGAACTTACATATAGGAGTATCATTACCATAAATATTTTCGAGATATTTCAGTTGTCTTTGTCGATCAAGAGATCAGCTTACATCTCCATTTACACAATGATTTTATAGCAAGTTTTGTACTTATCATTCATTAAATCAAAATATAAAATCGAATTATTTAATGCATTGAGTGAAAAATATTCTATTTTTTATTTTTTTATTGAGAATATCCAAAACTTGTTGCGATATTTTCGATTCGAAGTAAATACTGCTTTGTATTATATTTAATTAAAATTTCATGATTTAGTACTGTAGACGTTACTGTCGTTGTAAATATTTATTTACAAAAATACTTTAGTACTTGACTCGAAAATTTTTCCAATCTTTAAACACAAATTATATGATTAAGCTAGATAGAACTGAGGGTATAAGTATGGGTAAGTTTTCTCTTTGCTGGCAATCACACTCTAATCCTAAAAAGAGAAATAAAAACGGTCAACTTATGCTATCTGGTGGGAAGTCTATGAATTCGTACATTGATATAGTTATTTAATCAATCATAATACTATCACTTTATTTAGCTGTAATCTTTTAATTAAATATTCGTTCTTGTTTTTGTTTTAATATATATTTTCATGAACAAATAAATCAAAGAAATAACAATATATGAAGAAAAAAACAACGAGTTTATATATTTATCTGCATTCGTATGAGTGTTTGCATAGTAAAAGTCTATAATAACGAATATACATAGCGATATATTATACATGAAGAAGAAGAATAAGTAGAAGATAAAATAAATCACAATTACTGTTCATTATCATGATCACATTGCGTAGCTATTTCAGCATACATTTTTCCTGAACATAACCAACAACCAGATTTATTTGATTGATTAAGAAAAGCTAGAAGTAGATCATGAGTTAAATTCGAATTTTGTCGATTGATTTTTGATGATTTAGATTTTTCTTGTTCACCTAACATAGACATAACATATTGTCTTAATTTATTTAATTCTTGCTGTTGTTTTTTTATTTTCATTAATATCATATTAACTTTAGCTGTTTTATCTTCATCATTCATTGCTATCGATGTTCGTCGAACTTCATTAGTTAATTGTAAAACTTGATCAGTACTACTATTAGTATCATATTCAATAATCCAATCCGATAAAGATTCTTGTTTATCATTAGTACTAGTTATGATTGCTTGTTCATTTTCTATTTTAGTTTTTGATTGTTTTTTTTCTTTCGGTTTCTTTTGTAATTTTTGATGCAATCGTTTTTGACGTTTTAATTCTTCTTTTCTTTCAGCATCAGCAGCATCAAGTTCACTAACTAACATGACACGTTGTTCAGTAATATCTTCATCATTTAATTGTGTTAATTCTTCAGAAGATGGACGAAGTAGTGGCGGTCGTGGTGGAGGTGATAGTGGAGGAGCTTCTTCTTCATCACAACCATCAATAAGAAAACCTGAACAAGGTTTTGATTCTGAATGTTCTTCACGAATAGATTCACATTCAGTAACCTAATCAATAAATAAAATAGAAGCATCTATTGTTTATAAATCAAAAATACAAAATCTACATACTTCTGGTGATGATGTTGGTAATAGTTCATGATTAGAACATGTTTCAGATGTATTCTGTAGTTGTTGTTGTACAAATTCATCATTAAATAAAATTTCCTCTAAAGTACGAATATCATCATAATTTTTAATATCACCAATTAAATGAAAAGAATTAGCATCAAAACTATCATTATGGACTGAATCAGTAGTAGTAGTTGTTGTTGTTGTTGTCGTTGTAGCTGTAGACAATTGATTATCAGCAAAACGCATTCGATCAAATCGTGTTGAATTTAATAAAGATTTTTGTTGTGGCATACGAAGCATTGTTTCTAAATATTGTGTTTTCTGTTCTGTACTTTCGTTTGTTTTAGTCTTTTTTACTGAACGAATCCATGATTCACGTTCATGTGGTATAGCAGTAAGTAACGGAGGAGGAGGCGGCAAAGATGGTGAAAGAATAGGAGGTAATAATGGAGGTATTTCAGTGGACATTAATGGTGGTGGTGGTGTAGAAAAATAAGAATAAGATTTCGATTTCATTTTCGATTTTGGTGGTTGATAACGATAATCATTTCTATATGAACGTCGATAAGAAAAATCATTATAATTTCTATTATCATGGTAATGATAATGATGTTTATTATTTTTCTTATATGAACGTTTATAGTTATCATCATCATATCGTCTATCATTATTATTATAATTTTTTGCTCGAGAGTATGGATGATATCGATGGTTATTATCCAGTTTACTCATATCTAATATACAAAGAAACAAACATCAAATAATTCGAGTTTTTCTATACAGAGATCAAAAACATGGTGAATAAATTTTTATTTTCTCTATTATAGAGAGCGAGAGAGAAGGAGAGAGAGAGAGAAAGAATGAGAAAAAAACGTTTCATACACCGAGAATAGATACATATATACGTACATATAAAGCACGAAAAAAAAATAGAACACTATACAAATGTCGAAAAGAAAAACACAAAAAAAAACATATTTGTTTATTTCATTCAAAAAAAAGAGCGAGACAAAGAAAAAGAGATTCTATTGACGAGAAGACAACTTAAAATTTAAGATATATGTATATGTATATAGATATATATATATATACCAATACAACAATTGAAGAATAAGAATAATGCACAAATAGAAGAAGACATTCTTAGGGGGGTTTGATTTCGTTTTATAAATCATTTATTGAAACATATCGTGAACGTTTAGGAATTGATGATGAATATTCATCAATAATATATGAAAAATGAAATGAATTTTGATTTGACGGTTGTTCACGTTCATAACGAAGATAAAGACCATCATCAGTCGAATTATTTAAAATTTTATTAGTCGTATACGATGTTTTAGGAAGATTCATATTCGATGTTTGTACAATAGATGGAATTGTTGGTATAGCAAATTGTTGTTTTTGTGTTGGTTGTTGACTAGATAATAGATCTTTCAATGAAGTTGAATTAGCTATTGAATTAATTGATGATGATGATGTTCGTTCATTAGGATTCATAAGAACTATCTGATGAGAAACTATTTGAGAATTTGATGATAGAAATGAAGAAGAAGGAGAAGATTGTAATGAATGATCATTTAAAGATGAGTATGGTAAATGATGAATTGTATGAGATGAAGGTGGTGGAGTTGATGAACGACAGTTTAGATCTAAAAATTAGAAGATGAATATATAGAACTAATTTTAAGTGAGATTTACTTGTAGAATTATTTTTCAAAGAAGATCCTGAATACGAAATAGATTGTTGTTGTTGTTGTCTACCAATATAAATAGTTTGAGATTGACGTGATGGAGATGATGAACTATATACACCATTAGCTAATGCTGCAAGTACAGCTGCATCTGTATCATTCATTGCTATTGCTGAGTTTTCTGTGAGTGACGTTTTTGATGATATGATTCCATTATGTAGTGATCCTTGTTGATCATAATTAAGTAAATTTCCATTTTGTTGATTATGTAGAATAGACATTGTTTGAGTTGTTATCATATCTGTTTTATATTTTGATGTCATTTGACTTTGTGGTATTTTATCACCATATGATTTTAATGTTTCAGGTGAAAGTTCAGAAAATGGTTTATTACTTATACGTATAATTGTCTTTTGTAAAACATCATCTGTATCTTTGATTTTAATATCTGGAAATGTTATTTCAGCTTCATTTAATGTGTGTAATGTACCATTAACAAAATCACGTAATTTTCTTAAACCAACATAAAATGGAAGTTTATCTTCAGCACGTGGTAATTGTGAACAACGAGCACTTGATGATGGCATTACAAAAACATGCTAATTATTTATAAAGAGAGATAATTATAAAAACTATTAAATATTATGTATACTAACTGTATCTGTTTCAAGAAATAGATCAGGTTGTTTACCATAATGAAAATGTTTATTATTTGCATAGACTTCATAAATGCCTAAGAAAAGATTCAAAATTAATTATTCGTAGAAAAACAAACAAAGAATATACCTCTTCCATTGAATGCAACAATTTTTGGTCTATACATTTTTATTTTTTGCATTAATATTTCTGCCCCAGCTGTAATTTCATCTCTACAAAAAAACAAAATATAGAAAAATAAAAATTTGTTTTCTTCGTTATTTTATTTTTTACTTTGTTATATCTGATCCAGCTTTACTTGGTCGTTGTACAATATTTGTAAAACCAATACCATAATGTGGCATACGATAATCATCATCAGCAGTAAAAGCATTTGGAATTAAATCAGACATATGAAGTAATTTCCAAAAATGATTTCCAGGTCCACCATAATGGTGTCCTTTATGTACAGCATAAAGACTTGGATTAATACCAACCTAAATATATTTTTTAAAATTCTCAATAATTTTCTGCAATAAATAAAATAACGTACGAAAACAATATCAAGATTTGGTTGAAGAATATCTGAAAGAAGACGTTTTGTTAATTCTTCTTCTGTTGTACCATCAAAACGATTCGGATTTGATACTGGATTAGAATTTTTTCGTTTAGTAGTAGTAGTAGCAACTGTTATTGGTTGAGGTGATGTAGGAATTGGTGTCGAAGGTGAAGAATTTGTTTTTGATATTATTGTTGATATTGATGGAAGAGGTGATGATGAAGGAGATGGTGAAACAACATTCATTATTGGAGAAATAATTGTATTTAAAGAAGAAGATGGTGTAGTTGGTTGACTTGGACGAATTTCTATATTTGTATTTATATGTTCCGGTGTTTTTTGTTCATTCTCTGTTGTTGATATTGTTTCACGTTTAAGTGATTCTCTTAATTTCGACAGAAATACTTCAGCTACTTCATCTGAACCTAAAGTACTTTTCAAGGAACTAAATCAAAGGAAAAGGAAATAATTAATAGAAATTTTCCTATTTATTTATATATTACTTAAGATCACCGCCTGCTTCTAAATTTTTCCTAAATGTTTGCATTAAAACACTTTTAACACTATCCAATGCTTCATCTAAAAGTTCTTTTGTATGACTAAAAGAAAAAAATTATTGAATAAATATATAATCAATAAAATAAATATACTTTTCAGCTGCTGTTGATAATGTCGAAGGAGTAGGAGTAACATCCATAGAAATATGACTAAATAAACTTTAGTAAATTAACAGAAATTTTTATTTTAAATTAAACATACCTAGTAGTTGTTGTTTGTTGAGGAGTATGATTACTATTTATTTGATGATCATTCCATTGATTATCATCACTTAAATTTGATAGCATATTAGTTATATGTGGTTGATTTAAAGATTTATTTCCTTGTTGTAGAGGAATATTCAATGAATCATTATGACCATTTGTATATTCATTATTATTATTATTATTATTATTGTGTAGTACATTTGATGAATTATCATTTGGAATTGTTCTCGTAGTTAATTCACCATATTCATTTTTTTTAAGTTTAAGTAATAATTGTCGATTTGTTTCTGTTTCAACTGTGGTTGAATTTCTAAAACAATAAAAATATGTATATATAAATACATAAAGAGATGGAATTTAATAGTACCCAATAGTTGAAGCTAAACTATCTCGACGAATTTTAAGAACTAATGGAGAATTTGATGGTTGTTCATTAATAATACAATGATCTTGTTTGATTCTTAAAACAGTATAAAGAAATATATATAACAGATCAAAATAATTATCTTACTCGTTCATATTTTGTTGAGTAGATATTAAATCATTATTTAATTCAGAAATATTATTATAGATATTATCATTTGCTGAAGATTTTTTACTACGTTTTGCTGGACGAGATGTTACTTCTAATGAATTTGCACTGAAACAGAAGAATATTTCACATATAAAAAAAATTTATTCTTTATTTTAATCATACTTTATATATTCGTCATCATCACCATTAAATAATGGTTTTTTTAATTTAACACGAAGTGATGAAGGTGATACTGTTGTAATAATAGGAGTTTCGTTAAGTGGAATAAACGATGACGAAGAATTATCATTTAAAGTATCTGTTGATAAACGACTAATGATATAACAAAAAAAACAGAAGGATACTTATAAAATATTAGACAAGAAAAAAAAGTGACATACGATGAATGGGGAAGAATAATATCCTCATATTTTTTTAATTTCAAAACAATTGGTGCTTGTGATGCTTGGGTTCTAAAAAATAAGATATAGAAATCATTTATAAACAATATTTTTCAGATAATAAAATATTTTGATTTTTCGAAACAAAAAATTCTTACGTAAGTTCATCATTCATTGTAAGATTAATTAATATTCATTCAATAAACATAAAAATTCTTCCTTATTTGTTTTTGACATTGAATATAATCATCCTTTTTACACAAATAAACAACATAAAAATTCAAACTTAAATGATTGGCTAATTTAAAATATGAAAGGAGAAAAGAAAATTAATTGATCTTTTTTTTTCTCTAAAAAAAAGAAAATAAAGAAAACGTTAGTTCTTTTTTTTCCATTATTTTATTTCATGTCATATTATAACACCATAACCAATAATTGAAGAACTCTAAAACATATATTATATATGGGTTTATTATAGATGGTGCTCAAAAAGAGTAATCCTATATATGTAACTATTTTTATACACAAAAAGTTTTGAAAAGGAAATTTTGGAAACTTGATACTCGGTTATATTAGGATATCATTGATGCTTGAAAGACAAGTCTTAATTAATCATGCATCATTTCCATGTGTTTTGATAGGATATATGTTATAAAATAATAAATAAATTGTTTAATTTAGTATATAGAAGTCAAAATGAAATATGATAAAAACTCGAGAAAGCAAAATAATTATTATGATCATGTTTTGTTTAATTAGGCGTTTTATCACACATATACATAAGAGACAAATGGGTCAAGAAATATTTATTTTACATTTATTTTAGTTGATATTTGAGAAAAACACGAAATGGTACATTGCCTCGTTATTTTTTCAGCTGATACTGAGTCATTTTTATAACTGCGTCGTTAGTCAAACTGGCTTGTATAGAGCACGCGCATAACGACTGTTACGCCCTCTATCGTAAATTTACTATATGTTATATATTAGTAAGCACAAGCTTTTTTTCTTCTTCTTTCAACCAATGTTTTTCTAAACAACATCGAACGAATAAGATTGTTTGTTAATCTACGGAACGCGTCTGATGACCATTATATATTTATATAGGAAGGTTGTGATGTTAGTCGTATGTTTGATGTGACCTTGTTGTTCTTTAAGTAGATGATAAAAAAAAATATAGTATCTCTCTACAATCATTTCTTTTCTTTTTTTGTGTTCTTTTATAAAATGTATATATATATTAAAAGAACAATATAATTTCTTATAGAAAAATTTATTTATTATTTTAGATATATACATTTTATATTTTATTCATTTCAAAGTTATATTTAAAAAAATGGCTACACGAAAAAAAGTTTTACTCAAGGTTATTATTTTGGGTGATTCAGGTGTTGGTAAAACATCATTAATGAATCAATTTGTTAACCGAAAAGTAAAATTCTAAATAATAATAAAATTATTTGATTTTATATTTGATTTTATTAGTTTTCAAATCAATATAAAGCAACAATTGGTGCCGATTTTTTAACTAAGGAATTACAAATTGATGATCGTCTTGTTACCATGCAGGTAAGATTCTTAATTTCTATGTAATTATGAAATAATTCATTTCGTGTTTTTTTTTAGATTTGGGACACAGCTGGTCAAGAACGTTTTCAAAGTTTAGGTGTTGCATTTTATCGTGGTGCTGATTGTTGTGTTCTTGTTATGGATGTAACATCACCAACATCATTTAAATCATTAGAAAGTTGGAAAGATGAATTTCTTATTCAAGCTGGACCACGTGATCCAGAAAATTTTCCATTTGTTGTTATTGGTAACAAAATTGATTTAGAAAATCGAATGGTAAACTTAAGTTTATAATTTATGTTTAATAAATCTTTTTTTCGCGTATTTTTAGATTCAAACACGTAAAGCACAAAGTTGGTGTCAAGGTAAATATATAGAAGATTTTTTCGAAATAAAATTTATCTAATTATTATTTTTATAGAAAAAAATAATATTCCTTATTTTGAAACATCAGCTAAGGAAGGCCTTAATGTTGAAAAAGCATTTGAAACTGTTGCACGTAATGCATTAGCACGTGAAAAAGAAATTGATCAACAAGCTGATTTTCCAATGCCAATACGTATTCCACAACAAGAAGAACAACCGAAAAAAGAAGGATGTTCATGTTAATGAAAGAAATCAAATTCATTTTAAACATTTTTTTCTTTTGTCTTGTAAATAAATCAAAGCAAAAAGAAAAAAAAAACAATTAACATATTATTTCGATATTTCTCCTAACCTATTTCATATATAAAGAAAAAACAAATGTCTTGTCTATTTCTTTTATTCTAACGTTGATTTTTGTTTCCTTTCTCTTTTTTCTTTTTTCTGTATGTATTTAACTTTTTTCGCATGTTGGGTTTTTCTTTTCTTTCTTTCTTTCTTTCTTTGCTGGCGTCTTTTCGTTCTTTGTGTGTATGTGTACAAACAAGCTAAAGGTCTTTTTGCAATATCGACTTTATTAAAACTATATGAAACAGAAGACACCTTTTTTTTCTTTCTTCATAAATATAGATATATGTCAAGTCTAATGGAAAAAACGGGAAACTTTTTGTTTTTCTGATAAACAATATGCATGTTATATAAAACTTTTTCGAGAAAAAGAAATAGAAATTTGATCAGAAATATCTTCTAATATAACACAGCAAGAGATCTTTTTTCTATAGAAGATTATGTTATATTTTTAATAATAAATACAGAAAGGATTTGTATATTAAATTCATTTTGCATTAAATATGATTGGTATTCAACTCAATTATTAGTCAATGACAAATATGAATATTTATGATATTTAATATCATAACTCAATCATAGTTATGAAAGACAATTAGGAAGAGATCGATTTATAATATAAACATGATTAGTCTAGAAAAGGAAATAAGTTAATGATGATATCACAAACCTTGAATATAGATAATTTACAGAAGTACTATTACTCATTTCAAAACGATAGGAATAAGACATCATTGATTGTTAGAAGCCTTTTACAACTATCAGAGAAAGAGCTACGATATATAATCAAAAAGAAATGTTGAACGTGCGAACGTTATACGTATTTATTAATGAAGATGCTGCTAGTGCCTTGTTTGTTTATCAATCTCAACATTATCTATATATAATTTTTAGATTATAATTGACCTTAAGCATTATAAGCTGTTTTTGTTCGATTAATTTTGTCTTAGAAGAATTAATGACAATTATTGTTAGTAAATCCATCTTACAGGTTGATCACGTTATTTTTAATAGTTTTTCATGATTTGCTGTATTTCAGCTCACTTACTCTATCGATCCATACTATTTAAACTTTTTCCATTCGATTAAAATTTTTTTTCAATTCGTCCAGAGATTTTGTTTCTATTGTATTTGGTCGTATATAATTAATTTTGCTTTTGTGCCTGCTGTAAAAGTTGCAAGATACGTCCTTCCATAATACTGGAAATTTTATTGCGTGGCATTTGTTCAAAATGTATTTAAACGAACAGTCTAACGACCACCATTCGAAAGGAAGGAAAAAAACGTTCAATATGTAACGTGCGCATGTCCTTACGAACCTCGAAACTAATTTGATTATACACAGTAAAAAATAAAAAGATATGATAGAATGTAAATAGTATGGATCAACAGAGTAATTTTTTAGTCGAAATAATTTTATTATTTAAGTTTTTTTTACATACATATATGAAACAAAAAAATACGGGGGGAATAATTGTGCACACACTGTTATTAAGAGAAATTGATTTATTTACAAGATTGAATTAAATGTTATATTATTATTCGATGTTGATGCTATAGGTTGTTCATCTAAATGAGTTTTTATATGTAATTTTAAATGAACTAATTGAGTAAACCGTGCTGAACATGTATTATTTGGACATAGATATGGTTTATCACCTGTATGTAAACGAAGATGTGTTTTTAAATTTGATGTTGATGAAAATCGTTTTGAACAATATAAACATGAATATGGTCGTTCACCTGAATGAACAAGTGTATGTTTTTGAAGATGAGCATATTGTGTAAATGATTTTGGACACTGCGTACATGTAAATGGTCTTTCATTTGTATGTGTTCTTAAATGTACTTTAAGATTTGATAATTGACTAAATGTTTTATAACATTGTACACATTCATAAATAATTTTTCCATTTTCTTTTCGTAACGGATATGGTAAAGATTTATGTCCACGACGATGAATTACAATTGGTGGTGATACTGATGCTCTATTTTCACCTAAAATTCTTTCAATTGAAAAATTTAATACAGATGATTTATTTTTATCAGCAATTGATTGTTTTGGAGAAACTATTCGAAAAAAAAATTATGAATAAAAAAAATGGACTGACTAAAAATTCTACTTGATTGAAAAGGTTTTCTTGGGCTAATCGATGAATTTAATATTGGAGAGATTGATTCATCAGGTGATGATTTCAATGATAATGATGTAGTTTGTAAAGTATATGGATGATGAAGAAAAGGTAACTATAATAAATATTAGAATTTTCGAAAAGATTATTTAATATATTCTAGTTTTACATGAAAACTTCGTTGTTCAGATGATTGATGAATTGACCAAGATTGTTGCTATTAAAATAAAATTTAAATCGAACGATAATTCGAAAGAATTTTATTCATATTACTTTTTGTTCATAAATCCAATCTGATATTGATGGTATCATCAATCGATGCATAGATTCATGTGGATTAACAAGAAAATTATGACGATATGTAAAATGTTTATTTCGAATCATGTTTTGTCTAAAAAAATCTTCTACTTACGCATTCTCTTGTATCAGTTTTTTTTTAAAATTCTTTCGTTGCTAGAAAAAAATATTCAATTATTTATGTTTCTGATATCCATCGATGATAGAAGAAGAGGAGAAGAAGAAGAAAAAAAAGACTTTTTTATCCAATCCAATTTCTCTCCGACAATATCTCGTCTTTTTCTTTTTAATAAACCAATGAAAAATATGATGACTTGACTGTATTGAAATAATTGATTTGAAACAAAAAAAGAAGTAGCGATAGTAATGTAACACATTCTCAATAGACTATTCAGGTATCTGTATTATATAATGCAAGCGGCAATGTTTTTTTGTTTGATGATCATTTTTAAACTAGCAAATACTTATAGATTTGAAAAAAAAAACAAGAGTATTTTAATCTAAAACTCTGTTTAGATATGACCATCTTGTATAGATAGTCTCATTGTAACATCAATGACTGAATAGACAGTGTCAATTTTCTATCGTTTTATCATCAGTGTCGGAAAAGAAAAGGAGATCCGACAATTTTCTAACTAACATATAATTCAATAGATCAACTTTGTTTGTATTTGTCTCATGCTTGAATTCCTTCATATCACAAGTTAATCAGTATCGAATGGTATAATCATCGACTTTCTTTTCTTTTTTATATTCTATGAAATTTGAGAATGACGACAAAATTAGTTTAGTCTATGTAAGAAAAAAGCAAATCGTTTGAACACAAAAATAGGGTGGAGTTATGTCGCCGTCTTTTTTAATATGTATATAAATTGATAAGAAAAAGACGTACGAAATGCTGTCAAATGGCATTTTTCATTTTATATATTGTTTTTACAATAGAACTGCATGATAAGAAATGAGTCTTTGTCCTCCTGTCAATCTTATATATGCAAAGCAATCATCAAGATAATTAAAGAGAAGAACAGACTAAAAGTCACAATTAAAATATGTGTGAGAGAAATAAAAAAAGGTACAGAGATAATCAAACATGCTCCGAAATTCATTTTGACATACGTTATATCAGTAATCTATTTGTTTAAGAAAATGATAGCAAGAATAATACTATTGGATTGCTGCTTGAGAGAGAGAGAGAAAAAAAATATATATCTTAAGAAAACAAGTGTTAAAATATTCAATAAATGAAACATATATTGACTTATTGACATGACAATAAAAAAAATATATCTATTTTCTGTTTATATTCATTGATATCTAATAAGATGAAGTTTTAATAATAAATCATCCTTTTTGTATTACGAAAAGACGTAATAATTATGAATCGATCGTCTTTTTAAAAAGCTATCAAATGGGCAATGTATATGACTATATGGGCACGATCTGCTAACAATCCCCTTCCCTGTTGAACGTTCCAAATCAGTAATAAACAAAAAAACAATTTTAACAGAGAGTATGATCTTGAAATATTCTTAAGTTTGTTCTGCATTCTGAGTTACTCAGCTAACATATAAAACCAATATTATTTGTCTTTCTTATGCGTTTAAAAACGTGAATAATTACGGAATTTCGCTTTTTTTTCATTTTTTAAATTTTCTATGAAACTTTGAAAAAAAGATGAAAATGAACTAATCGATTTATAAAAAACAATATTCTCACTCGTTACAGAATGAAAAAACTTAGATTTCATAGTTAAGATTGTCATAAAAATGGCACTAAACTGTTCCTCGTGGCAAAAGAGAAAAATTGGTGAAATTCCCTAACGTTTGGTCGCGCCCATATATACTCAATGAATTCTCGATAAATATGATCAAAAGTCATCTGTATTACACCAAAGGCACTAAGGGAACCATGTAAACCCACACGTCAGTTAACTAGAAAAAAACGAAAACCATCGAAGGGTTAAACGAGAATTTTTTCTAATAAAAATAATAACAAATTGAATTGTATTTTATTATCTACATCATAAGTTTTATAAACTTAAGTACTATCGACTCAATAATATTAGCTAGAAATTACATATCTTTCATGTAAATGAAATATTTAACAATTATTTTCGATGTCGCACTTGTCTTGAAATATTTCTAGAGAGATGTCGCAATTAAAATTCGAAGCGCTAAATGAATTATATTCGATAGATTGAAAGAAAGGAAGACACTGTCTTTGTGTTTGTTCGACATTCATACACTTCGACAGACATTATATTGTTCATCATTATTATTTTCTTTTTTGAGAAATAAAATGCAAAATACAGTTCGAGATTATCAAGCTGATAAAAGTAAGAATTTAATTATTTGATTAAATTTATTTATATAAACAAATGTTTTTATTTCAAGATAAAATAAAAGATTTTCTCAATGAATTTGAAGTTGATACAGAAGATGGTTATAAAGCATCCAAATATGTTAAACAATTGGTATTTAAATTTTTGTTTTTTCTAAATTCTAATTTTATCATTATAAAATGTTTAGAGAAATTTAGCTAATCGTGAACAAACAACATTAGTCATTGATTTAGATGACATTGCGACAGTTGATCCTGAATTAGCGGATGCTATTAGTGAAAATTGTCGTCGTTATACTCAACTTTTTGCTCAAGTTGTTCAAGAATTATTACCTGAATTGAAAGATAAAGAAGTAAGTTTTTTAATACAGAAAGATAATTCAATTTTAATGAATTATGTTTTTTTTAGGTTCAAAATAAAGATGTACTTGATGTTTATATTGAACATCGTACATTGATGGAACAACGTATGCATCATAATACAGATGAAACACGTGATCCTATGAATCGTTATCCAGAAGAATTAATGAGACGATTGTATGATTAAAATTTTCTATTTTTAATAAAAAAAACACGTATAACTTTTTCTTTAGTGAACTATATTTTAAATCATCAAATACACAAAAACATTTATCTGTTCGTCAAGTTAAAGCAACTCATGTTGGAAAATTAATATCAGTTAAAGGTGTTGTTACACGTGCAACAGAAGTTAAACCAATGATTAGTGTTGCAACATATACATGTGATATATGTGGTTCAGAAACATATCAACCGGTACGTTTAGTTAGAAATACTTGTCTTAAATATAAGTTCAGATTTGTCATCCTGAGATAGATATTTTTCGATATGAAATACAAAGATTTTTAACTATTTAGATAACTTCACCAACATTTATGCCACTTGTTATGTGTCCAAGTCAAGATTGTGTTATTAATAAATCTGGTGGACGTTTATCATTACAAACACGTGGTTCAAAATTTATTAAATTTCAAGAAATTAAAATACAAGAACATGTAAATTATTCTTAGTAGAAAATAAAATATATCAGACTTGTTTTATTAATAGACTGATCAAGTACCAATTGGTAATATTCCACGTTCAATGACAATATGGTGTCGAGGAACAAATACACGTTTATGTCAACCAGGTGATCATGTTGCTATATCTGGTATTTTCTTACCATTACTTCGTACGGGTTTTCGTCAAATGACACAAGGTCTTTTATCGGATACATTTATTGAAGCACATGTAAGTATTTATAAAAGATTTTGTTCGAAGATTTATTATATTGATTTTTTATTTTATTTAGCGAATTATTTTATTAAATAAAAGTGAAGATGAAGAAATGGAAGATAAAGAAATGAATGATGCTGAATTAGCAGATATTTTTGCTGGTTTGTTTTACTTTCCTGTTCTATTGATAAAATTTCATACGTATGATTCATTTTTATAGAAAAAGATTTATATGATCGATTAGCACAGAGTATTGCACCGGAAATTTATGGTCATGAAGATATTAAAAAAGCATTACTTCTATTACTCGTTGGCGGTATCGATAAATCACCGCAAGGAATGAAAGTTCGAGGTATGCGTATTTATTCATCTAGAAAAACTTCGATATAACGTATGATTTTTCTTATAGGCAATATAAATGTTTGTCTTATGGGTGATCCTGGTGTTGCCAAATCACAATTGTTAAGTTATGTCAATCGTTTAGCTCAACGTAGTCAATATACAACAGGTCGTGGTTCATCAGGTGTTGGTTTAACATCAGCACTTATTAAAGATCCAGTTACAAGTAAAACAATTTAGATATATGTATATATAATTTCTACAAAAATAAATATTTATTTAGATGAACTTGTACTCGAAGGTGGTGCATTAGTCTTAGCTGATCAAGGTATTTGTTGTATTGATGAATTTGATAAAATGACTGAACATGATCGAACAGCTATTTATGAAGTTATGGAACAACAAACAATTTCTATTGCTAAAGTAATTAATCAAAAAATTCTTTGAACAAATAAAACTATTACATTATAGGCTGGTATATTAACATCATTAAATGCTCGTACATCAATCTTAGCTGCAGCTAATCCAGCATATGGTCGTTATAATCCAAAACGTTCAATTGAAGCTAATATACAATTACCAGCAGCACTCTTATCACGTTTTGATTTACTTTGGATCATTCAAGATAAAAATGATCGTGAAATAGATCTTAAATTAGCTCGTCATATTGCATCTGTACATCAAACTGGTTGTCAACCAGAATTAGATAATAATCAACAATTTATTGATATGAAAACATTACGGTAAGATTTCATATTATTTTAGTTTTAATCTTGTTTTCTTTTTTTCTTCGTATTAGACGATATATTACAACATGTAAAAAGAAATTACCATTAGTACCAGAATCATTATTGGATTATGTTGTAACAGCTTATGTTGAATTACGTAAACAAGCTCGTGTTAGTAAAGATATGACATATACATCAGCACGTATGCTTTTATCAATACTTCGTTTATCAACTGCACTTGCTCGTCTTCGTTGTGGTGATCTTGTATCAAAAGATGATATTGATGAAGCACTTCGTTTAATGGAATCATCAAGATTACTATTAAAAGATAATGACAATGTACCAACAAGGTATGAAAATTCTTTTTTTTCTTGTTTTTCTATATATTGAAAATATTTTTCTTATTAGACAAATCAATCCAATTGATCAAGTATTTGCTATTGTACG